GATCTATTCAGCAATAATGTTAATCTCATTGGCATATTTATCTGACATTTTCCTAGCTTGTAGTAGTCGATCAAAAAGCTGTTTAGTTTCTTATGATTATACACTAGCAGTGGAATTTACTGCGATGTGACGGGGCGCCACCTGAAATCTTGCCTAGGGCGCCAAATTGGTTAGGGCCGGGCCTGAGCCACAACATTATATTACATTTAATGATCCTCTGCTGAGATTTTGAGAGATGTGTTTTATTTCAGGGGATTTCATCGAAAACTATGGGTCACACTTTATTTAATGGTCTTTTTGTTGAATTTAAGTTACATTGCATCTACATGCCGACTAATTCTCATTAGATTATAAGTAGACTGTTAGGTTGGGGTTAGGGTTAGGGCAAGTTGACATTTACTTGCAAAGTTTCTTACAGTGAGTTAAATGTCTGTTTAGCGTAAGTATCAACAGATATTAAGCAGTCTACTAATCTTCAAATGGACCATCAAAATAAAAATTTACCATACTATGTTTACATGACACTGATGTAGCCAAAACAGAACATTTTTTTCCTTGTGTTTTGAAAAGGTTTCACGTCAAATGCTTAGCTTGGACTATAGGATTTTAACCCTGATTTGAGACCAATTTCCAAGTTCATACAGCATGATTTTCCAATTTTGGGAATCCCTTTGTGTTAACAATGCATGACTATCTGGGGCAGCTTTCAGTTGCTGCTGTATTCATACTGCATGATGAATCAAAGACAGGAAGATACACACTGCATAACTACACTCAGTGGTGTAAAGTAACCAATTATTCATTATTCATTCATTCATCTCCTGCCGCTTTTCCGGTGCCGGGTCGCGGGGGCAGCAGTCTTAGGAGAGAACCCCAGACTTCCCTATCCCCAGACACTTCCTCCAGCTCCTCCGGGGGCATCCTGAGGCGTTCCCAGGCCAGCCGAGAGACATAGTCCCTCCAGCGTGTCTTGGGTCTTCCCTGAGGCTGCCTCCCAGTGGGACATGCCTGGAACACCTCCCTAGGTAGGCATCCAGGAGGCATCCAAATCAGCTGACTTCTCTCGATGTGGAGAAGCAGCGGCTCTACTCCGAGCTCCTCCCGGGTGTCAGAGCTCCTCACCCTATCCATAAGAGTGCGCCCTGCCACCCTTCGAAGGAAACTCATTTCGGCCGCTTGTATCCGAGATCTTGTCCTTTCGGTCATGATCCAAAGCTCATGACCATAGGTGAGAGTAGGAACGTAGATTGACTGGTAAATCGAGAGCTTTGCCTTTCGGCTTAGCTCCTTCTTCACCACAACGGACCGGTACATCGACTGCATTACTGCTGTCACTCCTCCCTGAACCGCCGCTCCTCCCTGAACCCACATTCCTCCCTGAACCGCCACCTTATCGTGGTGGAGGGGTTTGTATGCCTGAGTGATCCTAAGAGCTATGTTGTCGGGGGCAAATGCTCCTGGTAGGGTCTCCCAAGGCAAACAGGGCTTAGGTGACAGCTCAGACTAAGTGCGGTTCAAAAACCCCTTATGTGTTCGATAACATCAAGAACTGTGACGTCGCCCGGTATGGCACAGCCGGGGCCCCACCCTAGAGCCAGGCCTGGGGTTGGGGCTCGTATGCGAGCGCCTGGTGGCCGGTTTTTTTCCCACGGAACCCAAGGAGCGACGTGGGACCATTTTCCCGCAGGCCCACCACTTGCAGGGGGAGCAGTAAGGGGCCGGTGCATTGTAGAACGGGTGGTGGTCGAAGGTTAGGACCACAACAACCTGATCGTCGGGCACAGAAACTGGCTCTTGGGACATGAAAAAAAAAAAAGTAACGAATTACAAATATTTAATTACAAATACTCGAACTACTGTAATTGAGTAGTTTTTCTAAGAAATTGTACTTTACTAAGTAGTTTTATAAATTTGTACTTTTACTTGTCCTTGAGTAAATTTTTTGTGCTGTGTTGGTACTTTTACTCCACTACTTTCCTTCAACCTGCAGTCACTACTTTATTTTATTAGAAAAATCAAAATTATAATTTCTAATAAAAAATTATTTTATTAGAAAAATCAGTCCCGTGATTCCTGTCCAATCAAATCACACATAGAAAAAAAATCACATCATAATGATCTACCTCAAGACGTGGGCGATTTATAATTGCAGCAAACTGTTTGGAAGCATTAAAAGTGTCAAAGAAGATGTTCAAAATCTTTACACACATTGACTCAGAGGCTGTTAGATGCATGTCACTGATGGGACGATAGCAGATGTTTACTGTATGATGACTGAAATGGCCTTCTATACCCAGCAGACACAAGACATTAACATAGATAGACGTTGTACCTCAACGCTGTGGGGACGTTGCATTTTGTTTGGAAATGAAAATGGTCTTGATGTCAGAACTCAATGTCAGGCCCATGTCCAACATCCGACCTAAAACCAACCAAATATTAACGTATAATGATGTTACAGCTTGACGTTGTGTGGACGTCTTTCAGATGTTGGATTTTGGTTGTCATATCTGACAAATAAATGTCAGTATTTGACGTCAATATGATATTGGCTCGACGTTGGGTTTTGGTCACTTTCTAACACAACCTAAAATCAACCAAATATCAACGTCATTTGACGTCATTATTGCACTGTAAAAAATGGCCGTAATTTCAGCTGTTAAAACTGTAAAAATGCTACAGTAAAAACCCGTAACCTGGTTAACAGGTTTCCTTAATATATACGGCGAATAACCGTAAACTGAATTTCCCAGAATTCCCTTTATGGCACATCACTTTTTATGCTTTTTGTTGACATTAATATGGATATTTTTAGTTGTTTCCCCATCAGTTATGTACATTAGAGATTTATGTTACATGTAATGTTGATAAACAATGTTTATTTCATGACTTTAATTTTATGTGTGTTATCATACTGGTGTTTAGTAGCTGTGTGAATGACACTGAGCACCTTCTATACGCTGATACTCTTCTCTGCTTGTGGGATAAGTTGTTTGGGATGAGCATTGGTTGATTATGCAACTCTCATCACCACCTGCATATGGCTGTGTTAACGTGTTTATCGGTGTAACAAAAGATGTGTAGATGCTGGTAATTCAAAATACAGACATATTACATCTATAAATGAATGAAATACGGTAGTTTACTGTAAAAATTACTTTTACAGTTTGTACTGTATTTTTAACGGTAAAATACTGGCAACCATAGCTGCCGTTTTATTACCGTAAATTTTACGAATTTATTTTTTACAGTGTGGACATTAAAATATAATTTTCCTTAGATGCAGGCTAGACAATGCATTTTGGTCACCTGTCATCTCAACTTAAATGTAACCTAATATTAACATCTTCTGATGTTGTGTGCCTGCTGGGCAATAACAAGATGTACTACATGTTACGTTTACACACACATGCACAATTTAGATGTAAACACATCAGCTTTTCACAGCATAATACTCATGTAACGAAGAGCCTGACATGGAGGGATCCATTTGCAGTATATTTATTAGACACTGTTCAAACACAACCATACAACACGCACTTACGTGCAAACTCACATCAGTAGTATTCAGAATGGGTCTAAGGGCTGGCGGCTGGCTGTCAAGGAGTGATATAGCAGGCATGGATCAGTGGCAGGCGGCGTGGTTCAGAGTCGAGATATCAGACGTGGTTCAGGGCAGGCGGCGAGGATTAGAGTCAGAGTACAAGCAAGGTTCGGGGCAGGCAGAAGGCAACTCAGAGTCGGTAACAGTCCAGGTAATACACAGGAGATCAGGCTCAGAAATGCTCAGAAATGTCAGACAGGGGAGAACAAGACTTCGCGCTGAACTGGAGTGTGTGCGCTGCTTATAAGGGTGAGCGTGGGTCGTTAGCTGGAAGAGCCGCAGGTGTGCATGCTTGTCAGTGTAAGTGGATGACGTAATGCTAAAAGTCCGGTGATGGTGGCCTCTGCTGGCCAGCGAGGGGAATGACTGGGACCGAGTTGTTTTTTTCACTTATACATGTACAATTTTTACAATGATACTTTTACTCTACACCCACTACATTTTAGGCAAGTAGTGGTACTTTTACTTGAGTATGATTTTTCAGTACTCTTTCCACCACTGACTACACCAGTGGTTCTCAAAGTGGGGGTCGGGACCCCCCGAGGGGTCGCGGGGCAGTGAAGGGGGGTCGCCTGGTGATTTCCAAAAATCTATTTATTTTTATTAAACCATAAGGATTAACATATTTTTTTCCATAACTATACTGAAAATAAAAATAGTCGTTTATAGTTACTATATACTATATAGTTACTATAGTAGCTTATAGTTACTAATTCTATTGGATTGCGACCCCTGGGGTAATTACATTATATTAAAGGCAGCAATAGCGTCAGATGCATTTTGATTTTATAGCATCAGGTTATACTTTCTGGCACATTTAAAGCACTGACACAACTTTAATTGGTGTGTCTGCGTCATTGCATGCAAGGTTTCTGTATTTATAACCACCTCAGAGGATATTGGGGGTCGCGAGTCACTGGCATTGTTATTTTGGGGTTCGCGGGCTGAAAAGTTTGGGAACCCCTGGACTACACTATATAAACAATCACTGACAAATCACTCCCTATCCCCCCTCCCCCCCCATAAGCCTCTGCCCACCACCCCACTCCGCTAACATAGTGTTAATTTAACTCTTGAGGTGTTTGCTGTGTACTTACTGAGGTTTAACAGAGAGTCTCGTCTGCACAGGATGGGTGTCTGATGCACAAACTTGCAATACTTCAGCTTTTGCTGACTCATACCGGCAACTTTTTGAGACTCTTGGCCTTGGCAAAAATGACACTCAGACAACATACATGCGGCCTTTGTCACCAGGCAAAACCTACACCCCTGTTTTTGTGGACTTGTATGTGAACTCCATCATAGAAGTGGTGAGTTCAGGTCATCCACTCGTTCATTATGACGCATCAGAGTGTTATATATCCATCACTGTGTTTGTGTTTCATCTACAGTTTGAAAAAGAGCAGAGCCTCTCAACACAGGTCAAAATGATAACTGTAAGTGTTTTCAAATGTTTATTTACCTTTCATTTTGCTAGAATTAATTCATTATTATTTGTGTGTGTGTGTTTGCATGTTTTAAAATCACTGTGAATGTCACACTCTTGCCTTTTGCAGCTTTGGGAAAGCGTGAAGTGGAACCAAAATCAATTCTGTCAAATTCAAACAATTGCAGCTGCCAAGAATTCATTTTGGGCACCAGACCTTGTTATAGCAGAGAGGTATAAAATATGAATCTGGTCTGTTTTAACATACTGCTATTGTACACACAATACATTGATTTAATTAATGTTACTGGAGAGTTCATAAACATACTGTAAATCTGTATTATAAAGGAAATCAGACACGGGTGTAGACATCGTTGTTAAATCTTTGCTTTCGTTTTTCCTATTATTACTGAAGAGTAGCTCTCACCAATTAAACATCTATTTATTATTTATTTTAATGTATGTTAAATCGATCCTAGCTAGCGGGGAATGTTCTCATACATTTAAAGGTGCATTAGGCAACCCAGGCTCATTCTGAAAACGTAGTCCCGCGGACGTTTCTGGAGACAGCGGAATACGTCCCGGGGGGTACGTAAGGCCGCGTTTATTTTTTTCAAGCGAACGCTGCGGGGCGGTGTGACGCTGTTCCCTTTCGCGCTTGTCTTACCTCCTTGTGGAGGGCTTCCCCGCTGCAACCCGTTTGTCCACTCAGCTCAGCGTGTACGTCGGCAGGCTCGAGATGCGGAGAGGGGTCGACCACGGCGACCGGTTTCGAGTTCGGGGAAGAGCAGCTCCAGCAATCAGGTAAGACAAAAACAGAATCCCAAAAATTAAGTGAACGAGTTTCGTCACAGGGTGAGAACGCGGCGAAGTCCGAAAACGCGGTGGAATAAGAAAAAATTAAGGCTTTTATTTTTTTGGAAAGCTTTTGGGAACTGTTGCTCGGGTTTAGGGAAGCGAGCGGGCGGGCGGGCGGGTCGATCAGTAAAATTGGTTGGGTTCCGGGAAGGAGGAGGGCGAGTCAGCTGATTGGCTGGTCGCGCAGTCAATCATCCGGTCAGTCGAACAGCGACCTCTGGCGGGTTAACGCGAGAACAGTTCGCGCCCGCGAGAGGCGTCTGAGGTGCTAAAAAGCGTGCAACAGCGGCCTCTCGCAGATTCGCGAAAATAAAAACTGCAGCCGTACGTACCCGCCGGGATGTATTCCGCGGTCTCCAGAAACGTCCGCGGGACTACGTTTCCACATTGAGCCTGGGTTGGCATTAGGTGATCTGCCAAAATGTTAACCGGTTATACAGAGTTCAGGCTGCATGTTTTAGCCCCGATTTTGACTCGGCAACAGGTTTAAAGGGGTGGTCCAGAATGTAATTTTAAGCCTTGGTTGTGTTAATAAGATGCAAAGCAATGTGTGCTCATGTTTCACTTGAAGGAAATCATGTTATTTTTTTATAAATCTCACTTTGATTATACACGGCTACTCAGCTAACATGAAAACGACTGTCATATTTCCTAGTTCCTCTAAAAAGCCCGCCCTCAAGTGACTTTATTGATTTGTATTATTTTTAAATCAATGCGTTACAGGAAGTCTAACAAACTATTAATTCCTGTGTACGTAAATATTAGTTAAGTACACTTAATATAAAGTGGGACCTTCATTTAAAAAAAAAAAAAAAATAGAATAACTGAATTTGATGCATTGATTTGATTAATTTCGAAGTTTTTTTTTTCTTGTCTCTGTAGCATCAGTACTGAGTTTGGAGGAAAGGAGTCTCTAAACGTGCAGTTGATCTACTTTGGCTACACACTTTTGTCTGAGATACTTTCTCTGAACACCGCCTGTAAGCTGGACCTCTACAAGTTCCCCTTCGACACCCAGAGCTGCAATATAACACTTCAGTCTGCAGCGTATTCAAGTATTTGTGAAACCCATTACATTTATAGAACAAACATTTTAATAAAACAATGAATGGTTTGACTTTAAAGTAATATAATTTCTATCTTTATTCCCTTAGATATAGATCTGAAAATATTTATGCTGCATGATACAGGCGTTCTTACAAATTCTTCCAAGCAATCCTTTCAGTCCCAGGGGGAGTGGGAGCTCCTCAATATAAGTACAATCAAATCTAAATTCAGCCCTTGGTATAGCTACACAGATCAGCTGATATATCAGGTATGGAGCAAAGAATTTATCTGTATATAATAAAGTCTTTGAAACTTGTGAAAGTATATTGTGTGTGTGTGTGTATATGTATATATATATATATATATATATATATATATATATATATATATATATATATATATATATATATAACACACACACACACACACACACACACACACACACACATATATATATATATATATATATATATATATATATATATATATATATATATATATATATATATATATATATATATATATATATATATATATTCAGTTATTTTACTTTTAAATTTAAACCAAACTTTAAACTTGATTGCTCTAAAATAAATCAAATGAAACATTTACTACAATAGTCTGGACTTTTTAAATGTGCAATTTAATGTTTTTTTTTTACCATAAAAAAGAATGAACACAGTATTTGTTTGTTGTTTAACACTTACTGTTAATACACTCTCTCTATATCAGATCACCATCAGAAGAAGACCTCTGCTGCATGTCATCAACATTATGCTACCAGTGTTTTCCTTCCTTGTGCTGGACGTGACCTCCTTCTTCATGGATGTAGACGGAGCAGACAAGCTGAGCTTTAAAGTGACTTTACTTCTGGCTATTTCTGTGCTGCTGCTGATTCTTAATGACACCCTGCCCTCAACGGCTGATAAAGTTCCTCTGATTGGTGAGTCAGTAGCCCCTTTCATTTAATTTTCTGTCAACGTTCTAATTTTCCAACATTACCTGTAAAATTCAATTCCTGTTTATTTGTATAGCATTTTTTCTCATGTAGATTGTGTCGAAGCAGCTTAGCATACTGTTGAAGTCAGAATTATTAGCCTTTGATTTTTTTTCTTTTTTAATATTTCCCAGAGCAATAAAATTTTCACAGTATATCCGATAATATTTTTTTCTTCTAGAGAAAGTCTTATTTGTTTTATTTCAGCTAGAATAAAAGCAGTTTTTAAATTTTTAAAAGCCATTTTAAGGACAAAATTATAAGCCCCTTTAAGCTATATATTTTTTTGATAGTCTACAGAACAAAACATCGTTATAGAATAGCTTGCCTAATTACCCTAACCTGCCTAGTTAACCTAATTAACCTAGTTAAGCATTTAAATGTCACTTTAAGCTTTATAGAAGTGTCTTGAAAAGTATGCAATCAAATATTATTCACTGTCATCATGGCAAAGATAAAATAAATCAATGATTAGAGATGAGTTATTAAAACTATTATGTTTAGAAATGTGTTAAAAAAAATCTCCCTGTTAAACAGAAATTGGGGGAAAAATTAAACAGGGAGGCGAATAATTCAGACTTTGACTGTGAATCTAATGTCCAGGTTTTAGAGTTTAAGTTCAGTTCAGTTTAGTTCAGTGTGGTTTGTTTCACTGCTGAAAGCTCAAAAACCGAAACGCAGCTCCACAACTCCCGATCCAAGCAACTGACAAAGTGAAGGGGAAAGAAACCTCAAGAGGAACTAGGCTCTGTTTGGCTTGACCATTATTGCCAGAATTCCACACTTATTGCAGCTATAAAAAAAAACCTTGAAATGCATTGTCTTGTCACATTAAAACCCCATTCAGATAAGATTTTGTAGGCAAACTTTACAATAAGGTTCATTAGTTAATGTTATTTAATGCCTTTACTAAGATGAACAAACAATGAACAATACATTTACTACTGTATTTGTTCATGTTAGTTAACGTTAGTTAATGAAAATACAGTAGTTCATTGTTAGTTTATGTTAACTCATGTTATCAAGCATGGACTTGGATGTTAATATTACATTAGTAAATGTTCAATTATGATTGATAAATGCTGTACAAGTGTTGTTCATGATTAGTTCATGTTAGTAAATGCATTAACTAATTAACCCTATTGTAAAGTGTTACCGATTTTGTTTTAATTTTGGCCCAATTAGCTTGATGTAGGATTTTGTGGGGATTCATAATTGGCAAATGCATGTTAATGCAAGACTTTATAGTTTTGTTTAGGTTTTTTTGTAGTCTGTCAAAGTGCTTGACCACTGATGCTTCACAGTGTCATGTCAGAAAGTCTCTTTCATCTTTTTTTTCCTGTCGTTCACCGTGAGCAACCTTTTTTTCAAAAAGCAACAAATGTACAATTTTTAAAGAGCCCCTATTTTGCATTAAAAAAAGGTAATACTTTGGTTTTGAGGTCTCCAACTTTAGGCTAATATGCATTCAAGATCAAAAACACTTTTATTGACTGATAACAGACATTTGTTTTTACCTAATTATCCCAGCGACTTTCATATGAATCGTTCAGCGATTCATTTGTTCCCAAACCCCTCCTCTGTGCGAAGCTAATCTGCACTGATAGAACTGATGACCCAGTCTATTGCGTTGGGTCGACTGCATTCAGCATGAGACAGAGAGAAACGCCCACTGTGGCAACAGTATGAAGTAGCAGAAAGTATGAGAGCCCAATGCAGGAATGCAATAAAGCAATGCATTTAAACACCAGCATATACTCTACTCTTATACTCATACTACTGTGACGGGTGGGTTTAGGGTTGGAGAAGTGTAGCCGATCATCTACTATGTAATGGACCTGGTCTAGTATGTCATCAAGCCATGAGCTGCAACAAGGACTGTCTCGAAGTGTTGCTATTAGTTGATATTAATGGATTGATATTAACAGTTGATATTAATGTGATCACTAAATGACGGAAGCACCATAATTTATGTAGCAGATGCAGAAAGGCCAGAACAACAAAAGATCCAATTGTGGAAAAAGTAAATTCTATAGGCTAATACATTTAGTTAATCTCTATGTCTAATCTTTATAGTACAGTAAAAATAAAACTCGGATGCATTTTACATGCTTCAGTCATACTGTGTTTGTGTTTTCTTGACAGGGATTTACTGCAGTGTGATTTTCAGTTTCATTGGTATCAGCATACTGGAGACCATCTTTGTGAATTTTCTGAAGGCTAGAGGAGCTGACAGTAGATCATCTGCATCAGCTGATGTTGCTGAACAAGATGGTAAGACTTAACGCCACCTATCCAGTTCCTTTTTCTGTCACAAACATTCCTCAGCTAGCAGACAAACATTGAATCAACAATAAAAAAAAGTTAAAATTTGACACTTTATTGATTTTATTTGATATGTTTGTTCCAGTTTGCACTCTTAAATGATGTATTTTTTTCCAATGATAAAAAAGACTCAAGAACACTTGGCAATGTTAAAGTTAATGTGATAATTAAAGGAAAATAACGTTAGCTTTTTTGAAAAAGGCTAATTTTACAAGTCTCCTAGGGTTAAACCGCTGACGTTAACCATTTTAAAACCATTTAGACAATTTCTTGTTCTGGCTTAACAACAACTTTTAGCTTAGCTCAGCATAATTCATTTAATCAATGAATTCATTAGCATTCCATTAAAAAAATGTGAAAAAATAGTTTAAATCAATTTCCTATTTCAAGCTCCAGGCCTCTGTAGATACATTGTGTAGTACAGAGCTTTATTTCTTCCCACTTTTTACTTTCTCCCCTGATCACATAGCTTAAATGTCCGGCCAGCTCTAGGAAGATTCCTGGTGGTTCCAAACATCTTCCACTTATGGATGATGGAGACCGCTGTGCTCATTGGAACTTTCAGAGCAGCAGAATTTTTTTCTGTAACCTTCCCCAGCCTTGCCAATCCTGTATCAAAGATCTACAGACAATTCCTGTGTCTTCATGCTTGGTTTGTGATTTGACATGCACTGTCAACCCTGGGACCTTATATAGACAGTGTATGTCAAAGCATGTCCAATCAGCTAAATTTACCACAGGTGAACTCCAACTAAACTGCTGAAACATCTCAAGAATGATCAGTGGAAACAGAATGTACCTGAGCTCAATTTAGAGCTTCATGGCAATGGCTGTAAATACTGATGTACATGTGATTTTTCAGGTTTTTTATTTTTAATTATTAGCGACAATTTCAAAAACTCTCTTTTTTTACATTGTCATTATAGGGTATTGTGTGTAGAATTTTGAGTAAATAAATGAATTGAATCTATTTTGTTATAAGGCTGTAAAATAAAAAAAATGTATGCTATGAATGCTTTCCAAATGCACTGTAAATCTTGAAAAATATCATGCATTTCTGATATTCTGAAATACTTTTGTCCAGTCTTGTTTTCATATTTATGATTATGTTTCTTTATGTAGCACCTTAGTTCTGCTGGACACAACATATCGTTCCACTGTAGGTCCACACATGTAGTGGAATGACAATAAGGCTCAAGTTAACTTGAAACATTTTAATATAAGAAATGCCGCAAAGTGCATGTGTTGGTACACCCCTTGGGCCTTATGTAGGAAGACTTGTGTTGAATTCATACTAAAACATTGCGTACACACAAAGCTGTAAATGTGTATGAAACACTGCGTACGCATATTCTCTTTGTACATCTGAATGAACGTGAAACTGAGCGCAACATGCACGAGTGCAAAACCCCTCCCTGCATCCTCCCCCGTATGAATATGCAAAGTCTGACAGAAATAAAGCCAAACAAGTTGGTAATAAGTGAATATGCTGATGCTGTTTTTAAAGTTGATCCTGAGCTGAGATTTTGAGAAATTGACTTTGTTTTAATTTGGCTTATTTTATTGCATCTCCCTATACTGGTGACTTTTTTTCTGTATGAGATGGTTCAGGCTCCTAAAATGTTTTTTTTTTCTTTTACAGATGGTGTCAGCGGTCCGCAGGTCAATCAAGACAGAAATCAGAACAGACAGTGTCAGACTTCATTGTGCTGGATGAGATTGGCAAGAATCACAGACATGCTATTCTTTATTCTCTACATAAGCTCCATTGCTGTATTTCTGACTATGATTGGGAGAGTTTGGTATGTCCTCTGATCACACATTAATGAAATAGCAAAAAAAAAAAAACGGAAATTTACCGTGTACAATAGAATTTAAATCAATCTTTGATTATCCATACATATGGTTGAAGTCAGAATTATTAGCCCCCCTTTGAATTTGTTTTTCTTTTTAAAATATTTCCCAAATGATGTTTGACAGAGCAAGGAAATTTTCACAGTATGTCTGATAATATTTTTTCTTCTGGAGAAAGTCTTATTTGTTTTATTTTGGCTAGAATAAAAGCAGTTTTTAATTTTTTAAAAGCCATTTTAAGGTCAGAATTGTTAGCCCATTTAAGCTATATATTTTACGATAGTCTACAGAACAAATTATCATTATACAATAACTTGCCTAATTACCCTAACCTGCCTAATTTACCTAATTAAGCCTTTAAATGTCACTTCAAGCTGTATATAGAAGTATCTTGAAAAATATCTAGTCCAATATTTTTTACTGTCATCATGGCAAAGATAAAATAAATCAGTTATTAGAGATGAGTTATTAAAACTATTGTGTTTTTAACTATAATGTGTTGAAATAATCTTCTCTCTGTTAAACAGAAATAAGAGAAAAAAATAAACAAGGGGGGCTAAATATTGAGGGGGGCTAATAATTCTGACTGTATATACAGTATATATAACAACTCAATTTAGCTGTTTCCTTTTTGATTCTGAGTAAGGGGGCCTATGAGCCTATATATCTTCAAATAAAAGGCACTATCATTAGCCGGTTTGCTATCTGTTTAGGAAAAGAGGTGGAGGGTGGAAATGTTAAATATATTTTTTACTTATTTTCAAAAGGTTACTTTACATTTATATATAAAGAGCTGTTATTTGTTGTTTAATAAAAAAAATTGAAATCATAATGTAGAAACACATTCAGGAGAGCATTAGCACAAACAATTGTAGCAATAAGCTAGAAGGAAAAAAGAGTAACACACTAAAAGAACAAATTTATGCAAAGCAATTTTCACGATTACCAGCGATTTAACCTTCATACATGTAGATAGCTGGAGAACATTCAAATTTACACTGACTACAATCTTGTCTCAATTTGAACTACAAGTCCTGTCATGCAACACACACACACACCTGCTTTAAGTCTCCATTGATTACACTCACACAGCTGATGCTGCTTAAGTACTGATTACACACTCATATATAGGGCTCACTTTGAGACACTCATTGCTTTTGTTAAACTCCATTGTGAACATTACGCCGTGTTTCTCTTTGTCTTGTTGTGTACTTATCTTTGCTTTGCTTTGTTTTCGTTGTCTTCTGCCTGCCTTTTGACCATCTGCCTGTTAATTGAGTTCGACCTTGGATTTGCTTGTGTGCATCTGTTTGCCCCTGTGTTGACCATTGCTTACCTGACCATCCTCATGATAACATTCTGTTTGTATCCACTCTCCCTTGTCAGTGTCCACTTCACATTACAAGTTACATGAAATTACATTAATTATTTAAATTAATTACAAAGTAATAAATGAATGAAATAACTGTGTTGATGCTTTTGACTGCTCTACTTCACCAGGTGGTTCAGTAAAATTCCTGCGCCAGCTGTTTAACTGAAATGTTTTGTTCATTGTACATTTTATTTGTATATTTCATGACATATATGATAATAAAGACGGTGGCACATGTGTGTGCAGTGAAATACATTTCTTTGTTTTCAAATGTCAGCATTTTTGCACTGTATAATACAGACTTACTGTTCCTCATTTGTACTCATCTTTTTGTGTGTTCTTCACAAACTATCAGGTATGAATATTTAGACATTTTCGATGCAGAGTGTCAAGCTACCCATCCTTACAGCTTTAAATAACTCACTGCTGTCTTTAAGAGGTAACATTTTAAGGCCCAATCCCAATTCTATTTTTGTATGCCTTCCCCTTCCCCTTAGCCCAGGGGTCGGCAACCCAAAATGTTGAAAGAGCCATATTGGACCAAAAAAGACAAAAAAAACAAATATGTCTGGAGCCGCAAAAAATGTAAAGCCTTATAATGAAGGAAACACATGCTGTATGTATCTAAATTAGCTATATTAGCCTACTATAAAAATGACTAAGTTGGCTACAAATACATAATGAGCCTTCATGATTAAATAGCCACTGAAATCAGGTGGTTGGTGTTTATTCCGTTCTCATTTAAACACTTCAGCACAGCCTCTGGTCTTTCAGTGGTATTAATTTGATCATTTCTTCTTGCGGCCCATCAGAGTTCACATACCTGCATAAAAGCGCATTGAATATCGGTCACATCACAGGCAATTGAGTATGCTGGCACTGAATTAATGTAATTGGTTTGCTGATCGTTGATGTTACCTGCCATTTTAATAGCCCTTTCCTTCACTGTCTTAGCGGAGAGAGGTATATCTTTAATTTTTTGTATTGTCTTGGTTTTGTTTTTGTCTGCAAATAGGTGTTCTAATATGTTGATGAATGACTCCTTCATGTAGTCACTATATCTGTGAACGGTTTTCCATACTTTATTATCTCCCAGTTTGTTTACAACAGCCACCTGCCTGGCATCCCGCCCTGCTGATAGAAACCTGTGTCACAGGCTATGACGCAAATCTTCGTTGACAGAAATGTTGAAATTAAATATTAATTCTACACACTTTTACAGCAGTTAAAAATGTTTGTCCTCCTAAAGAAATCATATTAAAACAAAAATATATATTGACCTCTACTATCATTTTCTATTTTCAAACATTTTTGAAAAAGCTCCAGGGAGCCACAAGGGCGGCGCTAAAGAGCCGCATGCGGCTCTAGAGCCACGGGTTGCTGACCCCTGCCTTAGCCCTTGCAACCGGGGGTAAAATTTAGCCCAAAGAATAGGGACAGCACCTGCACACGTCATCACATGTCATCGCAATCTCTTGCTTCATAAAACAGTAAACATGAACGCGGTTCTGAATATATTAAAACCTTTGTTTTGTTTGTTTGTCGTAAAAATTCGTAATAATGACAAAAAATACTAATTTGTGGATCTTCTTATTTCCGGGATAAACAATACTGCCGTTGTGGCTAATGTATTCTGGGAAATTTTCTTACCCTTGGTTTCGAGTGTGGTCCTGAAAAATCTTTGTTCGAAGGGCTATTCACCCCTTCCTCTTAGCCCTACGCCTTCAAGCTAAAGAGAATTGGGACACCCCTGCCCCTTGGCTTGAACACACAAAATGAGGGGTATGGGTAAGGGGAAGGGCTAAGGGTGTCACACAACCAGCGGTTCTCACGCGAACACTATGGACTACACTTTCGCCTTTCCCTGGACTACATATTCATACATGCTCTCCGATCACACTCACGCCTGCTCATTCATCTAGCTTGATTACACTCACCAGCTGAGCCTTGTCAGAAACTGATTACACACCCTTCTTAAGCCACTCATTGACCCACCCTGTTTGCAGAGTCTTGTTAGCTGTACCAGTAGCATTACGAAGCGTTTTCCCTGTCTTGTTTTCGTGTGTTTAGACCTTAGCCTTGTTTATCTGTGTTTTCCTGTTTAGCCCCCTGCCTTTCGACCTATTGCCTGTTTATATGACTACGATTCTGGATTTGTCTACACATACCCGTTTGTACCTGATTGATCTTTGCTTGCCTGACGCTGAATAAACCTGCATTGTGGATCTTACCTCCAGTTGTCTCTGTCACTCCCTCCCCGTCGTTACAAAGGGGTAGAGTTGGGATTGGGTCTAAGTCTGATATTTAATGATTGTTTATTATTTTGCTTCAAGATGTTACATTTTTGAGTAGACTCAAATGAAATGCATTGGAATGTGTCGTTTTTATGACTAGATGTTGCATATTGACAACAAACAAATATATGCATGTGTGTATTTATATATACATAATAAACATACACAGTACACATACAAATAATAAGTCAAAACAAACTTTTATTTTGGGGGCGATTAATTGCAATGAATTTTTGCTCATAAGCTTATTTAGTTGTTTGGGATGCAGTGACATGCAGTCAAACATTTTGCTGAACAGATCCACCACTTTTGATGGTAAAATTCTTTTATAAAAGTCATTGTGCTGCAGGTATTAGGGGGTTTGCTGAAGGTGCAGCTGTCGTGTAGTCAGGGGTTTGTATCTTTAATAAACTATGACAGTTTGTGTTAAATTCATATGAAACAGTCCCTTAAAAGTAACGTTGCATTTTTAGTTTCGGGCACAGGCATGCTTTGCACTCATACTACATTTGTACCATGCCAAAGCCCAACCGAACCATGCATGGGCCTGATTCGGAGCACTCACACTTGTCAAACAAACCAGGAAACGTGTCTAGATGTCGGGGTTGAGGTGTCTGTATAACACAGGTAACTGTACTATGCACATGGTTTCAGGCAGCTGCTGCGATCGGATGCTATTCCAAAGTCGCCGATCCAGAGGTGTTACAGACTGTAGAAAAAAGCTCAGAAATAGGAGTTGGGGGATGGGGTGAATGAAATTACAGGAGAAATACAAAACGGGAGAGTGTCTGCAGATGGGTCTGAAATATGGGAAAAACGTGAGTGTTTACAGGTATGCTTTGTGAGCATTTATACTTTCGCATTCTGTCCATGTTGCTCTGAACTAGCACATCCAAAACATCTGTAAGCAGTGGGAATTCTGTTCTACCTTTTTTTCAGGGTGTTTTAAATTTACAATTTGATTTTAAATTTGAGCGACTGTATGCTACTGTAACAGTAACTCAAACTAACTTTTATGCAAGAAAGAAAAAGGCAAGAACAGGCAAACATTCAATAACTTTAATCATGAAATTCACTAAAAACAAAGGTACTTATTAAGAACCCCTCTGTGGGAACACTATCTAGCCGACCAATCCAATAGTATCTGAATGCAGCCTTAGGATGCTTGCTTGGAGATGCAATGATAGACAGAATGCATTCAGTGGAGCTAGTGACATCACTGTGAGGGGTGGGGTTAGGTGAGTGCATTAAAAGTTTTGGACGTAGCTCTGATTGCATCTGCATTGAGTCTGCAGCCAGACCCCTCTCGACCAATAACAGATCTTGTGCTCTGTATGCTTGTAGTTACTTTATTTGTGAGGTGTGCATCAGGGTATGGCGAAGGTTATGCAACTGTAGGAAGACTACAGTGGGGACTTGATTGTGAAATATACAGTAAATTGGCCTTAATTATTCTGCATTTCTACATGCAGTATAGTAATAATGCAATTACAACCAATAATCCTTCTGAAGTACTCTGAGTAAATAAACGATGAGTCAAAGTTTGTATTAAATGCATGGAATGGCACACAAGACACCACTTATGAAATCCAATGTTTCCCGAGCCCAGACAGAAACGCAATAATGGTGATTATGTATAGAATAAAGAAGGCCACGTCTGTGATTCTTGCCACTCCGACCCAGTGCAATGAAAAATTCATCTCATTCTCATCTCTGACCGAATCTGGAAGACTATCTAGAGAGGAAATACAAAACAAGACACAGGTAAACGTTACTTTTAGTGTACCCTGAATCACATGCATATCTGTTGAATCTTCGTTAAAGAGAGGGTAGTTTTCATTCTTACCGTCTCGTCCAGTAACAGCAGCTGTTGTTTCCATTAATGCAGCCGATCTCCTCTGAGCTCCTTTAGCCATCAAATAATTTACAAGGATTGTCTCCAGAATACTGATGCCAATGAGGCTGAAAATCACACTGCAGTAAACCCCTGTCAAGACAGCAAAAGGCTTGGTTGGAAAAGGCTGAGTTGAGGGGTCCGAGAGGTCAAAGGTTTAACTGGGGCTGGCAATTCAAGAGGCTTGATTTGAGCCTCATATACAAAAGGCAAACCGTTACACAAACAGGAGATGTGATAGGCTGGACAGTAACTGGCAGGACTTGGAGCATGACATGAGATAGCAGGGCTTTGGGCTGGGCAGGAGCAGACAGGGCTTGATTCAAGACTAGAGCCAGTGGAGTAGACAAGGCAAAGTGCTCGGGCAGCATAACTTGTCCAGTTCAATCTTGGTCCTATCCTGTATCCTGCTTTGGTGTCATGGATGGGTAAAGAGCATGAGACTGATCCCTGAAAGATTCCATTAAAAGACCAGTCTCTGCATTGATCCCGTGGGTTAGCCTACTCAGACATGCAGCTTCTTCATGAAGGACGACTAGCGTTCTCAAGCCTTCTGCACCTAGACTTGCTCTGCTCAAGGCATTTAGTCAGAGGAGAACAGGTCCTGCTGAGCCTGGATTGTTTCTAGGTTTTTCCTTTCACGTTCACTTGGTGAAGTTTGTTCCTCACCCCTGTCACCACTGGCTTGCTTGGTTTGGGACTTGTAGAGCTGCGCATTGTGTTCTGACACAATCTACATTGTGAAAAGCTCTATAGAAATAAATATGAATTGAATTGAAAGACTGAATACAGCAATATGCTCTTGAACTGAATTTGGCTCTGGGGTCGAATCTAGTCAAGACTGCACTCCAGGGCTGGAATGGACTGTGCTTATCTGCTATTTTTTTGGGGATGAACTGGACAGTCTGTTCCAGCTCCTTCACAACTCAGGCAACTGATTCGCAACAGGAATTACATTGTACATTGCTGTGGCTACAGATGTTGTGCCTTAGTTTTGATGGGTAGTTAGTAAAGCATGCCAGATCAGAGTAATTCCTTGAGGAAAGATTCTACCTGGTCTAGTACTGGTCATGATGTCCAAGAATAGTAATGGTATTTACATTTACTCATCCAATTTAGAGCAGACAGACTAGCAGCCAGCCATTTGCTGCAACCATCAGGAGGGATGTGTGGATTAGTTGCCTTGCTTAGCGGCATCTTAATTGTGGCCAGTGGTGGAAGAGAATGCTGTTCCTTTCCTCCCAGCATCTAAAACTCCTTAAAGGAATAAAAAACACCCACAGACTCTTGGTAATGTGGCTAATTCTGGAGGAGATGCACAAATTGTAAGGTTATCTTTTAAGTCCAAGTCTTTTAAGTTAAAGTATATACTTTGTGAAGTTTTAGAAATCGAAACTAATTTCGAAAGGATCACGTTATTATGATTGAACATGGCTGGTTCTGCATTAACTATGCATGACCCACCAATTAGACGATTCCTAGCCCATTATAAAGAGACAGGTTTTCTCACTGCAGTCATCTTCCAATTGAAGAATCTTCCCTTCCACCCCTACTCATTCACCCTTTTCCATCATAGGGCGGCATGGTGGTCCAGTCATTAACACTGTTGCCTCACAGCAAGAACGTCATCGGTTCTAGTCCTTTAACAGGCCAGCTGTCGTTTCTGTGCAAAGTTAGCAAAAAAATGGGGGTAGTCTCGAGACCTACCTGATCTCTGAGCTCCCCTCTCACCCTGCAAACAGGAGGGAGCCCAGGGCTCAAGGATCTTTGAGCTCAGGGCTTTCTCCCGGGACAGCATGTCAAACTTGCTTTATAATCAATCATCAGCTAAGTGTGAACTCTTGAAATATAGTTTGGTTCTGTTACACATGGTCAGGATTAGGAACTCCCACCCCATTAGTCTTTTAATTAATAAATTGTGATGATGAGCGTGTCCAACCAAGTCAAACTCACCAATCAGAGGAATTCTGTCAGCCGTAGAGGGCAGTGTGTCATTAAGCATCAGAAGCAGTACAGAAATAGCCAGAAGTAAAGTGACTTTAAAGCTCAGCTTGTCTGCTCCGTCTGCTTCTATGAAGAATGAGGCCACATCCAGCACAATGAAGAAGAACACAGGTATGATAATGTTGATAACATACAGCAAAGGTCTCCTCTTGATGGTGATCTGGCATGTAAACAGAAAAAAATATATATCAGTAAAGTAATTCTGAAATCCATGAATGCTACAGGAAAGGAAGTATACCATGCTTGTGACACAATCCAGCTTTAAGCACTTTCTTTACATGTTCATATTTTAAAGAAACGATTTATCGCAATGATTCTTGTCTATTGTGTCTCAACAAGTCAGTTTAAATCATTGATTTTGAACTAAGAAGATTTTGAATGAGGCAGGATTTTAATGACACAATGGTTCATGACATGAGCGCCCAGCTGTCATTACCAAAAACTAAAAGTTACCTTACATAGAGACCATTAAGTGGTTTAATTGAGTGTTCAATATGATACACACCCACTGTTTTCAACCAAAATCACTGATGAGAATGTTTCTGGAACCTTGGAAACAAATTGTCAGTTTTTAGCGCACGTGCTTGTTTTGTGCCTGTTGTTGACTCAGCCGTATCGCAAGCTGGTGTAGCCAGTAGGGAAGAGGAATGTTTATTTTAATGATAATATTTGTGAATGAACTTCCCAAAACTAAAAACAAGTAATTTATGTATCATATGCCTCCTAGGCGTAGGAACCTTATTTTGGCATTTGTTTAAGTGGGACCGAAATTAGTGTTGCACGCTTTGCTCGCGGAGAGTGTGGCATGCACTAAATGGGCTCTATGCACGGCGGCGCGTGACGCATTTCCGGTAAAATTTAAGACCCCGAGCCTACTTCCGCCGATCGTACAGTACAGTGCTACAACAGGAGCGCTACTGATAAAAACGAGTAATGTTTTGGACAGTTGTCTTAATGTTTTACGCCATTATAGCCCACTTATATATGTTTATGTCAGCTACATAAATATGACACCTAAACGTTTAAAAGTGTCATTTCAAAGACGTGAGAACAGTACTTGTAGATACCACTGCTGTGTTCAGCAATGCACAGCGTCAAAAATTGAACTCTTACCTTAGTTTCCACACGTTTCCAAAAGACAAAGTCGTGCAGAAGAGGTGGGTTGGTGATATTTAACGTGAGAATTTTACAGAAACAGAAAAAAACAAGAGTGTAGCTGACAATTTCAGTCTAGAAAACTGATCGAGGCTCGAGTGCCAACCGGATGCAGACATTTAAAGAAAGGAGCTTTTATGGCAAATAATAGTTTATTTTCATTGCCTTTGAAGTAAAAAAAAAAAATGAACATTAACATACATAAACATTTCTTAAGCTACTTTCTAAGTGCAATTTTTTTATTCAGAATAAAGACCTTTATTTTATTCACTGTACATATTAAATATAATTCACTGTATGTAATTTGAAATAAAAATTGTCAAAAAAATTTAACATTTTGAAAAAAATATTTTATTCAGATGAACAGAAAAAAAATGACATTGAATCAGTTGTTTTCTTCAATCAGGTGCTTCTTCTGTAACTTGTGCATAGAGAGGTATTTGGGCTTATACATATTAAATAAATAAATAAATCACCCCTCTGTTTCATGGAACTTTACACATAATTGATCCATTCCAAACAATTGTTCATGTGACAACACACATTACACATTTCAGAGTAATGGGCTGTCTGGAAAAGCAAAGCAACCAAATGTTTGCATATCCCACTCTCAGCCACACAAGAGCAGGAGCTATTAACTAGCAGACGATGGCATGGATCTTCTGACGGATGTCCACTCCAGGATGGAGTAACACATAAAATTTTCTAGCTCTGAATCTCATAATGTTACCTAGAAAACAGAAACGAGAATATTAATAGGTTTTTAAAGAGAGTCATTAAAGGCAGTTCACTCAAAACTGAAAATTCTATTTCCTCATCCTTCACTTGTTCCAAACCTGTTTGAGTTTCTTTCTGATGTTTAACACAAACAAAAATACTTTGAAGAAAGCTGGAAACTTGCAACCACTGATATTCATAGTAGTTCTTTTTCATACTATGGAAGTCGATGGTTACAGGTTTTCAGCTTTTTTCAAAATATCTTCTTTTTAAAGGCATCTGCAGCAATATCATCAGATTAAACTACACAGTAAATCATTAATTTAAATTATTTAAAAGTAGCTCCCTTTAGTCACACTTTAAAATAAGGTTTCATTAATTAATGTATTTGCTCACTATTAAAATAACTATTTAATATCTAACATTGTTAAACTAATTTACTAATGAATAAAAATCCAAAGTCATGCTTGTTAACATTAGCTATTACATTGTGAGTTAACAAGCACAATGAATAAGCATTTGTTCATTAATGTAAAAAAATAATAAATATTGAAATAGACAAATTGTTGATGTGAAATTAACTAATGACACCTTATTGTTTTGGGTCACCCTCCCATTTAATTACAATGTTATCGACTAAATAGAAAGCATGCTATCTACAGGGTTACACTGCATCTGTCATCTCCACTGTTTCAGCAATAAATTTCAGCATTGACACAGTGCTATTTGTCTGTTGTGGATGGAACGGCATTGTATTATTTTATTCCTAATATATCTTGCTCAATAATCATGCTTACAAGCTAAGACAGCATCTGTGTTTCTGTAATTATCCGAACTGAACAGTGGTGGTCACTTTAGAACAGTAAAAGTATGAATGGGACAGAACTTCACATGTATGCTGTCCTACTCTCAGCTGGTGAGGAGACTTCGATTTCTTCATAGATCTGTCGGTAGTAATGAGCTCTCACTGAGATCTTATTCCTGCCCTGTTTTTACCTGACACTTTGACACAGAATTACGTACACATATGATTATTTTTACTTACGTGATAAAGATGCAGATGGACGGATCGTAAGAGTATTAACGATAAAGTTACCTTCATAATTGCAAAGGTAGGAAGATGCATACAACTTGAAACCCTTCTCAAGCTTTGCTCTGCGGTGTTGTAGAGCACATCCGGACAATCATTTGCACATCGTTGACCATAATTTACTCGCAAACAGCGAGTAAATATTGACGACTCTGCCATAATACTGTTTACCTCCGCTTAAAATCACCCAGACCGGAAGCTGGACCGCGGCCTTAGACAAAACGCGGAAGTAATGCGTGCATATAGCCCATTCCAGGGGTTTCATTACCACGACGTAAAATGGGCGTGGCTATGTCGGTGTTTGGGAAACGCCCCCTTAAAAAAAAAACAATACTGAGAGGTCACTGATCATGCGCAGTACAGGTTCTTTTTTAGCGCGGTCATTTCAAACAGGATGATTATGGATAAAGAACCTACCGCGGTGGATAACGAAGGAAAAAAACAATCATACAGGTTATTTTTTTGTTGTTATAATGTTATATTTTAAAGATTTCATTAGCAAGAACAGCTGACCTCGTTTTAATCCGTTTTACTGTCTCTGGGCTTTTGTACTTCCATTTTAAACCAAATAATAATGGTTGTGGTAAGGTTAACCGTGTTTTTGTAGTTTAAAATATGGTATTCAGTCATGTTTAAACAAATAAATACCACATTTTCTGTAATAAATCGTGGTTAATTTTTCTTTCTCAATCTTAGTTAATTAACATAACTCATATTTATTTTCTATTTTTATTTAAAGTCATCATACACAAAACAACTGGGATCAGGACAGGTATCTGATGTCAATTAATATAAAAGTGATCATACATGAAACACCTGGGATCAGGACAGGTATCTGATGTTACTGTATATAAAAGTGATCATACATGAAACCCCTGGGATCAGGACAGGTATCTGATGTTACTGTATATAATATAAAAGTGATCATACATGAAACACCTGGGATCAGGACAGGTATCTGATGTCAACTAATATAAAAGTGATCATACATGTAACCCCTGGGATCAGGACAGGTATCTGATGTTACTGTATATAAAAGTGATCATACATGAAACCCCTGGCATCAGGACAGGTATCTGATGTTAACTAATATAAAAGTAATTATACATGAAACCCCTGGCATCAGGACAGGTATCTGATGCTACTGTATATGATATATAAAGTATTTGACACAAAAGCCGTAGGATCGGGACAGGTATCTTAAGTTATAACAGTATTAATGTAATCTGAGAGGTATCTTAAGATAATTTGTTTAATATAACATACACTGACTTCACATGAAACACCTGCGATCAGGACAGCTATTTAGTACTGCATATAAAAGGCATTTGACACGAAACCCCTGCGAATACGTACAGGTATCTGAATCTAACGGCTGTTTTCACAATCTGCGCATGATCCGTGACCTATGCAAATTCACAGATAGGCCACGCCCACCCGATGACGTAGTAGCGGTTACGCTGTACTGAAACCCCTGGAAAAAAGTGCCTGCCCGGAGAGTGTGGGAGAGTTGCGTCAGCCTCAGTAGGAGTCCAGACGCTGACGGGGAAAGACGTGCAAAAGTTTCTCCTGCACTTGTGTTTCTATTGGTATGTTTAATATAGTCTGTTTGATTGAAGTTTATATAATGTTGCATAAAATATGTTTAGGATCGTTTTTTATTCAATCAGTTTATAATCTTGAGATAATTCTGAGATTTATGTGAGTATAATATTGTGCACAGTGTGTGTGAGAGAAGAAGAAAGCATGAGGTTTATTTCTGATTGGGTGTCCCATGTGTTTCAGGTATGTTTCATGTTAAAGGGTCACGAAACACCAAAACACATTTTTTGAGCTGTTTACAGTCGTATATGTGTCCCACACTGCTAAAAACACTATTAGGACACCTATATTTCACTAAAAAGTGTAAATTGGTTGTTTTTGCGTTATTTCAAGCAAATTCGTACTTCCTGTTTGAAACGAATTTTTGAAGCTGCGTCACGGTCATGACATAATAGCGTTGTATTCCAGCGTGCAGACTGGGCGTCTGTGCCAGAGTGTGCCTTATTACGTCTTACAGTGTGATGCATTAATGCATGAGTAAGGCTTGGTTCAAACCAATCAGCGCGCTCTATTGTGCAACTTCATTAATATTCATTAGTGTCACCGTCTTTACACCACAGAGACGCCACGTTGTGTTGGCAAAACAAGCGTGAAGTGTTGCTTTTACAGTTTGCTGCCATTAAGTTTCGTTTTCATTTTCTCTCTGTGAGAGCTCAGCTGGATCACGTGTGGATTACAGTGTACGCGACGCTCGACAACAATAACTTGCGTGTCTAAGGGGGATTATTGTTTACCTGAGAGCTGTTCTCATCTGCAAATGCTGAAATCCGGATTCCGGATGTAGTCTTCTCTTCATAAAGACGCGGCTCTAGTTGCTGGTGATTGTCCTGTCTCTACAGATTTGGTAAGTGAGCGACCAGTGCTCTTTGTATATTCAGTTTGTTCGTATCAAATAAGTTAACTATTGCATTGAGTGCAAACATGTTAGCACCGCATTTTGTGACCGGAATAACACACGCGGATTTCGGACGCTACCTGCCGTGTGCATCTAAGTTTCCGGGAAATGCGGAGTTTTTTTTCTGTCATTCGCCGTGCGGTATCAAACATTGCATGAAAAATACACGCTTAGAGCAGTTCCTCGAATCAAATATCTCGTTTGTCGCGAGGGGCATGAATGAATTCCCTGAATGAAAGAGCCAAACTGCAGTTAAAGTCCGACATTTAATAATTTGGCAAATAATTCGACTACAGATGTCCATGTAGGTTAAACACCATCCCTTTCTCCTGTGTATTTTGACTGACACTCGCGCGTGCCCAAATAGACACTCCCACACCCTCCCACTTTAGTTCCTCCGACACTCCCCCCTAAACAGAGCTGGACACCCCCACTTTTCTGACTTTTTCCAAAGAAGAGGTGTGAAAACACCCTGCTGAAACGAGGGGGTTTCATGGCCCTTTAATTCAGATTGTAAAACTGTTATGTGTGAATCTATTTATACTGCTTTTATCATTCTAATTGTTCTCAAAAATTAACAATTGACTATCTGAATCTAAATTGTGCTTTTATGTCATGGTATATTGCATAGTGAATAAGCCTAATTGTTTGAAAACATATATATAACATATATATGCGTGGAGAGAGTTTCTGATTGAGTGTCCCATGTGTCTTAGGGACCAACAAAAAGATGATGCAGAGCTGTCCTGCTGTTTCCAGTGTGATTGTTTGTTATGTACAGATTGGGATCTGCTACTTAAAACTGGTGCCGTGACCCGGATGGGAGTGAGGTTTAGGGGGTGAGTGTAACAGAGGCCAGCTAGTATGTGCTGTGCAGGTAAACCCCACTCCTCTGACCTCTAAAGTTGCTCTGGTGACAGACTCTAGAGGCTATGGTCTTTAGCCTCCTTGTTAGAGCAACCAACTCCCATGCGGAAGGTCACCGGTTTGAAACCAGCTCGGAGCGGGTTGGTTAGCGTAGGACCGGTGGCGTTACGTTATGTACAGATTGGGATCTGCAAAAGGTTTGTTTCAAAGGATGGCCAGACAAATTTTAATATCTGGGTAGCCTGTGCTCCTTACTTGATATACCAGGACATCCTGTAAATCTCCTAGAACAGTCGCATGAGCCTTGGAAGTGTTGATTAAGAGGAGTTCCCACTCTCCCTGGGCTGCAAGTAGATTCTTGGAATCCTGAGTAATATTTTGTGCTTTAGACAACGGATCAATCGTGAGCTCCTTATCTGTCCAAAAACAAGAAACAAGCGATCAAATACTTGGTTAAAACTCTCACATGGTTAAACACCATTAATAAAAAATGATTTATCTTGTCATATTTTGTATATGTACTTGTGTGCACTGCTGATTGAAATGTTATATTGCAGATTTGGGTGTCGAAGGGAAATTTGTACAAGTCCATCCTGCAAGCCGTGGTCAGAGTTAAAATATCAATGGAGACTGAAAACTCCCACATTTGCAACTGCACATACGGAGACGGTGTTGTTCCATAGTCTGTCTTGATGCTAAACAAACAACAATGCCATACAGATTATTATGACTTGCCACTCTTCAATGCAATGATCACATCTGAAAAGTGTTTTAATAACATTTCTAGTTCTCAATAAATGTTACTAAGGACTTCCGATTAAGCAAAGTTGTGTACATATGATGTCATTTATGACATTGTATGCCTCCTGAGGCAAACCTGCCAACACCCTTGTGTTTCCCAAGAGTTTCTCGTATTTCACACTCATTTCAGACCTCTTTTACACACAACTCCCATCATTTTTATGGCTGAATCGTTACAAAAAACTTTTTGTTTAATGATGCTCTGCTGAGATTTTGAGAGACTGAATGTTTTTTTAGTTGAGTTCATCAACAGCTGTGACTGAAGAAAAAAAAGACATCATATACACTTTCATGTCCCTAAATATGTCTAATAGACTGCGTTTGGACACAACTTTGCTTTGGGCAGTTCCCCTTCTTTTACCTATCACTTGCCTCTATTCAACAATGAAAGTGAGAGGGGTTAAAAATTTATAATATAATTTGCCATTTCCTACCTTTCTTTAATAAGAATATCAGGAGTCCAAAACATTTCTTTACTTGCTTGAAATCTTGTGATTCCACATTGTTTGGAGTACATCCACAATGGAATGCCATTGTACCAAGCCTGCAAATGCATAAATAATAATTTCAGAATTATTATATTTTATTGTCACAGTTATTAGCTGGAGTACCAACCAGGCTTAATAGAGGGCACTCCAGCTATATGTACTGTCCACCATGCACTACATAAAACAACAGGAGTGTCAGAGTTCTGTCACAAAGCTAAGTATTAATCAGAAAGAAAAGACAGAACCCTGACAGTATTTTCAGAACCCTGACAGTCTTGCAGTACATTTCTGTACATTTTACAGCATATAAATGAGTTTTTACACAAATATCCTGTACATTATACTGTTTTGTTTTTAATCAAATAATTCTGGCAACCAGAGCTGACAGTTTAATTTTTTTACAGTGTATAAAAACAATTTATTTATTTCTTTTTTTTTTTTTTTGTGGGCCGTGTGGACATTTGGATTGTAAAGTCAAATGTAAATGTTAATCTGATCATATTTAACAAAGTAAAATAGGCATTTTAAAACACTTACAGTCATCATTTTGACCTGTGTTGAGAGGCTTTGGGCCTTTTCATTCTGTAGATAAATAGTGTGAAATTATGAGTAATAAAAGTGTCAAATGATGATACTTCTTGACACATCATTAATAGGTTTAACAAGATATGTCAAGCTGGATACATACCACAGCTGCGATGGAGGTTACATACATGTCCACAAAAACAAATGAAGGATAGCCATCAATAAAGGGCCGCTTGTAGGTCTCCTTGCTGTTTGTAAAATTTAGGATAAATTCATATATGGTTGTGTAAGATTCACGGTAAATTTCCGGATGACCATTGCAGTCCATATCAGCATACAGTTCTGTTTCTGACACGTTGAGGGTTTCTGTCACACAAGAGAATATTCTTAAGCAACCAGTCAGCAAACATTTGAAAATGTACTCTATAAGACCTGTATTATTAATTGACAACTCTTACACACACTCTCACACACACACACACACACACACACACACACAGAGAGAGAATTATTAGCCTCCCTTGAGTTATAAGTGAGTTTTTCCTCAAATCAAGCAAAATAATCTGCCAATGGGGTAAGCAAAATAATCGTGTTTTTCGATTTGCGATAAGATTATTTTGCTTACCCTATTGGCAGATTATTTAGCTTGATTTAAGGAAAAACTCACTTCATTTTGGCATATTATTTCTTAAAACAAGACAATATGTTTTGCTTGTCTAGAAAATGCTTCTTGATTTAAGAACTTTTAGATATTTGGACTAGAAACAAGACAAAAAATCTAAGTAAGAAAAGCATTTTTTGCAGTGTAAGAGAAATAAATGGATGATTAAAGAAGATACAGACTAGAAACAAGTCAAAATAGCTATGCTTTAGTAAAGAAAAACCTGTTATAACACTTATTACAAGCAGTGTATTTAGTCTTACATTCTGTCTTAAACTGAGTCAAACCTTCAAACTTGAAACAGTGTTAATGTATGAATTAAATCAGGATCACACTTGTACAAATGTGTACAAACCACTTTAAAAACAAATCTTAAATCTTAAATTTAATCAGGTCACTAACACTTCAGATTAAAGTATTACCAACTTTACAGCACGTGTGTATTGCTCAATGCATGAACCACTTTTAACTGAACAGCTTTAATTAAATAATATTAAAAAAGCACTTACCAGCTGTGGAAAAAAGTAAAATAAGCCAATGTAGGTACATGGTGAACAGGTACGAGCAGGTTAAGCTTTTGACCATAATGATATTCTCTTCAACATGGACTGGTCAAAAGGTCATATTTATGGGCTGCGGGTTAAAAACAGGCCCAACATCCCCCAGTATATGCTTATTTACTTAAAATGTAGGCCAAAGTTCAAAACAATTAGAATGACAAAGAAACTTAAGGATGTCTACTGTGATGGCACTGTGCTTTAAATATTATAATGACTCTCAAGTTTGGTGTAAATATAGAATAAAGAAATGACACAAACATAATGCTGAACAGCTAGAGGGCAATGTGGCTTTCACATTATGACAGTGATATTTGATATTCTTTCTGTTTGTTTTTGTGATTATTTCTGTATTTTTGCCTTGAGCATTTGAAGGGGGTGTTTCTGCAATGTTTGAATAAAATAATCCCAACATTTAAGAATAGAAAAACACTTTGCCAAGGTGTTTACCTGCTAATCTTTTTTTTATATATAACATGCAGGCAATGAACAACCAGCATGAGAAATGAAGAGTCAGTAGTAAAGAAGTGTCAGAAGTCAGTAACACAGCCTCTGTCCTTGTGAATGCATTTTTTATCATTAAAACACTTTATCTGAAGGTGCAAACCTGAGGAAAATTCAGCATTAACCCTCCTGTCATGTTCCCATCTCACCCCTTACTTTAGTGTTCCCGGTCAAAATTAACCGGTCTGTTTTTACTGCTTTTAAATTAGCACGAAAAACTTTTTAATCAACATTCTTTAACTGTGAACAATGCCTTAAAGTAGTGTTTAACATGAATTTATAGAATTAAACATAAAATAACTGCAGTGAAAATACAAATGTATTACAAAATGAACAATAGAAGACAGAAATCAAAGGTCTGACCAAAGAAATTGAAATTTTAATCCATCTGAATGATTTATCAACCAGCAAAGCACAAACAAACTATATCCTTTCCTGTGTATTGAGTGCTCAAATTTTCATTTAGTCATTCAATTGCACTATATTAGTGTGCTAATGTAGGGAATAGTAAATAAGGGTATAGACGGTGATTGAGGGCACAGCACTAGCAGTAGTTATACTCTGGCCAATTTTAAGTGAGATGCTAATGGTCTAATCCAATAAAAAAAATATATATATGTTAAGCTAAGCTAAAAGTGCTGCTAGACCCAGACGTTGGAATGAATTTGTACAGTCTGATGAGTGAATATAGTCTGGAAACCCATTCATTACCTATGGCGGTCACTTTTGACCGGGAACACCACAGGTGTAACAAAGTTGATTAAAACACTCAAAATTCAATGAAAAATTGATCATCACTTTTATATGTTTAAGTGCATAATGTGGAGGATATAATAAGGTCTTGAAGTAATCAGATATAAAACACAATATTTACAAGTGTTTTAAGAACGCAGCAACACGAATGGTGTTTAATGAACCTAAAAGAGCACGTCACTCCGCTGCTCATCCGTTTGCACTGGCTGCCAGTTGCTGCTCGCATAAAATTCAAAGCTCTGTTGTTTGCCTACAAAACGACTTCTGGCTTTGCTCCTTCTTATCTGCTCTCACTTCTGCAGATCTATGTGCCCTCCAGAAACTTGCGTTCTGTGAATGAACGTCGCCTCGTGGTTCCATCCCAAAGAGGGAAGAAATCACTTTCCCGAACGCCCGCGCTCAATCTGCCCAGTTGGTGGAATGAACTCCCTAACTGCATCAGAACGGCAGGGTCTTTCGCTGTCTTCAAGAAACGACTAAAAACTCAACTATTTAGTCTTCACTTCCTAATCTGCAATTGCCAATATACCACTAACTGTACCCAAAAAAATAATTAAATAAATAAATTTACTAATGCTTTCCTTCTTAGACTTTACAGACCTGAAACTTGCCTACAGCACTTTTTCATTGTTGCTCTTATAGTTGTGTAAAATGCTTCCTTATCCTCATTTGTAAGTCGTTTTGGATAAAAGCGTCTGCTAAATGACTAAATGTAAATGTAAGTTGTAAATCGGTAAGATTTGACACAAACACGACAGGAAGGTTAAGTTTCAACCTTCTCACTGTTAATTCGATGTTTTTTTTTTTCAACAATGAGCTGTGATCTGCACTGTCAACCCAACTAGTTGACTGTAATAGAAAACTGCTTAAACCACTTAAGTTTTTACACAAGGAGAATCTAAACAGCCATTGTTAAATTAACTAAGCAAACATGTCCTAACTAAGTCTTTTAGATGCATTTAAGGATGTTGTAATGATGTCCTTTGAGGATGCAGAATAATGTCTTTTAGTTAAGTTTATACGTCTTACACGTCACTTCCGGTGTGTGGTACATTCCAACACAATCTCACGGCAATTCGTAACTTTTTCATTTAGTGGCTAATTCGTACAAATTCGTACGATCTAATTCATACATTTTAGTACGATTTGTATATCCCCCAATGACGGTTGGGTTTAGGGGTGGGGTTAGGTGCCACGCCTCCTTTTTAAAATCGTACATTTTCTTACGACTGAACTCGTACGAATTTGTACGAATTAGCCACTAAACTGCCAAAACGTAAAATACTTACGTTTTCTCGTGAGATCAGGCTGTACATTCCCTTTCCGTAAGGAATCTGTAATTGTAAATTTGTTTCAGGAATTGTAAAAGTGTTTTGCGTCTTCTTAATTTTTTTCTAAAATGTAAATTTGTTTCGTCCTAGGTAAAATCGTTTTTCCTATGTAATTGTGTCTGATGATAGGTAAAAATGTTTTTCAAAATGTAAATTTGCCTCGAGCTTTGTGAAAATGTTTTACACTTTGTAATGTTGTTTTGCACTTCCCGCCGACCGTACTAAATGGATGTTGCTGCTGGCTACCTTCTAAGAAAAAAGGGTACTACCAAGAATGCATTGTTTACCAGAATAATTCTGCTTTGGTGAACGAAAAAAAAAATGTTTGAACACATCTGCCTATGATTCTTAATCACAAAGGCATGATATGAACAACAAACATTTTAAGTGGTGCATGCCCTGTCCCTGAGCAATATCATCTCATATTGCAAGTGGATTTGAATGGTTCCTCAGAGGATTGTGTTTAAAGTTTAGCTGTATGTTTGCACAAACTATTAGACTATTTATTTTATTAGGGTATAATTTCCTGTAGCTCAGCTGTATGTTTACGAGAGCAATAAAAATAAAGCATAATCCAGCCTTATTGATTATCAATGAAGATATTTGGATGTGAATGTGTGGATGTTTGCATGTTTCTCTCATGGAGTATAAATATGACTGAAGGACAGTTCAGGAGTGAATCTTCATTTGTCTGAGATGGAGTTTTCTCTCTTCACTACACATCTACACTGGCTACTGCTATTTCTTGCCTCAAGAGGTAAATATTGTTTAAATATTGCATTTGTGATCGTTTGTCAACAGTGTTTATTACATTAGATGAACAAACAATGAGCAATGAAACCATATGAAGAACGGACCCCTGGACTCTTTGCAGTCTAATTACTCCCTGATGTTGTTGTTAACACCTGTGGAAGGATGGTATGCTTGTAAGATAGGTTTCTTCAGTTTGTTGTTGTTTCTTTGATTGTTAGCAGTTAGACAGAGGATACCAATTGTGTCAGCTGTGTTCTTGCATCCTAAAACGGTTGGAATCATTTTAGTCACAAGAGTCTCAGCTTTCAAAATTTATGTTAAACGTTTGGTCTTTGTTGAAGAGTCGTTATTTTTGCAAGGTTTCCCCTTAAAGCATGCTATGTATCACGGATAAAGCTGTAAGGGTTGAGAGTTCGGCTTTGTTGTGACGGCTTGGATGGTGGCATCCGGGAGTGTAGGCGGAGTTCGTTAGCTGGAGATTTGCGGATGCATAGCATGAGGTTGGTGGAGGTATGTGGCTGGATGTGAATGGATGTGGATGGAGGAGGAGATTTTCTGACAGCGTTGCCAGTTGTAGTACTGGCAGGGCTGGGTTCGGGGAGAGCTCTGGCTGAAGTTGTTGTTGTTGTTTGTTGGTTCTTTTCTATATATCCAACTTAAGCTGCGGTCACACTGGGCTTTTCCTCCCATAGACTTCCATTCATACGCACGCGAATGCGTCAGACCGGAAACCTGGGTCATGCGTCAAGTTTCGCAGGTTGCTGTGGTGCAAAGTTCAAGCTTGGTAAACTCTGACCTGTGAAATCTCATCACTTGGCTGCGTGAGACCAATCGAGGATCAAAACATGACCTCTCTGGACAGAAATTTAAAACATGGAGCAATCGCTTTCTTTTTTAATGCTTAATAATCTTGTTTATGCCCCTTTTCGCAGCAGCGCACGACAGAAATTAGCATGCTCAAACTCTAGTGTGACCGCAGCTTTAGACAGAGGTTACTAATTGTGTCAGCTGTGTTCTTGCATCTTAAAATGGTTGGAATCATTCTAGTCACGAGAGTCTCAGCTTTCAGAATTTATATAAAACGTTTGGTCTTTGTTGAAGAGTCGTTATTTAAGGTTTCCCCTTAAAGCATGCTATGTATCGCGGATGAAGCTGTAAGGGGTGAGAGTTCGGCTTTGTTGTGACGGCTTGGATGGTGGCATTAGGCGGAGTTCGTTGGCTGGAGATTTGCGGATGCATAGGATGAGGTTGGTGGAGGTATGTGGCTGCTTGAATGGGTGTGGATGGAGGAGTAGATTTTCTGACAGCGTTGCAGTTAAATGGTGGAAGAGCTTGTGGGCCGGTGGTACCTCAGGCTCGATTTGTTGTACTGGCAGGGCTGGGTTCGGGGAGAGCTCTGGCTGAAGTTGTTGTTGTTGTTGTTGTTTGTTGGTTCTTTTTCATATATCCAACTTAGGTTGGAACTTAGGTTATTTATGGTGACTTAGGAATCGTCTGATTGGTGAATCATGAATTGGCAAATGCTGGACCAGATCAATCAGAAGGACGTGATCGTCTCGAAATGAAATAATCTTCACTTAGTGTGAAATACCTCAATGATGTGAAGACACAAAATCAAGTTGTGTAGTCTGAATGACAAAGCGATCTGCCAATGTTTAAACTTATGTAGTGTGTACTAGGCTTAAGTCAGTTGTAGTTTTGTTTCTCTTCAGTAATTCTGCTTGTTTAAAGAAGGTGTTCATTATTGATGCTCAATCAACACTCATTTATATCATTAACTTCAACCCCAACACTGAGTGGGGGTTAAACCAGCCTGATCTCACGAGGAAACGTAAGTATTTTACGTTTTGCAAGTTTAGTGGCTAATTCGTACAAATTTGTACGAGTTCAATCGAGTGAAAAAGTACGATTTTAAAAATGAGGCGTGGCACCTAACCCCACCCCTAACCCCAACCGTCATTGGGTGAAATGCATATCATACTAAGTTGTACCAATTAGGTTGTACGAATTAGCGACTAAATCAAAAATTTACGAATTGCTGTGAGATTGTGTTGATTATACTGACACTGAATAGTGTTAATTTAAGTCAGTTTAACAGAGAGTCTCGTCTGCACAGGATGGGTGTCTGATGCACAAATTTGCAATGCCTCAGCTTTTGCTAATTCATACGAGCAACTTTATAAATATCTTGGCCTGGGCGGAAATGACAATCGGACAACATACATGCGGCCTATGTTCCCAGGGCAAACCTACACCCGTGTTTTGGTGGACTTGTATGTGACCTCCATCGTAGAAGTGGTGAGTGCAGGTTCATCTACTCGTCCATTATGATGCATCAGACAGTTATATATCCATCACTGTGTTTGTTTCATCTACAGTTTGAAAAAGAGCAGAGGCTCTCAACACAGGTCAAAATGATAACCGTAAGTGCTTTAAAATGCTTTTGCAAAAATGTATGCAGCATGTGTGTCATAAAATCATTGTGAACCAAATGCCCTTACCTTTTGCAGGTTTGGTTCGACTCGAATGTGCTGTGGAACTCATATAAGTTTTGTCAAATTCTAACGATTGCAGCTCCAAGGAATTTATTTTGGAGACCAGACATTGTTATAGCAGAGAGGTATAAAATATGAATCTGGTCTGTTTTAACATATCGCTATTGTGTCACACAATTCATCAGATTAATTCATTTTACTGCAGAGTTCATGAACAAGTCTGATGTGTTCTGTTCATATTTCCAGCTTATTTTGAAAATGTAATTTTGATAATCACATTTGGCCATTTAGTAACACTTTATTTTGATGGTCCCCCTTTAGATAGTCTGCTGACCATAAGTTACTTTTCAAGTTCTTACCTGTTTACTCCCCTGCTGAAAAATCAAGCTTAAACCAGCTTAGGCTGGTTGGCTGGTTGACCAGTTTAGTTTTAAGAGGGGTTTTGGCCATTTCCAGGCTAGTTTCCAGCCATTTCCAGCCTGGTCTTAGCTGGTCAGGTTGGAAAATGACCAGCTTAAACCCGCCTGCCCAGCCTGGTTTAAGCTGGAGATACCTGGTTTCGGCTGGGCACCTTGCCTGGCTAGGCTGGACAAGCTGGTTTACGCTGGTCATCTCCCAGCCTGACCAGCTAAGACCAGGCTGGAAATGGCCGGAAACCAGCCTGGAAATGGTCTTGCCCTTAAACTCCTTTCTGAAATGGGCCCGTTATTTCTAAGGCCGTACTCACACTCTGTACAGTTGCTTCGAACTGGGCCAAGGCACGCTTGTCCCCCCTCTCGTCTCCTCCGACGGCACACATTCACATTACAATCAGGCCTGGGCACGCTTACGTCATCAATGCTGCGCTGTTCATTAAGTGCTCTTGCTCAGCACACTGGAGATTTCTCTAATTATATCGCTTTAGTCCTTAGGGATGCAGTGACACGCAGATATTTCACCGAACAGATCAGCCACTTTTGACGCTCATAAACAATCATAAAGTCCTTGTGCTGCAGGAATTAGGAGGTTTGCTGAAGGTGTGCAGTGAGGGGTTTGCGTCTTTAATAAACTACGACAGTTTGCGTTCACTTAACAGTAAGAATGATTAATAAATCCATATGAAACAGTCCCTTAAAAGTCAGGTCTCGCTTTCAGATTCGGGCTTAGGCACGTTTTGCAATCACACACAAGCGTACCGAGCCAAAGCCCAAGTGAACCGCACTCAGGCACTCAGGCTCTTCCAACCGGGCCAGGGCCGGCCAAGTGAACCAGTGCCTGACCCCAATTCAGCGCACTCACACTTTTAAAACGATCCGGGAAACGGGCCTGGGCACGGTACGGATAGCATAGTGTGAGTACGCCCTAATATGCTGGATAAGTTGGCAGTTCATTACGCTGTGGCGACCCGGATTAATTAAGGGACTGAGCCGAAATTGAATTAGTGAATATTTTTAAAGTAAAGCATTACTTTACTTGTTACTTAGACAGTAATATTATTACACAACTCGCGTTACTTGTAATGTCTTACCCCCAACACTGTTCGTTACACATTTTACAATTATGTTTCTGTTTGATTTAAGCTGGAAAATGGATGATCAAAACATACACGGACCTTATTATACCAGTGACTATTGCCTACACTGTAAAAAATAAATCCGTAAAATTTACGGTAAAAAAACGGCAGCTGTGGTTGACAGTACTTTACCATAAAAAACACGGTACAAACAAAAATGTAATGTGTTTATTTTGAATGACCATTATCTTCACATCTTTCGTTACACAGTTAAACACGTTAGCACACCCACATGCAGGTGGTGATGAGGAAGTTACATAAAGAGTCAATGCTCATCACAATCAACTTTTCCCACAAGCAGAGAAGAGTATCAGCACATAGAAGGTGCTCAGTGTCATTCATACAGCTACTAAACACCAGTATGATAACACACGTAAAATTAAAGTCATGGAATAAACATTGTTTATCAACATTAGATGTAAAATAAATCTGTGATGTACATAACTTATGGGGAAACAACTAAAAAGATCCATATTAATGTCAACAAAAAGCATAAAAAGTTACTGTATGTGCCATACAGGGAATTCTGGGAAAGTCAATTTACGGTTATTCGCCGTATATATTAAGGAAACATACTGTTAACCAGGTTACAGATTTGCACTGTAGCATATTTACAGTTTTTTATTGTTGAAATCACGGCCATTTTTTACAGTGTATGTATTATTTAGTCGTTTTCGGTATCATCATCTTGTCTTAATAATCGACACATTGTTTAATTATCTAATTATTTATTTTTGTTTCTATAGCGTCAAGACAGAGATCGGAACAGTAGAGTCTTCCTATGTGCAATTGGTCTTTTTTGGCTATGTGGTTTTGCCTGAAGTTTTGTCTCTGAACACAGTCTGTAAGCTGAACCTCTACAGGTTTCCCTTCGACACCCAGAGCTGCAATATAACAATTCAGTCTGTGGCGTATTCAAGTAATTGAAAACCCCATTAAGTTTATTGAACAAACATTTAATGAAACACTTTCAATGGCTTGTCTTAAAAATAATACAACTCCTATGTTTATTCCCAAAGATGTGGATCTTAAACTTGAGACATTGCATGATACAGGCGTTCTTACGAATTCTTCCAAGCAATCCTTTCAGTCCCAGGGAGAGTGGGAGCTCCTCAATATAAGCACATCTAAGTCTAAAGTCTTCCTTATGTTTGGCTACGCAGATCAGCTGATATATCAGGTACAAAGCACAGGGCATAAAGTACAAGTAAGAATTATACTTTCATTTAATCTGTTCATAATAAAGTCTATAAAAAGCTATAATAATGTGGATTTTTTTTAAAAGTGTGCCATTTAATGCAGTTTTACCATGAAATCAATGATAAATGAAAATGAATGAATGAAATCAATATTTCTGTGTTGTTTAACACTCGTCGATAATACTCTCTCTCCATGTTAGATCACCATCAAAAGAAGACCTCTACTGCATGTCATCAACATTATCCTACCAGTGTTCTTCTTCCTTGTGCTGGACGTGACCTCCTACTTCATAGACACAGACGGAGCCGACAAGCTCAGCTTTAAAGTGACTTTACTGCTGGCTATTTCTGTGCTGCTGCTGATTCTTAATGATACCCTGCCCTCTACGACTTATGAACTTCCTCTGATCGGTGAGTCAGCAGCCTCTTTCACACATATAGACCTTTTTAAAATACTGGAACTCAGTAATTTGCTGTGTACAGTGTGCAATGAATGCAGATGCAATATTGTCAGTATGAGACAATGGTGCTCCCGCTGACTGCCTGGAGCTCGGATACGAGAATACTGTGAAGCAGCTTTCAGCGCATGTCAGAGTCACGTGATGTGTGTTTTCAGCGGTGTAGTGTGGCGGAGAGCCGTTCAGAAATGTTAGATGAAATGCCAGTGTGGACGTGGATGACTTTAAAGATCACCTATGATGTAAAATCTACTTTTTAAAGGGCACCTATGGTGAAAAATCTGCCTTTTAAGCTGTTTGGACAGACGTGTGTAGGTATGGTGTATAGACGGTCATATTGGGGTGATATAAACACATCCAGTCTTTTTTTTATTTTCAATTTAACAACGTAAAAACAGTCGACCAATTTTGAGACCAACCTCAACTTGACGTAGAAGTGTGGTCCCCCCGCACACCAATATTGATTGACAGGCCCGCATTACCACATCCTCAGGTTTTTGTTTAACGTCCAACTTTTCCGGCATTGCTCCCTATGCTCCAAACACCCTTGCTCTATTTTTAGATGTAAGTCTCATTGGGCTCAACACAAGAGCCTTTATCGTCTTCCTGCGAATGAGCAACAGAGATTTTACATTAAGCGGCCATTTGTATTGCAGTGACTGCAACGTATCAATATTGGGGTCATTAAAAACAGCTGGGCGACGCAGTGGCGCAGTAGGTAGTGCTGTCGCCTCACAGCAAGAGGGTCGCTGGGTCAGTTGGCATTTCTGTGTGGAGTTTGCATGTTCTCCCTGCGTTCGTGTGGGTTTCCTCCGGATGCTCCGGTTTCCCCCACAGTCCAAAGACATGCGGTACAGGTGACTTGGGTAGGCTAAATTGTCAGTAGTGTATAAGTGTGTGCATGTGTGAATGTTTCCCAGAGATGGGTTGTGGCTGGAAGGGCATCTGCTGTGTAAAAATGTTCTGGATAAGTTGGCGGTTCATTCCGCTGTGGCGACCCCGGATTAATAAAGGGAATTAGCCAACTAGAAAATGAATGAATGAATAAAAACAGCTGATCTACCGAGTCTTTTAGCACTCTCTCCAAAAACACTCTATTGATCTCGGCTGGTGAATCAACATACACCACATGATTGCTCTCAGTTGTGCCGTTGTTTGTAACTTTAGGTGGATTTGCAAACCTCTGTACTTGTCATTGCGTCTTTCTTAAACTTCAGCCATTTGCATTTCCCACTGTCACAGAAGCTCCCTGTCATCTCAAGGAGGTGCGGTTGTAAAGTTTGAGTGCATTGCCTGATGTGCACGTCCCTCCATTTGAAATAACGAACTTGCCTTAGTTATAGCCTTAGTCAAAGTTAATCCAGTGTCCGTGGTTACTAGTCTCAGTGTACAAGCTCGGAAATTTAAACTAGCATAACTTTGTTTTGTTGCCACAGTTTTGATCTGTGCAGATACACGGTGTTGAAAAGCCTTTATGAGTAATTAACCATGACGAATTAAAGCGCGGTTAATGTTGAAATCGATTAATCAATGCATTCCTGTACGGATGACGCATGCATTGTTACATAGCGGCTGTAAAACCATACAAAGACAAATGATTTTGTAACTACCACTCTGACACATTCTGGCACATTAGGAATATTGATTCCTCAACAGTCGTCTCTGCTTGGTCTTTGTCCAAGTCGTACATGTGCGGCTGAATGCTGGTCCTCTCACTCATGTTGCTTCTCTCTGTCTGCCTGCCGGTTGCCATACACAAAGCGGGGGAGCTCTTGGCTCCGCCTCCTTGTTAAGTTGGGCGGGAAGTTGAAACTAATTTTCCTGTAAAGCAACACACCCCTAAAACAGCGAGCTGTGTACTCGCCCTCAAAACAACACTGTTAATACATTATAATAAAAAAATCTGAACTTAATTTTGAACTGAACCTAAACTGGCACACTCAGAAGAACCCTAATATTAATTTTAAATCTTAAAAAAGGGGTAAACTAGGTGCAGAAACATAAAAAAGCAGAAACATATTAGTGTAAACAGGGCCTAAAATTTGTTTGACTTTAGGAAACCATCACTCAACCCCTGACCATCTGGGGCCTCATGTACCACACACAAAAACTTTGCGTACACCAGATTTGGATTTACAAACGATAAAATTAACATGAGAATGTGCGCTGGTCCACGCCAACTTCATGTCTGGCGTACGTGCATTTCTTGTGTGCTTGTTTTATTTTCATTGGCGACTCCTAGAGGCAATCCGGATCCGAGCGCGAATGGTAGTTTCAAATATGCCAAACGAGCCACGCTAACTGGGCAAACGAGTAAAAGTAAAAAGTTGTCAAAAAATATATAAAGTGGAGTAAAGTACTGATACCGTAACAATCTACATGAGTACAGTAACTAAGTATTTGCGCTTTGTTAATTTCCATTTCTATCTAAAAGACATAATTTGGGAACAACTTGGCCTAATTAATTCAACTAGAGCTGTTTAGTTTCACCTTGTGGTAAATGCTGTATGGCAATGGTTCACTACAAAATGTTTGAGTGTAGAGCGTGCCTTCTTTTCCCCCCAGATATTGTGGAGTCACCAATCATCTCTGTCTATATGAAAACAAAAATTCAGTTATTTCAGATGTAATTTATCTGCTTCAGTCACACTGTGTTTGTGTTTTCTTGGCAGGAATTTACTGCAGTGCGATTTTCAGTCTCATTGGCATCAGCATACTGGAGACCATTCTTGTGAATTTTTTGAGGGCTAAAGGAGCTAAGATCCTATCTGCATCAGCTGCTGTTACTGGACAAGATGGTAAGACTCAACACTGCCTGACCAGTTCATTTTTCTTTAACAAAGATTCCCTAGATAGCAGACAAGCTTTGAAACAACAATAGAAAGGTTAAAATTCAATACTGATTCCTTAGCAGGTTTGCACCCTCACCCTCTTTTTTCAAAGATAAAAAATGTATTCAAGAACCTTAGGCAGTGATAAAGTTAGTGAAATAATTAATTGATTGATCAATTATTGATTGAGCATTATGAACATATGCTGTTAACAAGCACTGAAGACAAACACAAATCTACAGCTGATTCCACTCACACACTTTGTTTCTTATGTCAACGTCTGTAAAAGAAAAATCTTGGCCACTTGGCATTTCTGTGTGGACTTTGCATGTTCTCCCTGTGTTGGCGTGGGTTTTCTCCAGTTGTTCCGGTTTCTCCCACAGTCCAAAACATGCTCTATAGGGGATTTGAATAGACTAAGTGAAGTTTATTTATATACTAACTTCGAGAGGATCACATGATTATGATTGAACACGGCTGGTTCTGCATTAGCTATGTATGATCCACCAATCAGGCCATTTCTATCCTACTTTAAAGAGCCAGGGTTTCTCACTACAGCCATCTTCGATTTGAAGAATCCCCCCTTCCACCCCTACTTCTTCACCTTTCCCTTCATAGCGTGGGCCCAGTGGTTAGCACTGTTGCCTTACAGCAAGAATGTCACCGGTTCTAGTCCTCTAACAGGCTAGCTGACGTTTCTGTGCGTAGTTTGCATGTTCTTCCCATGCTCGTGTGGGTTTTCTCTGGGTCCTCCATTTTCCTCCCACATTCCAAAAACATGCACTACAAGTCTAAATCTAAATTTAGCACTACAGTCAAACTCTTATCCAGCAGCATATCTCTTTATAGCATTCATTTTAGTCATCAGCTCTTATCAAGGGGGGAGTTGTTGATCTACCTCAGCTCAAGGCTCCCCTCTCACCTTGCAAATGAGAGGGAGACCAGGGCTCAAGGACCTTTTGGGCTCAGGGCTCTCTCCCGGGACACAATGCTAAACCTGCTTATAATCAATCCTCAGCTAAGTGTGAACTCTTGAAACTAGCCGTAGTGTAGGAATGTGTGTGTGAATGTCAGAGTGTATGGGTGTTTCCCAATACTGAGTTGTGACTGGAAGGGCATCCGTTGAAATAGTTGGTGGTTCATTCCGCTGTGGCGAACCTTGATGTATAAGGGACTAAGCTGAAGAAAATGAATTAATGAATCTGATTCACAAGATACACTTTGCACCAGAGTTTAGTTCTAAATGTGACAAAAAAATTGTGTTATTACAAGGTTCTATAGTCGATAACTACTTCCTGTATATGATGAAAATCCCTTACATTCCAATGAGAAACGTTTACCTTCCAAATAGTGTTTAACTGAAATAAAACAAATAAAATAGGTCAAAATATCAGCAGAGGCTCATAAACAAATAAAGCAAACACTGTTCACCACAATTACAGCAATAAAACAAAATTTCACATTAAAACACAGGAGATGATTAAGAAACATACTCAAAACAAGAATGTCTGTAAACAATAAGACAATTGCTTAATATCAAAAGCAATTAAATAAATAAGTATTAGCTTTGTGCCTTAAAGGGTCACGAAATACCAAAGCACATTTTTGTGAGCAGTTGACAGTCATATATGTGTCCCACACTGCTAAAAACACTATTTGGACACATATATTTCACTAAAAAGTGAAAATTGGTTGTTTTTGCGTTATTTCAAGCAAATTCGTTCTTCCGGTTTCAAATAAATTTTTGAAGCTGCGTTATGCCGCTTAGATACTTACGTGTATTACAGTGTGCAGACAGGATGTCTGTACCAGTGAATACATTGTGACGTCTCTGGGTGTGCAGCATTAATTCATGAGGAAAGACTTGTTTTTTTTGTCCTGTGTTAACAGACCACTGTAATTCACATGTGAGTCTAGCTGTGCTCTCGTAGTGGGGAATGAAAACAAAACCTTCGTTGCAGCACTTTTATAAACTCAACACTGACGACCCATATCTCCAAACAATTATTTTTTTCTACTTAATTACGGTTGGCAAAACAACGTGGCGTCTCTCTGCTGTCTGAACACTGTAACAGGTAAAAACATTCTTCGAAGCTGTCATGCATATTAATGAAGTTGCACTTTATTCACAATAGAGTGCGCTGATTGGTTTGAACCAAGTCTTTCTCGTAAAATAATGATGAAAGCTCAAAGATGTCTCATTGCATTCGCCAGTAAATCCAGGCTACATGCTGGAATTCACACAAGGATCTTATGACCGTGACGCAGCTTCAAGATTTCTTTTCAAACCAGAACAAATTTGCTCAAAATAACACAAAAAACAACCAATTTTCACCTAATGTTTTTAGCAACTTGGGACATACATACATATATATATATATATATATACACATATATACATACATACATACATACATACATACATGTATATACATGTATATATATATCTCGATGATGGACATATATATATGTCATATATATGACTATCAACATCTCAACAAATGTGTTGTGGTGTTTCATGTCCATCATCGTGATGTTCGCTGTGCAAAGTTCTGTAGGGAGGATATTCCACTGTTTAGGAACTGCCACTGCAAACGAACGATCACCCCATTGCTTATACCTGGAACTAGGGATCTCCAGCAACAATAGGCCTGCAGAACAACTAACATCTAATTTTAGTAAGTCTCACTAAGGTTGTTTGTAGACAGAATTAATGTCAGAAGGGTTGGTAAAAAGTGAAGCTGCGGATGCTGTTTGTGGAGTTGTTTAATGATCCTCTGCTGAGATTTTGAGAGATTTACTGTGTTATTATTCAGCTTGTTTCTGCAGATCTCCCCACTGGTAAATTGGAGATGATTCAGACTACATTAAAGTTTTTTTTTTTCTTTTACAGATGGTGTTAGTGGCCCTCCGGTCGATCAAGACAGGGATCAAAAAGAGTTTCAGATTGCAATGTGGTGGATAAAAGTGGCAAGAATAACAGACATGATGTTCTTGATTCTCTATCTACTCACCATTGTTGTGTTTCTGTCTGTGCTTGGGAAAGTTTGGTACATACACTGATCTCATATTAATGAAATGACAAAAATGGAAACTTGTTAACACTAGAGCAACCAGAATTCTATAACTACTAGAAAATGATCACATGTGGTCATACATAATATATTTACATTCAAAGCTTCTTTTGAGATATTAAAATTAAGCTTGCATCAGGGGTATTGCTAGACATAAAGCTCTACTGGGAACGGACCCCCTCAAAAACATCACCATATATAGATCATTGTATATCAGACCCCCTAGGTTTTTGCAATTTCGCGATCAATGAATCCAACGCAATTCGACAAAAAGTTGCAAATATTTGCAATCCTGCAAAATTCCTAATTAAACACAAAATGATCGCAAAGATTAATAATCACATAAGATATTAAATTTCAAACCATATAATCAAATTAAACTTATTTCAGTTTGCAATTATTTGTTTTATACGACTTGTGGTGTATTAGAGTGTCTCTCGAAAAATGACAGCTTGCCTACGCCCTCATAATCATTACATTACATGGAGGGGAGGACGGGGTAATGTTTTGCAGCCTGTGCAGTAAGCATATGCAGAAGAAGCGTGAGTGATTTACATGTGAAGTCAATGCAAAGATGCGATTAGACATCTTGTGGTGCGAATTGACCATTATGTACTTTGGACGCACTTCAGACTTCAATAGTGGGAAACATCTAACAAACGGAGCAGTGGAACAGACAGAAAAGCAAGCAGCTTTCAATGATGGAGATCGGTTCAAGGATGACGGCCGCTGGACGTGACCAAATTGAAGGACATTACTTGTGTTTTACATGTATGGCTAGTATTGTGATCTGCATCAAATCGATAAATGGGTCACACTTCACAATAAGGTTCATTAGTTAATGTTAATTAATGCATTTACTAACATGAACAAATAATGAACAATACATTTACTACAGTATTTGTTCATGTTAGTTAACGTTAGTTAATGAAAATACAGTAGTTCATTGTTAGTTCATGTTACCTCATGGTGCTTTAACTAATGTTAACAAGCATGGACTTGGATGTAAATAATGCATTAGTAAATGTTCAATTATGATTAATTAATGCTGTACAAGTGTTGTTCATGATTAGTATATGTTAGTAAATGCATTTTACTATGCTATGTAAATGCATAAATGATTTTGTTTAACTCTTTCCCTGCTGTTGGCGAGTTTTACGGCAATCCAAGTTTGAGATGTTTTACGGTAGGGGACTCCCTAACGCATGTCCTGAGGTACATGATGTCAGATGAGGAATAAAAAGATGGGGAGAGAAAGTAAGATTGTAAATAAAAATAAGAGTTATACAACATTCCTTGGCTTTATCCCTACTGTTTTAGATCTTGTCCTGACAAGAGACCAAAATAAAGAAGCTTCATTTTTATGATTTGTGTCATTTGCATTGTGTCAGATTGCACACCTAACATAGAAGGCTACCTAATATAATAAATAAGATATCACATATATTCAAGATAACAGATCTTCCAGCTGCAACCCATCACTGGGAAACACCCATACTCATTCACACAGATACACTACGGACAATTAGTTTTCCCAATTCACCTGTACCACATCTTTTTGGACTTGTGGGGGAAACTGGAGCCCCTGGAGGAAACCCACGCGAACATGAGGATAACATGCAAACTCCACACAGTGGTGCTCACCAGTACATTGAGTAAAAGTTGGTTTTATATTCACACATTCGTTCAGTGACAGCTCCATACATTGTTTACCTTGGTACTTTGAATATTCGGACTGAAATCATATGTAAGTATGACTTTAAAACAACATTAGCAGTTAGCACTATTTAATTAACTGTGGACAAAGTTGTACTTTGATGGTTGTTGGCTCCTAATATAATTTTACTATTTATAATGTCCAAATAATACTTTTCTGAGATTTTATTATTTATGAGAAAGACTGAGTGTACGAATATAAAACCAACTTTACCTTAAAGACCAGTACAGTGTTTCTCCAGGTCGGCAGGCGGCGCTTTCTGTTCATGCGCTCATTCCTGCGCCTCAGTCTAATGTAAAAGAAGAAGACATGGCGTCACGACTTTTCATAAACAGTTGCAGGTGAAAATATGAAGATTTTGAGCCGTGTTTTCACCTCAGACATACTCCTCGGTAAGATGATGCGTCTGTTGTGTTTGCATGCGTGTCGCTGTCGCTTCCAGTGTTTTCGGCTGTACTGTCAGCCTTCACTCGTGTGGATTAATGAAAATATACTAACTGCATTGGCCAGCCAACTCCCCCTTAAAAGCCTCACATTTGCCTTTTAAATGTTTAATAATCATCATATGTGCACCACAACAGCACAGGTCGCTTTATTCATTTGCTGTAATTTAAGTAAACAACAACAAGGAATGATTTATGAACTGAAAGAACATTCATTTTTATTTGACAGGTTGTTATGCATGCCTTGCAGAAAAAGCACATTACAAATCATTCAGTTTAACCATTAAAACAGTACATTTTAATTGTTTCTAGTGTGTTTTGGGACATATTCCCTTTTAGATTCACTGTTTTTAACGTGACACCTATAGAAATGAGGTAAAGTTGGTTTATATTCACACATTCTGACTTTCTCCTTGATATTATAATTTCAGAAAAGTGTTTTTTGCTAACACTAACTATTAAAGTACAGCATTGGTCAATTAAATTGTTAATTTGAAATCATACTTGTATGCAGACTAAATATACAAAGTAGCGTGGTAAACAGTAAATGTTACCATATAACAAGTTGTCAAAATGAACAAATGTGTGAATATAAAATCAACTTTACCTCAGTTTGAAAAAAAAATTAAAGACCATTTCATTAAGGTAAAGCTGGTTTTGTATTCGCACGTTCAGACTTTCTCCTTAACTAAAGTTAACTTAATATAACTTAAAATAAATAAATGTTTGTTAATTCCAAATAGGGAAATCATATGATCAAAAAACAGCATTGTTTACAGTCAAAAAACTAGTGCTAATGTTGTTTTCAGGAAATACTTTGATGGGATTTCAGACCCAATATATAAAGTACCATGGTAAACAAGGGAATTTGTCACAAGTTTTCACTGAAGGAATATATAAATATAAAACCAGCTGTACCTCAATTGTTTCTAGTGTGTTTTGGGACATATTCCCTTTTAGATTCACTGTTTTTAACGTGACACCAGTATGGGGTAAAGTTGGTTTTATATTCACACATTCAGACTTTTTCTTTGTTATTATCATTTCAGAAAAGTGCTTTTGCTGATTCTAATTAATAAAGTACAGCATTGGTCAATTAAATAGTGCTAATGTTGATTTAAAGTATACCATTTCAGACCAGATGTTCAAAGTAGCTTGGTAAACAATATGTTACCATGTCAAAATGTTGTCAAAATGTTTAAATGTAAAAATATAAAACCAGCTTTACCTCAGTTTGAGGAAAAAAATACCATTACAGTTTCATTGAGGTAAAGTTGGTTTTATATTCGCAATTTCGCACATTCAGACTTTCTCCTTAACTAACGTTCACTTAATATAACTTAAAATAAATACATATTTGCTAATTATAAATAGGGAAATCATATGATTAAAGTACAACATTGTTCACAGTCAAATAAATAGTGCTAATGTTGGTTTCAGGTTATACTTTGACGGGATTTCAGACCCAATATTCAAACTACCATGGTAAACAATACAGTGACAGTGTCACAAGTTGTCACTGAAGGAATGTGCGAATATTAAACAAACTTTACCTCAATTACAGTTTCCACTAGGGCCAGTATAAGATTCTGAAGGTATGATGATACCCTTGGATAAAAATATCACAGTATTGTGCTCAGTGCTCTAGAATATCTTTTTTTTTAAAATGTCTGAGTAAAAAACAAAAACTTGTTTCCCCTTTGAAAACCATATATTCAATTTTTGTTTTTAAGATTTATTATATTTTCGAGCAGTAAACACGTCAGGCTTAATAATTCAAATGAATCATTGATTTCTAGGGGTGTAACGATACACTCAGCTCTCGATACGATGTGTATCACGATATAATGTTCACGATTCGATATGTATCACGATATTTGGAATAAAAATTTAAAATTAAACTGAAATGCAAATTTTACCAAGTAAACTATTTTTTATGTATTTCTTTTGTTTCAACTTGTTAAACTGAACCTTCTTTAAGAAAATAAATTAAACAGGCCTGTCTCTGGAAAATAAAACAATTTAAAAACTTCTTTAAAATATTATTGAAATGACAGAGACAAAATTAAGGAACAATTTAAGTAAAGGTGCAAAAAAAAATACGCTTTCTATTCAATTGAATTTAACAGTAAAAGCTTAAGCCTTTGCTTGGTCACGTGCATTTTTTGTGTGCAAAAAAAATCCACACTTCCAGGTATTTAATTCATATTTAATTAAATTCATTTAGAGATATCTCTAATTACAATTGTGACTAGTCAAAACTCATTTAGAGATATCTGCAAATATTTTTCAATGGAAGTCAATGGAGGAATATGACTAGTCATAATATATTTGCAGATATCTCCAATCTGATTTCGTACTAGTACAATTGCAATTGCAGATATCTCTAATTGTCATTCTGAGTAGTCGAATTATAATTATGACTAGTCAAAATATTTATTTATGGATAGTCAGATCAAAGGTTTAAATGTTAAACGGCTTGCCATACGCGTGCGTCTATCATAGTCCGCCCTCTGTAGTAACAGCTCACCATCAGCTCACGTCATGTGTGATTTTGCGGCGGGAACATTATATGAAGACAGAATGATATTTTAGGGTGAATTGTACCTTATAAATACAGTATGTGACTCTTTCAACACCACTAGGAGGTATCCCTGTCGCTGTGCAAAGTATGTAAATCACTGTGAAGACTTTAAAACTTAGGATGTTTGACCCAGTATGCGTGTCAAAAAGCGGACGAGTCTAAAGCAATGACTGTACAACCGAAATGTTGCCAGACGTCTGATTTTGAGAGGATGGGCCATCCTCTATTTCAACTCCACTCATGTTGGTCTGCTAACATTACTGCTGCTGCAATCTGAACTCACGTGCGACAGCAGGTGGAACGTAGCTCACGTGCAAACAGCTCAACTAATAAGAGAAAACGGACGTCATATCGTAATCAAATCGTCATAACGCCACGATGCATATTGTGACATTTTTGCATCGCAATAAATCGTACAACGATAAATCGTTACACCCCTATTGATTTCTGCTGTCTTTGTTTCTAAAACACAAATTTCTTTACAATTTGAAACGGCATCTTTGGATATTTTTTTCTGCTGAAGATACTGCTGTCCTAAAAAAAACTATAAATAAAAAAAATCCTACACATACCTTAGGAATGATATTACAGAAAATTTTGGCGGTTTTAAAACCTTGACTTTTCCAAACTGTGGTATAATAAGAAAACGGTTACCATCCCATGCCTATTGTCCACATTATATTTATTAAAACTAGGGCTCCATGATATTGGAAAAACACGACATTTGCGACATTTTGTTTATTGTGATATACATTGCGATATGAATATAATTTCACAAAAGAAGACCTAAATAATCCTACTTGTAAAGAATTCAGAAATCTGCATTAAACATAACAAACAATTTGCAAGCATAGATGAATCCAATAGAAAATAGACAGTGTGTGTGAATTATACATTGATGATCGGGAGGTCAACACTTTTGGTAATGTTAGTTTGTGTAACACATGCTTCAGTGAATAAAATGTATGTGTTTATTGGAATTACATCTAATTTATTCATAAAATGTATTTAAATTTTCAGTGTTTTGTGGGATCGACTATTTAGTGTATTCTGACCTGGGGTGCGATCAAATAAATAATATAAATAAGGTAGTATCTGATATATAAGGGACTAAGCCGAAGTACAATAAATGAATGAATGAATAATATAATAAAATATAAATGAAAAATATATGATGCATTCTAAAATGATATAAAGATATGAGAGCACATGCATGTTAATTAAAATAAAGTATTACAAAAAGCAGTTTTAGGCGTAATGCTGTATTGTTCATGTGAATTTTCGTCAGCCTGATTGACTGCCGAGATGGAAATAATGGCTGTGAATCTGCTGGCCACGTCTCCGTCCACCTCCACACTCCCTCCGTCTCCATGTGTGGAGGACTCCGGCTTCCCCTTGTCCTCTCTAGACAGTGAAGACTATGTGTTTGTGGAGACTCGCCATCCTAACAAAGTGCTAGAGGGGTTGAACAGCTTACGGCTCAATAATGCCTTCTGCGATGTGACGCTGTGCTGCGGAGGCCAGGAGTTTCCCTGTCACCGCATCGTCCTGGCCTCCTTCAGCTCTTACTTTCAGGTAATCAATGCAAAGTCAGGCTGTTGTTGTTTTTAACTTGTTGTTGATAAGCTTGACAAAACTTTAGCAAGATCAAAAGTCATTTGGTAAAAATAAGATTTTTAAAATGTTTTTGGAAGAAGAATTTTCTATAAAGTCAATTTTTTTATTTGTAAAAACTATTGTTTTTATGCAAGTACGTAGTAGTTAAAAGGGACCTGTTATACGCCAAGACGTAAAACAAGTCTCTGATGTCCCTAGAGAGTTTCAGCTCAAAATACCACACAAATAATATTTTATAGCTCTTTAAAACTGCCCCTTTTAAGGTGCGTTCACACCATGGAGCATCGGATGTAGCGTCAAGCACGGGTGATTTACGTGTTTAGTCAATGCAAAGATGCAAATAGACATCCTGCCTTGCTATTAGCACGAATGAGGCGGCAGGAATTATGAAATGTGAATTAAGTATTTTGTGCGTTTAACGAATCACACAAATCACTCTCAAGTTGGAAAATCAGAATTTTAGCAGACATTCGCGTCGCGTTAACCAATCAGGAGCTTGCTCTTATAGGGGTATGATTATAACGTAGCTTCTGCAGTTGGTGTCTCGAGGGAAAATCCTCCTGTCGACACTGGACAACAGCTCATCAAACTGGGCCCAACTTTATCGGAAGCACCACTGAAAGCTTCCATCATCCAGGTTAAGGTTATGGAGCAGTTGATGAACTCAGTGCTGGGTGCACCTCTGAAAGGATCTAGTCGACTCAGACACAGCGCTGAACGAATCTACGCAGTTTTCCAGCCTTCCTAAACCACATAAAGCACAGCTACTCTCTCAATAAAATCCATGTTAGCCATTTAGCATCGAAGCTAGAGTCACCGGACATACAGATGCCCTGCCCATGACGTGAATCAGCATCTATTGCAATGTGAATTTCACATGTGAGTAAACTCAATATGTTCACGCCTCTATTTACGTGCGAATAGCACGATTTATTACACATGCTGCGTCTGGTGTGAAAACAGCATTAGGTCTTGATCTTAATTGTGCCGTTTTGGTGACTGTCACTTTAAATTCAAATGTGATTGTGTTGTTTTTAAAAGAGGGCGGAGCTACAAATGCCTGTGTGTTGGCATAGTGGCAGATTCAAATACAAGACTAACGTCTCATGCTAATAATGGTGAGACCGTCACTAATGGGCAAGTTTTTCCCCCTCTGATGACGTTACGTCATCATCAAGGCCATGATTGGTTAACGCAAATGTCTGCTGAAGTTCAGAATTTTTCATTTCACACATTAAATGCACAAAACACCCAAATCGTGCCGCTTTATTTAAGCGAATCGTCATTAGCGCCGCCTCATTCACACATATCATGCAGCAGGATGTCTATTCGCGTCGTTGCATTGACTTAATATGTAAATCACTCGCACTTGACACTTCATCTGAGCATTCTGGTGTAAACGTAGCATGAAATTCCACACTAACCAGAAACTTCGACAGTTTTTTTCGTATTGTGACGCAGTTCCTAAGAAATGGAATGTTAAATGAGAAATCAGTGGGCGTGGCTTGTTTTTCTTCTCTACTGCAAGTTGATTGGATGTAGTGAAGATGTCATTTCATTTAGAGAGATCAGTAAAAGGGTTTCAGGAAAGTTATTACAGACTCCTCCTCCTCACCATTTCTGTTTGTTGTCAAATCTGACAGCTGGAAGGGGCGTGGTTAAATATGTTAGCCACGCCCAATACCTCAGACTGACATAATCTGAAAATTTAACTAAAACAAACAGGAAGTGCATTTTCAGATTTCAGTTTTAGATCACATGGGCAATATTTTTTGTTAATGTCATGCACAGATGAATTGTTCACCGTAAAACTAGCAATGCGAGCTATCAAAATCAGTAGCATTAGTTTTGATTTCACATGTACCTTGTAATGGATCAATAAAGCTCTTAATGCACGTTTAAAGCTGTGTGGTTGTGTTGGCACAGGCCATGTTCTCCACCGACCTGATGGAGTCTCGTCAGGAGCGGGTGGCCATTAACGGGGTGGAGCCGCAGATGATCGGGATGCTGGTGAGCTACGCCTATACTGCAGAGGTGGTGATCTCCAAGGCCAACGTGCAGGCGCTGCTGGCGGCCGCTAATCTGCTGGACGTAATGGCAGTGCGCGAGGCCTGCTGCCGCTTCATGGAGCGCCAGATGGACGAGATGAACTGCGTGGGCATTCACTGCTTCGCCGAGGCGCACTCGTGCCGAGAGCTGGAGCGACGCAGCATGGAGTACATCCAACAGCACTTCAGCACCGTCAGCCAACAGGTAAACACAGACACTCAAAAAAATATTATTCCTTACATTTATATAGCGCTTTTCTAGACACTCAAAGCGCTTTACACAATGGGGGGGAGGTCTCCTCATCCACCACCAGTGTGCAGCATCCACCTAGAGGATGCGACGGCAGCTATATTGCACCAGACTGCACACCACACTGTAAGTGGAGAGGAGACATCATCCAATTGTGATATGGATATAGTCACATAAACTTATTCAAAAAAATAAAAATGTGCAGAGGTAAATTCTGTTTTCAGTAATAGAAAGAGGATTTTTAAGATTTTATTTAACTATGATTAAAAAAAAACACTCCTCGATTATCTTCTGTTTGTCCCCATCAGGAGGAGTTTCTTTCTCTGTGTGGTGATAAACTGATCGAGATCATTTCCAGTGACCATCTGAACGTGCCAAAAGAGGAGACGGTGTTTGAGGCGGCCATTGTCTGGCTGGAGAAGAGCCTCTCGCGCAGGCAGAGCTTCGAGAAGGTCAGACAGAAACCACATCAGTGACTCTGCAAGACTGCATTTGGTTAAACTTGAATAATTAGCAAAACATTTGCATGAGCTTACATTTCTTGTCTTGACTATTTGCATGTGCCAATGGAGTGCCTATTGCTAGGTAGTTTGACTATTTCTGTTATTATAAATCAACTGTGGTTAGTTATTGTGTGGACTATTGGGCAACAGTTGCCCATTTTACACAATGTAACTGGTAACCATTTTTAGAACTGGGAGATTACTGCAAATTCACTACGTCTATACTGATATACTGTATTCAAACTACAATGCAATTAATTAAATTGACATGCATATTTAAAGCATAGTGCAAATATAAATACCCCTTTATTAACCATAGGCTGTTAAAAAGAAACAGTTGGACGTGATGACGTTACAGTGTTTCCTCTAGGATTTTTTCCAGCTGTGGGGGCAGCCCTTTTTTTACACAGATCTACCAAATACGAAAAGTTTGCGCTGTTATAATTCACTTACCTTTTCATTCGTTTTGGTGTTTATTACCCGTTATTAAAAAAACACAACTGAATGTAGCCGCGGCAGGATGAATTTTGGTGTGGCGCCTCGCCATGGAAGAATGAATGTTGCGGAAACCGTGCGTTAGCAATATGCAAATTGATGTATGAGGTAATCTAGCGACAATTAGCACCTTTTCATGCAGAGCTTAGCACCTTTTCATTGAAAATATTTGGCAGCACTGCGCATACCATGGTGATAAATAATTATTAATAAGTTTTAATCATTTATTTATTAAAATTAATAAATCTTTTATTGTTGTGGTGTTTCGCTTGCCTTGTATTGCTAGAATTTTGCCTTGTAGCTCTTCGAGTTGAAAGTGTAACCTGGACACTTTGATAGTGGGACGCATATAGACACTTGAAAAGTGTTAAATTCAACACCTGTGGTGTAAAATGTACACTGGCAAATTTGCTGTTCATTATCTTTAGAATGACTAGAAAGAAAGAAACGAAGGAATGAAAGGAAAGAAGAAAGAAAAAAAATGAAGGAAGGAAAGAAAGAAAGAAAGAAAGAAAGAAAGAAACGAAGGAAGGAAAGGAAGTAATAAAGAAAGAAAGAAAGAAAGAAAGAAAGGAAAGAGAAAGAAAGAAACAAACAGACGAAGGAAAGAATGGAAAAAGAGAGAAATGAAAGAGAAAGAAACAAACCAAGGAAAGAATGGAAAAAGAAAGAGAAACAAAGAAAAGAAAGAAAGAAAGAAAGAGAGAAAGAAACAAACAAACAAAGGAAAGAAAGAAAAAAAGAAAGGGAAAAGAAACAAACAAACGAAAGAAAGAAAGAAAGAAAGAAAGAAAGGAAAAAGAAACAAACGAAGGAAGGAAAGAAAGAAAGAGAGAGAAAGAAACAAAGAAACAAACAAAGGAAAGAAAAAAAGAAAGGAAAAAGAAACAAACAAACGAAGTAAAGAAAGAAAGAAAGAGACAAAGAAACAAACAAACGAAGGAAAGAAAGTAAAATAGAAAGAAAGGAAAGAGAAAGAAGCAAACAAAGAAAAGAATGGAAAAAGAAAGGAAAGAAAGAAAAAGAAAAAAAAACATACAAACAAAGGAAGGAACGAAAGAAACAAACAAACGAATGAAGGAAAGAATCAAAAAAGGAAAGGAAAAAGAATGAAACAAACGAACGAAGGAAAGAAAGAAAGAAAGAAAGAAAGGGAAAAAAGAAACAAACAAACGAAGGAAAGAATGGAAAAAGAAAGGAAAGAGAAAGAAACAAGCGAAGGAAAGAATGGGAAACGAAAGAAAGAGAAAGAAAGAAAGAAACAAACAAAGAAAAGAAAGAAAGAGAAAGAAAGAAAGAAAAAAGAAAGAGAGAAAGAAACAAAAAAACGAAGGAAAGAAAGAAAAAAGAAAGAAAGAAAGAAAGAAAGAAAGAAAGAAAGAAAGAAAGGAAAAAGAAACAAACAAAAGAAAGAAAGAAAGAAAGAAAGAAAGAAAGAAAGAAAGAAAGAAAGAAAGAAAGAAAGAAAGAAAGAGAAGCAAACAAACAAACAAAGGAAAGAAAGAAAAAAAAGAAAGGAAAAAGAAACAAACAAACGAAGGAAAGAAAGAAACAAACATGAATGAAGAAAGAAAGAAATAAAGGAAAGAAAAAGAAAGAAACAAACAAACGAAGGAAGGAAAGAGAAACAAACGAAGGAAAGAAAGAAAAAAGGAAAGGAAAGAGAAAGAAAGAAACAAACAAACCAACAAAGGAAAGAATGGAAAAAGAAAGGAAAGGAAAAAGAATCAAACAAAAGAAGGAAAGAAACAAACAAACGAAGGAAAGAGAAAAAAAGAAAAGAAAAAGAAACAAACAAACGAAGGAAAGAATGGAAAAAGAAAGAAAGAGAAAAAATGAAACAAAAGAAAGAAACAACAAACGAACGAAAGAAAGGAAGGAAGGAAGGAGAGAAGGAAGAAAGGAAGGAAGGAAAGAAACAAAGGAGGAAAGGAAGTAGGGAAAGAAAGAAAGAGGTCATTGCACCAAATTATATTGTAAATGAACCATGTGACATTTGCAGCTGTATAGTATTTAGATGGAGGTGTGTATTGTATTACTGCGCTGCTGCTGGTTACTGTGTTTGTCTGTGTTCGGTTTATTTTTTGTATGAGCGGTGTTTCCTCTTTGATGTCAGGGATGGAGCTCCAGCAGATGACTGGGATTAGCCGTCTTTGTGTTTTTGATGAACTAAGCCTGTGAAAGGTCACATGTTCCTTACAGCCTATGATTATGAAGCGAACAGAGAAACGTAAACCTAGCCCTGATTGAACAGGATCAGATCGCTGTGTGTACATATCATTGTTGCCAGGCAGCTATTTTAAGTCTGGATCTTAGTTATGGAGTGCTGATTTCATATCTCACGGGAGGTTAAAGAGGTTATTCATGTACAGTGTTGATGTGGAGCTGCAGTTAGTGGTATGTGTGAGGGCAAACATTGCAATCACTGTTCATTATTGGGTTTCAAGGGTTAGCTCAACACAAGATTAAAGTGGCATGAAACCCGGCATCTCAGCAGAGAGTTTTCACACCTCTAATCTGAAAAAAAAAAGCTAGAAAAAGTGTTGTTTTTAGTTGTCTGGTGTGGGAGTGTCGAGAGTGGAAAGAGGGAATTGGTTTGCATACAAAGGGAAGTTTTATTACACTAATTTGCACACCGGCAACACAAACGCTCACAGGCTGAGGAGATGGAGAGTGATTCTGAGAGCAGCATTTACAGCAGTTCTGAAGCCGCCTTTCCACTGCACATGACATTTGGACACGACTGTCGGAATACGCCCCCTAGTGGTAGTCGCACAGAATTTTCAGTTCTGACATGCACCATAGGAGAGAAACTGTTCTCGCAGTGTCCGAAATAAAGGAGTGCAAAAGCAAGAGTCTTTATTTCTGTCCGTTCACCATGGTTGAATGAATGAATAAATACTAGAAACTCATAGACCGCTAAAACTATTGGAGGGAATGTGAAGATAACATATAAATGTATATTTTCTTACTTTATTACTTACATTTATGAACCAAAATTTAGTTTTTTTTTTTTAATATAGACTTTTTCTAATTAAAAAAATAACCAAATAAACTAGTATTTCTCATCTCGCTTGCACGGACCTGCTTAGACAACACTAGAATACATCACATCCGGTCGGCCGGTCGCATATGTTCTAGTCGCAGCAGTTCAAATATTTCATAGGATTTGAATTTTCAGCATACGGAGATGATCGGAACTCCACACAGCTCCCGGACTGCTCTCCATTGAAAATGAATGACTTTAAGATGTTTGTTGTGTGCAGTGGAAAGGAGGCTTAAGGGCGTACTCACACTATGTACAGTTGCCTTAAACTGAGCCGAAGCACGCTTGTCTTCCCTCTCATCTCCCCTGACGTCCCACACTCATATTGCATTCAACCCTGAGCACGCTAACATCATCGATGTTGCGCTGTTCAGTTTAGCTGTTGCTCAGCACAGTGGAGATTTTTTTAGTTCCATTGTTTTAGTTGTTCGATATGCAGTGACACAGTCAAATATTTTGCCGAACAGATCAGCCACTTTTGACGCTCACAAACAATCATAAAGTCCTCGTGCTGCAGGAATTAGGAGGTTTGCTGAAGGTGCAGCTGTTGTGCAGTGAGGGGTTTGCGTCTTTAATAACCTACGACAGTTTGCGTTCACTGAACAGTAAGAATTATTAATAAACACGTATGAAACAGGCCCTTAAAAGTCAGGTCTTGTCTTCAGTTTTGGGCTCAGGCACACTTTGCACTTATACTACAAGCGTACCGCACCAAAGCCCAAGTGAACCGTGCTCTGGCACAACTTTTCCAACTGGGCCAGGGCTGGCCAACTGAACCATGCCTGAGCCCAATTCAAAGCACTCACACTTCTCAAACAAACCGGGAAAGGGGCCTGGGCATGGTTCGCATAGCATAGTGTGAGTAGGCCCTGAGAGTGGTGTGGAAGTGGAGGACACAAACACAGTTTGGTTGGTGATAGTGCAGGTCCACTGTTTATCAGTTTGAACCTTGTACACAAACACAAGTGTGAGGTTTGTTGCGTGCAGCAATAGAATTTTTTTTTGTAATTGATAAAAATAAATAAATTATACAAAGACCATTTGGCCACAAGTGTCACATTAAAAAAAAAACCTTCTATAATATGGATTGAGTTGTATTATTGTATTATTTAGTGCCCACAATGTTATAGTTAAATTATAGTATATATATAGTATTATAGTAAACTCTAATAAAATTATAGTAAACTACTTAGTACCTTCATTCACTTTGACTAAAATTTGTCTTCTAAAACTGAAAGAGTACTTTTGATGATAATATCTTTGATAGCCGTCTGAATAAATGTAAATAAAGTTTTAAGTACATGCTTACCACATTTGTAAGGTAAAAATCAACACGAACGTGAACCGTGTCTCTTTAAATAAAACGAATTCTGAATTTCACTTTTCCCAGATTCAAAAAGCTCTTGGGTCAACATTGGTTGCGTCCAATCATCACCTCTGTACAGTAGTCAGTGCACTGATCAGGGAGCCATTTTTAGTGCTGTCTCATTTGCAAAATTCTTCCAGTACACAGAAATGTTTACTCCCTGAAAAGTCACACAATGCACCCTGAGAATGCATCCGTATGCACTTTGCACCCTTAGAGGAAGTTTGAGAAGCGTGAAATATAAATTCCAACATTTTTCAAAATATAATCTTTTGTGTTCAACAAAATTCTGTTAAACATGTTTGACCTTTTTCTATGTTTGGGCAAACTATTCATTTAAGTTATTTTTGTTTATTTTCTTTAGAGCCTAGGCCAAGGGTGCTCAACCTTGTTCCTGGAGATTTGCAGTATGTGGGTTGCATATGAGTTCAGTAGACAGCGTTCACACTAGCTAAATGTACCGAACTCCAAAACTGCTATTGTGAAAGCACCCTAAAAATTTTGGTTTATCAAATTGAAGATTGATTTAAAAAAAATACTAATGTATATAAATGAGTATGTAGGTAAAATGTCTGCGCTCAGGCCGACGTTTTTCTGCAGGTGCTGGAGCACATCCGCCTGCCCCTCATCAGCCCCTACTACATTCATGACGTCATTGAGACTCTGGATGTGGTGAAGGAGTCTCTCCAGTGCCAGAAGCTGATCTCTGAGGCCAAGGATTATTTACTGCTGCAGGACCGCCGGGGAGAGCTGTACAGCCCTCGAGCAAGACCTCGACGCGCTACAGGTCTGCAGAGTCTCTCTAATACCTAAAACAGTCACTCCATTACACTGACCATAAACAGTAAATTCACTATTTAATTATATAGATCAGCGATTCTCAACCCTGTTCCTGGAGGTACATAAACTCCCTTATCTGACCCATTAACCTCAGGATTTGGAGTCTATTCTAGTGTTCTACTGAGTTGATACAGGCGTGTTTGATTAGCTAGAGGTTAATAATGTGTACTGCTGGTGTGCTGACAGGAACAGCTTTGGGAAATACCTACTTACTTACCTACTTACCTACGTACTTACTTACCTACCAACCTACCTACCTAACTACCTACCTACTTACCTACCTAACTACCTACCTACCTACCTAACTACCTACCTACTTACCTACCTACCTAACTACCTACCTACTTACCTACCTACCTACTTACCTACATACCTACTTATCTACCTACCTACCTAATTAGCTAACTAACTACCTACCTACTTACCTACCTACCTACTTACCTACCTACCTACCAACCTACCTACTTATTTACCTACCTACCTATCTACCTACTCTCCTACCCAACTACCTACCTACTTACCTACCTTCCTACCTACCTACCTACCTACCTACCTACTTACCTACCTAACTACCTTCCTACTTACCTACCCACCTACTTGCCTACCTGCTTACCTACCTACCTACTTACTTACCTACCTACCTAGTTATCTACCTATGTACCTACCTACTTACCTACCTTCCTACCTACCTACATACCTACTTACTTACCTACCTACCTAGTTACATACCTACTTACCTACCTATGTACCTACCCAACTACCTACCTACCTACTTACTTACCTACCTACCAACTTACCTACTTACTCACTTACTTACCTACCTTCCTACCTACCTACCTACCTACCTACTTACCTATTCACTTACTTACTTACTTACCTACCTACCTACTTACTTACCTACCTACCTACCTACTTACCTACCCACTTACCTACCTAATTAATAATGTAGTGTACAGAGAACGTCAGAATTGTAGTTCATGTGGTGTGTGCTGTGCAGTGCATGGTTACTTTAATCTGCTGTGTTTCTGTTGGTCAGGGACTGCTGAGGTGATCGTGACGGTCGGAGGAGAGGACGATAAGGTTGTTCTCCGCAGTGTGGAGAGTTTCGATCCTCTCAATGGCCAGTGGAAGAGTCTCGCCTGCCTGCCCTTCGCTGTCAGCAAACACGGCTTGGTTGTGTCCGGTGAGAGACAGTCAGAAAATGAATTGTTTACTAAGCAGCAGTGTTCTAATATGAGCAAGATGTTTTCTCAGTTTGAAATGTGTGTGTTCCTGCAGGCTCTATGCTGTATTTGGCTGGTGGTGAGTTTCCGGACGGCTCCGCCAGCAGAGAGATGTGGCGCTATGACCCTTGTTTTGACTCCTGGTTAGAGATGGCACCCATGAACGTGGCGAGATCAGAACTGGGTAATGGCAGCATGTTAATGGATTGCTTATGCTTTTGCTGAACCCTGCTGTTCACAATAATGCAACTTAATCATGTTTAGTAGCGAGTTTGGGCTTGAGCGATGTTTTTTTCTGATCCTACTAAATTTTGATCTTGTTTTCACAATCTCAAAGTTTGTCCTCAAAAGAAGAGAAAGGGGATAATAAATATTTAATCCAGGCTTTTCAAGAATCTAGTTATTTAGTTATAATTATGGCTTAGATCATATTATATAAGAATGGATATAAAGAATTAGATTGATTTATTTGGCCACACTTTATTTTTCTGTACAATTCCTGCTATTAACTAAGATTATTAGCTCAATTAACTACTAGTTAGCTGCTTACTAATAGTTATGGCTTCAGCAGTCTGACTTGTTTCTTCAGGACTGGTGATGTTGGATGGATATGTGTTTGCTGTGGGCGGCTGGGAGGGCCGTTCCCGCCTGGACTCTGTGGAGTGTTATAATCCTCACACAAACACATGGCAGTTCATGGAGTCGGTCAAGATGGCGGTCACCAGTCCTGCTGTGGTCTCGCTGGATGGACTACTCTATGTGACAGGTATAGCAGGTTTCAACCAGAACTGTAATATCTGGAAATCTGGGAATCATTAACTGAAGTCCTGCTCTGATTCGAATTATTAACTTTAGACTTATTCTAAATGAGTTGCTTGAATCAGTGAGTTGTTTACTCAAGACTCGCACTGAGTAGATCATTTGAATCGGTGAGTTGTTACCTGGAAACTTGTAAATACTGGACACACTGAATTAGTAAATCTGTGCACTCACTCTAAACTGATCATTTGAATAAGTGTGTCATTAACCGGAGACTTGCTCTAAATGGATTGTTTGAATCAGCAAGTTGTCAACTGTAGACTCAATCTCACCAGATCATGTGAATCACTGAAACTTTCAGTGAATATCTGATATAATAATGTGTATTTTGAGAAAATTAAAGTGTTGTTGACCTTAGAAGAGTCTAAACCTATTCTATATAACCAGCAAAACAAAAATAATTGCTAATGTTCTCCTTCTGAACCTACAGGAGGTGCTGTTTTGGAGGATGGCGATGGCACAGACCTGGCCCAAGTGTACAACCCTAAAACATGCGTGTGGAGTGAGGTAGCTCCAATGCAGATTGCCCGTTCCGGCTCTGCGTCCTGTATCCTGAAGGGCAAGATATATGTCATAGGTGAATATGGAGGGCTCTACTTCAATGGCTAAATGAATTTTATCCTGTAGAGCAGGGATGGCCAATCCTGTTCCTGGAGAGCCACCTTCCTGCAGATTTCAGTTGCCACCCATATCAAACACACCTGCCTGTAATTATCACATGGTGTTCAGGTCCTAATTAATTGGTTCAGGTGTATTTGATATCGGTAGCAACTGAAATCTGCAGGAAGGTGGCTCTCCAGGAACAGGGCTGGCCACCCCTGTTGTAGAGCACTGGATGATGGTTGTTAATCTACAGGCGGATGGCACGCTTCTACCGAAAACACGGATAAGGTGGAGTGCTACGACCCCAAGACCAACAAGTGGACCATGTGCGCTCCTATGAAGGAGAGACGATATCGGCCCGGGGTGGCGGTGGTGGACGGCAAGATTTATGTTCTAGGAGGGGAAGAGGGATGGGACAGGTGAGAGAGACTTCACTGATGAAACACAGATATTAGTATTAGGTAGATATGAATATTTGATAGTTATTGTACTTATTGATCCAGTACTTATTGAAGAATCATTCAGGGGTCCCACTCCCAATTATCAAATTCTTTCACTCACTTTTAGTGACTCAAAATCTGAATTTCTCTGACATCTAATGCATGGAAAAACAAGCTGCTGTTTCGCTTATATATTAATGATATAACATAATTAATAGTATAATATAAGTATAATATAAGTAATAATATGTTTAAAAAACTGCTGACTCACTGTAACTAATGAAGCATAATTTGACTTAGTGAGTTAACTTTAGACTTGCTCATAATGGATCAATTGAATCAGTGAACTGTTAAATGTAGACTCCCTCTTAATGGATAAACTCTATATGGATCATTTGAATCAGTGAATCATTAACTATAGACTCGTTCATATTGGCTTATTTGAATTAGTGAATTGTTAACAGTAGACTACCTCTAAATCAGGGGTGTCAAACTCAGTTCCAAAAGGGCCGAAGCCCTGCACAGTTTAGTTCCAACCCTGCTCCAACACACTTACCTGTAGGTTTCAAACAAGCCTGAAGGACTCAATTAGTTTGATCAGGTGTGTTTAATTAGGGTTGGAACTAAACTGTGCAGAGCTGCAGCCCTTTAGGAACTGAGTTTGACACCTGTGTTCTAAATGGATCATTCGAATCAGTGAATTGTGAACTGTAGACTCACTTTATATGGATCTTTTGAATCAGTGAATTGTTAACTGTAGACTCTATTTGGTTAATTTGAATCAGTGAATTGTTAACTATAGACTCACTCTATATGGATCTTTTGAATCAGTGAGTTGTTAACTAAAGAGTCATTCTAAATCAGTGGTCACCAAACTTGTTCCTGGAGGGCAGGTGTCCTGCAGATTTTAGCTCCAACCTTAATCAAACACACCTGAACAAGCTAATCAAGGTCTTACTAGGTATACTTGAAACATCCAGGCAGGTGTGTTGAGGCAAGTTGGAGCTAAATCCTGCAGGACCGAGATTGGTGACCCCTGCTCTAAATGGATCATTTCCGTCAGTGAATATTTATTTATAGACTCACTCTAAATGGATCATTTCCGTCAGTGAATATTTATTTGTAGACTTACTCTATATAGATCATTTGAATTAGTGAATTGTTAACTAAAACTCACTCTATATGGATCATTTGAATAAGTAAATTGTAAACTGTAGACTCTAATTGAATCATTTGGATCTATGAATTGTGAACTGTAGACTCACTCTATATGGATCATTTAAATCAGTGAATTGTTAACTATAGACTTACTCTATATGGATCATTTAAATCAGTGAATTGTTAACTATAGACTTACTCTATATGGATCATTTAAATCAGTGAATTGTTAACTATAGACTTACTCTATATGGATCATTTAAATCAGTGAATTGTTAACTATAGACTTACTCTATATGGATCTTTTGAATCAGTGAGTTGTTAACTAAAGACTCACTCTAAATGGATCATTTCCATCTGTGAATATTTATTTATAGACTCACTCTATATGGATCATTTGAATTGGTGAATTGTGAACTAAAACTCACTCTATATGGATCATTTGGATCTGTGAATTGTGAACTGTAGACTCACTCTATAGCCGCATTTCCACTATCAGGCCAGTGCGAGCCAGGGCTTATATCGGGCCAGGCCGGGCCAATTGCCCGGGAGGTTGAGCAGTGAGGCCGAAATCATGTCGCGTTTCCACTGTGGGGCTAGTAGCTCGCAGCGCGTCACGCAAACCCCGCCCCCAGAACATCCCCCGAATCGAACGTCACTCAAACCGCCCACTTCAGCGAGAATCATGCAGATAAAGCACACCATCACATCATCACGAAACTATTAAAATTAGGACAACCAAAACAAACAAATGACACGTTACTGTACAGCAGTACAACGCATGTCTATACGCACATGCCTGTGTGTTTTCATTCATCATATTCATTTACTCGCCGACCGACTGCCATCGAAATCCAGTGGTCTTGCCACCAACGGAGGGACCCGGAGCGCAGGGAGCGCACACATCCATAATATAACACCACATATATAAAATTCTCCGTTAATAACTCGATATAAAATGTTTTTTATAACATCCTCTAGACAGAATCTGTCCAACATTCATCCCAAATGCTCCGGAGAGAACTGAAACATGATTATTTTCCCCCTATAGGCTTTATGACACTTAATAGGTGATTCCCTTTATTTAAAGATGTTGCTTATTATATCTTAAGTAAAGGAAAGTGTTCAGTGTTTCAGCACATAAGAGCAGCACGTAATAAAATATAGCCTATATTTCGTTGCGCTCAGCAGCAATGCACTAATAAAGCTCTTTATGTATTTAAAATGTCCTTTTTTAATTTTACCACGTCATATAAAAACACACACACTTGTTTGAGGACACAGAGCACATTTTGAACTTGCAGTTTTTCTCCGTCAAAAAAGTGCTGCGCGGCTGCAGACAGAAAAAAAGGTCGCCTAGTTTCTGCTTTCATTCACCCCGAAAATGCTCTGTTTGCATGATTTGATTAATTTCATCGTATCCAAATACTTTATAAATAATATTTAAAACATTTTCCGGTGTTTATTTATTTTTATTTTTTTAGAAAATATCTCAAATCTTTTTTTCAAAGAGGCTTTTGAAAAATGAAAGTTTAATATAAATTTGAAACAGTTTGATATAGTACCTAATTGTTATAGCTATAGCTTTTGTTAGTTTTGTATTGGTTTATTTATTTAATGTGATTTTATTATAGGCCTATCTAATATTTGTAATTCTTTAAATTATTTCAATATAGGGCTATTTTATCTAGATATGACACTATTGTTTTGAGCCTACAAAAGTGGACATGAAATTTGTAAAGTTTAATGTCTTACTGTTGTATTCATATAGTGTATTATCTCCAAAATAAATTAAAACAATAAAAATAAAAGAAAAAAGCCGCTCGCGGCATCAACAGAGCTATGAATGGAGCGCTTTTTTCGGTCTCACACACATACACAGGCATCTAAACGCGCAAAAACACACACAGTATTAAACTTGACAAAACCTCTTGAAAACCTTTACTGTCTGCTGTGTCTTTAATATGGTGTAAAGATTATTATGCGTTATTGAAACATCAAAGATGCAGCAAAGAAAGATCATTTTATGCAACAGCCTTACATTTAAAAGAGAAACTTAAGGGCGATCATATGCAAAAAAGACCCCAGCCTATAATTTGTTCCAGATGTTTTCTTTCCCTTATTTATTTATTTGTTTGGCGCATGTACTCGAGTGCGATTGGAAAACTGTGCCCGCCTCTCCTTTCACTCCGCACCGAAGCCCCGGCTGGCCCTCCTTGGCCCAAGGTATTCGGCGGGCCGAAAAAGGCTGGCCGTTGGCCCCGAGAAAGCCCCGCTTTGGCCCGATTAGGCCCCGGAAGTGACAGTGGAAACGCCACTGGCCTTGGCTCGCCCTGGCTGGCTCGCTCGCTTTAGGCGCGATAGTGGAAACGCGGCTACTATGGATCATTTGGATCTGTGAATTGTGAACTGTAGACTCACTCTATATGGATCATTTGGATCTGTGAATTGTGAACTGTAGACTCACTCTATATGGACTATTTGGATCAGTAAATTGTTAAATTTAGACTCCTCTATGTGGCACATTTGAAGCGTTGAATTGTTAACTATAACCTTACTCATAACGGATCACTTGAATCAATGAGCTGCTAACTATAGACTCACTATATTTAACTCATTTGAATCAGTTAGTTGCTAACTATAGACTCACTCTATATGGCTCATTTGAATCAGTGAATTGCTAACTATAGACTCACTCTATATGGCTCATTTGAATCAGTGAATTGCTAACTATATATTCACTCTATTTGGCTCATTTGAATCAGTGAATTGCTAACTTTAGATTCACTCTATTTGGCTCATTTGAATCAGTGAATTGCTAACTATAGACTCACTCTATATGGCTCATTTGAATCAATAAATTGCTAACTATAGACTCACTCTATTTGGCTCATTTGAATCAGTGAATTGCTAACTATAGATTCACTCTATTTGGCTCATTTGAATCAATGAATTGCTAACTATAGACTCACTCTATTTGGCTCATTTGAATCAGTGAATTGCTAACTATAGACTCACTCTATATGGATCATTTGAGTCAGTGAGATGATTCAGTCAAGTTCAGTGTGATTTGTGAACTGATGAACAGGCTGTTTACTTTAAAATGACTTACTGCTCTGCTATTTTTATGAACTGTAAATGAATAAAAAGCACATTGTTTTGTTTTGGAATGAAGTAATCTTAAATAAATATTGCAAATGTGTGTGTGTGCTGCAGGTATCACGACACTATCGAGCGGTACTGTGAGGACTCGGACAGCTGGGAGATTGTAGGAGAGATGCCCACCAGTCGCAGCTGGCTGAGCTGTGTGTCTCTGCACCTCCGCAAGGACGCTCACGCCTGCAGTCGTCCCGGGACGGCCTGTGAGACCGAGTTTCCAGTGGACTGATCCACCATGACACCTGCTTCAGCACTGGCCGGACACGAGCCCAGAGGCAGCTTTCAGAGCCGCCGCCGCTCCATCAGTTTCCACAGGACGGAGGAGCTTCTGAAACCCCCATCCGCTGTGCTCCTCCAGAGAGAGAGTCTGCGGGACGTCCTGATTTCTGTGTGGTGGTGATGATGATGTTCACGTGACGTACAGGGTTTCATGCACTCGCCACCAATCATGATTGTGACTTGTACTTGTTTTCTAACAAAGTGTCGTAGTGAAGCGTTTTGTACTTTTTGTACGGTGAATTTGCTGTTGTTTGTATTTATTAGATGTGGATTTGTTGTGCCGAGAGATTTCTGATACACTGAAACATGTCGACTGGTGTTCAAAGGGGAAATGGTCACACTTTACTTGAAGCTTTCATTAGTTAGTGGAAACAGCGGGGCTTAATTTATGCGCGAACACGGCATATCTGGATCCGGCACCTCTGAAATATCATTACCTCATTTTACTGATCCCCCTCCTTAACCGCCCTCCGCCCCTTCCGCTGTTCACTTTCACTTTCTTCCGCGACTCCCCAACCCACTCTTCACTTTCGTCCACAACACCCCTACGCCATTCACACCCCCCTGCTCTTCACTTTAGTCCGCGACAACCTCAACCTCTACATCTATAGGGCAGGGGTCACCAATCTCGTTCCTGGAGGTCCGGTGCCCTGAAGGGTTTAGCTCCAACTTGCCTCGACACACCTGCCTCTGTGTTTTAAGTATACCTAGTAAGATCGTGATTAGCAAGGGCAGTGATCACCAAATTTGTTCCCGGAGGGCCGGTGTCCTGCAGATTTTAGCTCCAACCCTAATTAAACACACCTGAACAGAAGCTAATCAAGCTCTCACTAGGTATACTTGAAACACCCAGGCGGGTGTGTTGAGGCAAGTTGGAGCTAAACCCTGCAGGGACACCGACCCTCCAGGATCAAGATTGGTGATCCCTGTCCTAGAGTAACATGCCGGTTCCATCACCCCGATCTGTTCCAGGACCTCGCAATTCACAAATTAAGCACTGGGGTAGAGACCTGCGCGGAACTAAATTTTGAATCCCGCCCGCACCCGCCAGGTTTTATCCCGAACCCGACCGCTCCCGCTTATGCCAAGTTCAGACTGCATGATTTTCAAAGTAGTCGTGACACAGATGTTTTCACACTGCATGACTATCTGGGCTAGCGTTTCGTCGCTGCTTTGTTTACACTGCAAGATAGATCGGCGACAGGGACATTCACATTGCATAACTTTACTATAGGAAGAATCGCCGACAATTTCGTCCAAACTACGTCTCACAGCCAAAAACACGTCGTATATCTTTTGTTATTAACTACATAATGAGAAAGAAGCCTTTAATGAGGTAGAAAAAGAACATGTTTTCTCACCTGGGTTTAAATGGAATTATAGCCATTTCTCCTCAACGTTGATAATAAACTAAGTACTTTCTGTATGAAAACTCCACTAGTTTTTCCTCCATTTCGTGGGTCCGTGCAGCAGGTATACACACACGCACACACAAGTGAAAGCTGCTCTCTCATTGGCTGTAGGCGATGGCTGATGTTATTTTCAGTCAAAACTCAATTCACACGGCATGATTTGAATCGCCGACAGCTCCAGATATTTAGCATGCCAAATATCTCACAGGCATCGGCGACTCATCAGCGATTCTCTCAGATCGCGTCTTTGATAGTTCATACTGTGTGATTGTCACTCACGTGCACGAGCAGCGATTTGCCTGTGATTTCAGGCATTTGTCAGCGATTTCTCAAAACCTGTCGGCGAGCCAAAATCGGGGCTAAAATCACGCAGTCTGAACTAGGCATTACATTCAGCCATTGTGTCTGCTGCCCGACCTGCCCCGTTTTCTACCCGCCGCGCCCGATCCCGCTAAAGAGTGGGGGGGGATGGTGGGAGAACGAAACCGAAAACCACCAAGCTATACATAGTCGAGACAGCCTATAACAAGCTGTCTGTATAAACACACACACACAGAGCTCTCTCATTTGCGCGCTCGCACTAACACACACACACACACACACACACACACACACACAGGCCTCTCTCTCTCTCATTCGCGCACGCACCCACAACTCTCATTCGCGCGTGCACGCACACACACGCACACTATTTTATTTACACACATACTATTTTATTTACACACATACATAAGCGTGCTCGCTCAGGAGTCGGGAGCGATATTGCTAGACGGCCTGCTCCCGTCCCAAATTAAACCAGTTACCGACCGCTCCCGCTCTTTATTCGGAAATTTATTTCCGCGCTGCAGAAATCTGGCCTGGTCCCGCGGGACAGCCATGGGAATGCAGACCTCTACATTGGGCAATTATTATTAATATTTATACTCCTAAAATTGCTGGGTTGTCTTTACTCACCCGTGGGTCACATGTAGTGTAATTTAATCTTTATGTTTTGTTACAACCTCCTGGCTCAAGAAATAAGTAGCAATTCCAAATAAAGATCCGAAAGCAGAAATTCAAATCAACTCAAATATATTGAATTAAAAATTGAGTGAAATGATGCATAAATATAAAGAAAACAAAACAAAAAACCTCCACAGCAGAAGAGGGCAGGATGAACACCGCAGTCTTGTTCTAGTGGGCTGCATCCGAAACTGTCTACTACTCAGTAGGTGCTGCATTTGACTTTAAACGTGTTACTTAACGGTTATAAAAGTGCGTTCTCTACAGTATGAATGGAATTCAGACGTACTACATCCGCCATTTTGTAGTGGTCACATGTCCTACCCACGTCTTTTGCGTCGCTTTAGCATTAACAATTGGAAGCTTATTTGTAGTGTGATCAAGTAACTAGTCTGTGTTTTGTGCACAGTATGCTGTTTTTCTGTCGGTGTATGTGTGCCCAAATGACCTACTACATTTGCCAAAATGTACAGCAGAGCTCGGGACTGGATTGCATCCCACAATGCACCACGCTCAGCTCCATTGCCTACTGTGTGTAATGAAAGAGCCTGAATTACAGCTGCAGTTTTTAAACCATCTTCCGCCACTCCTTATTTGTGTGGATTTATGAATGTTGTGAATTTTTTATGAGTAAGAAAATAAAATAAAGAGAGAATCTTACTGACTAAAGAGAGTCTGAGAAGGTGTTCGTTATTGTAACCATGCCAGGTAAATTTTGTTTCTAAAAGAAGTCTAATCGAGCAGTGTTTCCCCAAGTCTGTTGCTGGAGGCACAGCAACAGTACATATTTTGGATATCTGACCCTTTCAATTCAGGTATCGGAGTCTCTTCTAATGTTCTGATGAGTTGATTCAGGGCAGTTTGATTAGGAAGAGGTTGAACGTGTACTGTTGGTGTGCCATCAGGAACAGGGTTGGGAAACACTAATAGACATCCAAACATAGATCTCTTGGCTAAAACAAAGCTAAAGTTGAGCTGTCTGGGTATTAGGGAGGCTGAGAGAGCTTAACATGCTGCAATTTAGGAAAACACATGCAATTACAGTACATCAGCAAATTAGGAAAAGATCTTCCAACGGTTTGACAGCAAACGCATTAAGAAAACGAAACAAGGGGAAACAAAAATGTGACGGACCCGGATATTTATGTTGTGGTTATTAAGGCTAATAATACACAAAAAGACAAGGGAATCGTGATCAAGATGTTAGAATAAACAAAAAATATATATATATTTTAAAGATAACCTACAACTTTACGAAGCAAAAGTCACGACTTTACACTTACAGTCATCAAAATACGCCATTGTTTGTTGTGAATATACGCGCCCTCTAGTGGCAAACATTACATACTTTGCCTTTAACGCTACAGAAATGCCTTTTCCCCCTACAAATATTTGGTAACACTTTAAAATAATGTTCCATTAGTTAAAATTGAATGCATTTACTAACATGAACAATTAGTAATACATTTATTATGTTGTTTATTCAATCTTGTTAGCGTTAATGTTAGTTAAGTCTAAAAATGTTAGCTCATGTTAACTTACAGTGCATTAACTAAAAGTTAACAAGCACAACTTTTGGCTATTAATGCATTAAATAATATTAAACTATGATTGACAATGCTTTACTAAATTATTCATACGTACCATTAGTAAATAAATGAACTAACTTTAGCATGCATTAACTAATGGACCATTATTCTAGTGTTATCTAAAATTCAATTAAATTTATTCTTAAATTTGTAAAACTTCAATTTACAGAATAAAACAAATTGCTTTACCCAAACATCTGATTACCATAGCTACAAATATCTGTCAAATTAATTTAAAAGCTACAAATATCTGTTAATTAGCAGTGTTTTCATTTTATTTATGGTTGTGAATTGTATTATGGGATGTTGATCTCTGCTCTGTCGACTTTTGATGTTGAAAATTCAACTCTGCAGCTTAAAGTGGCTTTTATTGACATTTTACTAATTTGAAATAATGTAAGATATAAAAAAACAATATATAGAACAATAAATCTGTAAAATAACAGGAAAAAGTGCTGCCAGTTTATTACAAGGTTTTTGTAGCGTAATATACAACACCAACCCAGACTCTCTCTCTCTCTCACTGCAAACTATTAAAATGTTCACAAAAGTCACTTTTTCCTACTTTTTTAAAGTTAAAAGTTGTTGGAAGTAAGATTGAAGTCTCATAATGCAATTCAAAAGCAGAAATAAGTGGGGAAAAACTAACAGGTTACAGTTTTTTTATTTTTAAGTATACATGAATAATAATAATGATATCTGAAGGAGCCGATGATCCCAGAGACGGGAGTAATCATGAATATAACACAAATTAACTACATGGAAATATTTTATTTACAATATTTGCTTAAGAAAAAAAAAGTTTGACCAGTCGCTTACAACAGTGTTTCTCAACCACGTTCCTAGAGGACGACCAGCTCTGCACATTTTTCATGTCTCCTCAACCAAACACACCTGATTCAGAGACTGAAAGAGAGGCCTGAAACGGATGAAACAAAGGAGACATCCAAAACATGCAGTGCTGGTAGTCCTCCAGGAACGTGGTTGAGAAGCACTGGCTAACAATATACTTTGCTGACCATCTGTAAGCGTACGTAATTACAATGTGTAATACAATTAAACCAATAGAAAAGCAGCAAATGATCAATCCTGTGTTCAAACACACACTGAAAATAAATGATTCATTAGATTTACTTTGTTTTTTTTAATGTAAGCAGTTGTAAACAATTGATTTAGGCTGAATTGAAACAAATTCAATTTAATAATGTTGAATCTGATTTGTTTGTTTAAATTCAGCACATAAATTGTTTGCAACTTCTTACATCAAAAAAAGTAAATCTAATCTATCAGTGCATTTCAGTTCAGCGATGCGCATGGAATCATCCTTTTAATACAAGTCTCAGAAATGATTGATAATTATCTTTTTAAATCTTATTAAAACAAACAAACTCTATTATCTGAAATTATTTTTAAAAATATCATGAAAAAGCTAGTTTTTCTCTCTCTCTCACTAGTTTGGATTTGTTCACTTCCAAAATGAAAAGACAGAGTAAAAAATGCAGGGTTCCACACAATTCATTCAGGTTGCCCCAACACAAATGGATTAACAAATTTAACTGGATTGAACAAAAAACAATGAAGTTCTCCCAATAAATCTGAAGAATTGCATTGTTTAAGCTCATTTTGCATGAGTAGTTTCAACAAGCAGCAAAATCATCTTTTTGAGAGTCGTTTTAATCTAAATAGTTTATTTCTCTCCTCCTTTAGTCAAGAAAAAAAAAGTGTTTTAATGGAAAACATGCAGGATTTTTCCTTCATAATCCCTTTAACAGACATCATAACCACCTTACATTTTGTCCATGAGTTATCTTTAAAACAAATAAATTGTATACTTTCATTCTGGAAGTGAACTACTCCTTTACATTAGCATTGTGTTCCCCAGAAGTGAGATGAGAATGAGACGTAAAAGGCACACAGTGTGAGGGGTCAGACGAGCAGTCTCTCGATGGCCATCTGCACACTCTGGATCTGCGGTTTGAGCTGCGAGCCCTCTTTAATGGTGACGGAGGTGGCGATGACGGGCCGCGAGACCCCGCACGCCCGACCCAGCGCCTGCTTGGAGCGCACAAACACATACGGGACGTTCTTGTCCTCGCACAGCAGCGGCAGATGGAGGATGATCTCCAGCGGCTCTGCGTCGGCCGCCATCACGATGAACTCTGAGATTCCCCGGTTCAGGGTTTTAGTGGCTGAAATAGACAAGAACAAACATGTTGTGCCCTCTATGATCTGTAATGTAAATTAAACACCGTTCTTTAAAAGGGAACCCTTGGTATCAATTAGGGTTGGGTATCGCTTGGGGTTATTTCGATCCTTTTAAAGGTGCCAAAACGGTGCCTGAACCGATATTTTTGAGCCACAAAATTAAGGTGGATGACTCTAGAAAAAGCTTTTATTTGACAAAAAAAATATTTTTAATCATTTAAATTTACATTTAGTCATTTAGCAGACGCTTTTATCCAAAGCGACTTACAAATGAGGACAAGGAAGCAATTTACACAACTATAAGAGCAACAATGAATAAGTGCTGTAAGCAAGTTTCAGGTCTGTAAAGTCTAAGAAGGAAAGTATTAGTAATGTATTTTTTTTTTTTTGAGTACAGTTAGTGGTATATCCAGAGGCAATTGCAGATTAGGAAGTGAAATGGAGACTAAATAGACAGCGAGTGACTCTGCCGTTCTGATGCAGTTCGGGAGTTCATTCCACCAACTGGACAGCTTGACCGCAAGCATTCACGAAAGTGATTTCTTCCCTCTTTGGGATGGAACCACGAGGCGACGTTCATTCACAGAACGCAAGTTTCTTGAGGGCACATACATCTGCAGAAGTGAGAGCAGATAAGAAGGAGCAAAGCCAGAAGTGGCTTTGTAGGCAAACATCAGAGCTTTGAATTTGATGCGAGCAGCAACTGGCAGCCAGTGCAAACGGATGAGCAGCGGAGTGACATGTGCTCTTTTAGGTTCATTGAAGACCACTCGTGCTGCTGCATTCTGGATCATACTTTAAATAAAGTTTAAAGTATACACAGGGGTGGATTGATTGATTTGGGGACCCTAACTAATTCCAGCAAAGGAGCATTACACTGCAGATCTTGATGGTCAATTCCGATATTGTGACTGTATTCGATTATTTTGATGACCTGCTTACATCTTTTTTAAAAGTGTCTCATATTCGATCATCTGCATTTACACAGCACACGGCAAAGGCGCAATGACTAGGGAAAAAAAAAAAAAGAGTGAGCGCTGACTAGCAGCTGATGATAAAAGAGTGCCATGTCCATGGCGTGATTTATGCATGTGATGTATGCACTAGTTTTATATTAGTTTATATTGGTTACGTGGCGAACATTGCGCTCTCGCGCTCTCGTGTTTAAATACCTACGCTATAAGACAATCTAAAAGCTGTTTAAATCCTCGTGTATGAGTTTTAAGGTTTGCGACTCTGCTGAAGTCTGTTCTGAAATGAAAGTGTCAAACATCGAAATATCAAGCCAATTCCACGCGTGTTCAATACGAAAAGGTCTGGAGAGGGTATTCTCCAATGCCAAAAATATTAGTAATTTATTAGATACAAATGAATAATTCGATGACAGAGCTCTGGGTTACGTTACCCCAATGCAATACAAGAATTACATGCAAGAGGTTCGCAACTATCATACATCTCCTTGACTCCACCATATATATATACACAACTGATATTAACAGGTGGAGTTTTGGTTTAGCATCACTTATCATTCATTCTGCAGTTCTTTAAGTATTGCACACAGACATACTTCCTCTTTCTGCAACCCTTCTTCTCTGCATACCTGAACAATTATGTGCATCTTTAATATATTTCACAACTTCTACAAGCATCATGCTCCTTGTCACATGTCTAGACTTCGTATTAGACAGAAGGCTGGAACAAGGGCCCCCGTACTACATTTATTCTTATTCTGCTATTTCCCTCTTGTCAGCAGGTCCTTCTAAAAAGTATGCAACCGAGTAAGAAAGAAGAAGTGTGCCTGGTAAAAATATGGCATCATACAAAAGAAAAAGATGGATTAATCTGTTGCTAGTCTAAACATTTTTCTAATAAAAAATAAAGACACAAAAGTAATAAAAAATAAATTACTTTGTCTACACATAATAATAAACGTTTACAAAGTGATGTAATACTTTTGAAAATCACAATCGCAAGCTATTTATAAATGCCTAATATCTGATGGCCAGAAAGTGATTCATTTTTAATAAATTGTTACAATTTAGGTATTTGTGATGCAGCAAAGACTGTCGTGTACACTATGATTTTATATAAAATCCACTTCAAGGTGTGATGGGACTAAAAAGTGGTCATAAACAAACATTTTCTCAATTCAAATGAGTGTGGGCTTGGACCCGGAAACAATATTTTATACATCGCAACTTAACAAGCAGATACATCAATTCATAATTTATACATTTTAATTTAATTAATATTTATTTTGATCATTTGTTTGTTAGCATGAATTAAAGTTTTGCAATATGCTATTAACATTACATTATCTTACAGCTAACCTGTGGAAAGGCTGTCAACAAAATCAGGGAAGACCTTTTTTATAGGCTTGGGCTTGACTACGTTTACATGGACATCAGTAATGTAATAATTTGCCTTAATCTGAATAAAACAAGGAGTTACAGTGGCACAATGGGTAGCACGTTCGCCTCACAGCAAAAAGGTCGCTGGTTCGAGCCTTAGTTGGTTCAGTTGGCATTTCTGTGTGGAGTTATGATGTTCTCCCCGTGTTGGCATGGGTTTCCTCCAGGTGCTCCGGTTTCCCCCACAAGCCCAAACACGTGTTATAGGTGAATTGGGTAGGCTAAATTGTCGTAGTGTATGTGTGTGAATGAGTGTGTATGGGTGTTTCCCAGTGATTGGGTTTGCAGCTGGAAGGGCATCCACTGCGTAATACTTGTGCTGGTTAAGTTGGCGTTAAAGAGTATTGAGTGCTGAATTACCTTCGTTGGCCCCTTTCCTCAGCTGTTTGTAATTGGCTGCCTGCTGCACCAGATCCAGGATGGTTTTGCTGAGGGTGGCATCAGCCAGAGGGTACGCTTTAGGGTTCACGTCAGATTCAGCCTGAGGAGAACAGCACTTGATCAGTCATGGTGAACATATCTTATAAACACTATCAAGGCCTGAACCATAAAGATTAGCCAGTTAAAGTACACATGAAATCAAAACTAGCAATATTGATTTTGTTAGCTCGCATGGCTAGTTTTGTGGTGAACAATTCATCTGTGCATGTCATTAAAATATATGTATAATAATTGTTTGCCTTTGTGATGTAAAATTTAAATCTGAAAATGCACTTCCTGTTTGTTTTCTCAGATTATGTCTGTCTGAGGTATTGGGTGTGGCTAACATACTTAACCACGCCCCTCCAGCTGTCAGTGACAACAATCAGAAACGGTGAGGTGGAGTCTGTTAGGTTGTAATAACTCTCCTGAAACCTTTTCCAGATCTATCTGAATGAAATGCCTACTTTACTATATCCAATAAGATTACAGCAGAAAAACAAGCCACGCCCACTGTTTCCTCATTTAATATTCAACATTTAATACTTCTCTAGGAACTGCATCACAATATGAAACAAAAAAACAAATAAACCTGTTGCAGCTTCTGGTTCATTCGGACTATAAGTTTTAGTTTAGTTTGCACCAATTCTGTTTTTTCAGTACCAGTTTTGTCAACTCAAAACTAATGTGGTAATTTGGAATTTGTTAAGCCAAATATAGGCTGAATCCAAGCAGCAACCTCCCGCTCTTCCTCGAAGCTAATACGGAAGTAAATGAAACTGCAATTCATCAAAATTCCACTAGGCCTGTCTCCAAAATTGAGTAGATTTCTATTGACCCCGATATTAAAATGGCCAACTTTACAGCAAAAAAAAAAAAAAAAAGTGTTTACAGCCCGGTTAAAAGAACGATTTTGGTTGATATAGCTAGAATGACCCTTCATGACAATTGTAGGGGAGAGGGGTGAATTTTTTATAAGTCATCCGTTTCCTTTATATCATATTTAATTGTGAGACATTATTAAATTCTTAAGTAACTGTTTTCTCATTGAATGTGGTTTCAACTTGAACCTATTCCAGTGATTCTAGGCTGAATTTTCAAAATCATTACTGCAGTCTTCAGTGTCATGTGATTCTGATTAGACAATGGTTTTACAACAAATCAGGCATAAAACAAAACATAAAATAATAATAACAATAATTCTTTAATTTATTGTACAGCAGTCCACATTTGAAGTTCAAAGTTGCCTTAAAATAATAACAAGAATTGTTAAATATACATTTAAGTTTAAAGACAACATTGATCAAAGGTTTATTCCACTTTAAATGTGGACTACTTTAGTTATAACATGGTGATTAAATTGATATTAGAACAAATGGACGTCTAAATAACTTTAGTGCACATAGACGTCAACATAATAGACATCAACATTTTTCTAAATATCTTCTTTTGAGTTTAACAGAAACAGCAAGTCCCACACATGTATGAAACAGCTGCAAGCTGAGAAAATGTACAGTTTTCATAATAAAAAATTAACAACTCCTAAAAATTTGAACTTAAATTTTGGGTAACATCCTTAATTGTAATAATGTTGTTATGAAAGCAAAGTCTGATTGGCTCATGAAAATACACAGCTTGATATATATAGAGGTAAAGTTGGTTTTATATTGGGATATTCAGACTTTCTGCTTAATAATATAATTTGAGAAAGGTCTTCTTTGCAAATTCTAAATAGGGAAATCATATTAGCAGCCAATGACTAACGTTATCAAAGAACAACATTGTTCACAGTGAATTGCAGAGTGCTAATGTTGTTTAAAAGTCATAATTGCATGCTAATTCCTATCGAAAATTCAAAGTAACATGGTAAACAATATAGAGACTTCTAAACGAACAAATGTGTGAATATAAAACCAACTTTACCTCTATTTTCATAATTACCTAATTTGCATGTAAGTTACACACATGTAGATCTATATCCAAAACACGTGTATCTATATGAATTTCATTACACTTTAAATAAAGTAATGGATTTAGCTGAAGCCTTTGCTAGACCACATCATAAAAAAAATAATAAAATAAATCAATAATCTGTGTATTATTTAGAAACTATGAGTGTAACAGAAAACAGCAGCACGTGTTGAGTGGAAACACACACCACAGTCAATGAGAATGCAGACCATAGCCCAAGCATTAGTTTAAAACTATTATAATGCGTATGTATTTACCATTTCTTCGAGCTGTGGTTCAGATAAGTTATGAGTGTGATAAACTGGTCCTCTCGGCGTGTGCTTCACGGAGGACAAACAGACCGCGGCGGGTTTAAAAGTATGATTCGTTTACTGAACGTTTAATGCGTGTGTGTGCTCTGAAATACGACGCTCAGTTTTGACGTCAGTAAAATGAGACAGCGGATTTGGGTGAAAAACGGTGAAGGATACAGCTGCAGATACGCACATAATAATTTTTGGGACGCTGTAAAACAGTAATTAATATTTTTACATTACTATGATGTTTTGGTTTAGGGTTAGGGAAAGGATTAGACGTTATTAAAATGCAATTAATGGGTAAATTAATAAATGTTATAAACATTGATCGTTAACTTCCGTTCGCGGCTGTATCCCTTCTAGCAAGAACATGGGAGAACCATTTAAAGGGATAGTTCACTCAAATAAGAAAACGTCATACTTTATTCACCTTTTACTTGTTTGAAATCTTTGAGTTTATTTCTTCTGTTAAACACAAAATGAGATATTTGAAGAAAGCTGGAAATGTGACTTCTATAGTTTTTGTTTTACCTATGGAAGTCAATGGTTACAGGTTTTCAGCTTTCTCCAGAATATATTATTTTGTGTTGAACAGAATAAAGAATCTCATAAAGGATTGGAACCACTTCATGGAGAGTAAATAGTCGGTACATTTAAATTCATATTCATTGTAATAATGTAAAATTAATGTATCATTTTAATCCTTGTCACTTTGAACCAGTGACATTACACACTAACTTCGCTATGAATTCACATATTATATTTACCGTCTGTCTTTAACCTTTCATTTATGGATAAGAAAATTAGTATAAAATAAATTAATTTAATAAAAACATGCAGTAGCCAAACATTCATTCATTTTCTTTCGGCTTAATCCCTTTATTCATCAGGGGTCGCCACAGCGGAATGAACCGCCAACTTATTTAACATATATTTTACACATTGAATGCCTTTCCAGCTTTAACCCAGTACTGGGAAACACCCATACACTCTCACATGCACACACTATGGCCAAATTAGTGTATTCAATTCACCTGTACCGCATGTCTTTGGACTGTGGGAGAAACCAAAACACCTAGAGGATACCCACGCAAACACGGAGAACATGCAAACTCAGCCGGGGCTCCAACCAGCAACCTTCTTGCTGTGAGGCAAAAGTGCTAACCACTGAGCCACCATGTCACCCCCTGTAGCCAAACATTTCTTATAAAAGTAGTCTTAAACATTGGCTGTTCATTCATGTTTTGTTAATATTATATTTTTTATATAAAATTTTGGCTTAAGCATTGTACAACAATAATGTTGACAATATAGTGGAACAATATTAGAAGCTTTTTAGAGTCTTTTTGCTTTTCTTTAACAAGTTAAGGGTTTCACGGTGGCGCAGTGGGTAGCACGATCGCCTCACAGCAAGGTCACTGGTTCCAGTCCCGTCTGGGTCAGATGGCATTTCTGTGTGGAGTTTGCATGTTCTCCACGTGTTTGCGTGGGTTTCCTCCGGGTGCAAGTCCTAAGGCATGTACTATAGGTGAATTAGGTAAATTGGCTATAGTTTATGTGTGTGAATGCAAGAGTGTATGGGTGTTTTCCAGTGTTGGGTGGTGACTGGAAGGGCAACTGCGGCGTAAAAACATATGCTGGAAAAGTTGGTGGTTCATTCCGCTGTGGCGACCCCTGGTTAGTGAAGGAACCAAGCCGAAAATGAAGTTAACAATCAAATAAATGTGTCTGAAGTCAATTAGAACCATCCTTATTAATGATCAAGGTTTTATAAATACTTTATAATTTATTCAAAATGCTTTTTTCACATCTAATGGGGTATGAAATGTTAATTTAATCATAATTTTACTCACCATTCACTTGGTTCCACTCCTTTATGAGTTCTGATGAACGCAAAAGAAGACATTTTGAAGAATGCTGAAAACCTGGAACCACTGACTTCCATATTTAGATATGGTTACAGATTTTTCAGCTTTCTTCAACATATCTTATCTTGTGTTCAGCAGAAGAAAGAAACCAATAACTACTTGAGGGTCAAAGTACATTGTAACTTTAGGGTGAACTGTCCCTTTAATAAAACACAGCTTCCGGTCTATCCATATATGGTGTGTTGTTGTGGCGCGCGGGATTGTGGGTAGGTCTTCGGAATCGGCCATAACTGTCTTTCACAGCAGCGGCTGAAGGAGAGAAACGGAGTCATGATGACGGGCTTCAGAGGTTTCACTCATCTCTCCGTGAGTCTCTTTCTCTCAGTCTGCATCACTCTTTCCTCTCCACCAAAACGGCCAGTTTGAGAGACACCAGAGCTTTCAGGGCCGCAGTACACCTCTAATTGTAGCGCCGCATGCTAATGTCACTCATATACTGTCATTCCTGAACAGCTGTGAGTGTGCAGCCGCTGAACTGGAGAAACATGAATGAATAAAGCTCCGGTTCTGGGAGTGTTCGCTGTTTATGTGTTTCCCGAGGGTTTTTCACTGCTTGGTTTGTGAATCACTTGTGATCTAGTGTTTGAGTGATGAAGGTCATGATGGGACACAAACACCTGAGACCTTTAACCTGGTTTCTATCACCTGTGAATGAGAATTTAATCGCAGAGACTGTCTAATCAATCACAGTGGAAAACCTGGGAATGTCAGGGACTTTTAAAATAGCATTAGTCAGATATGGAAAAGTTTTAAAGATTAATTAATATATAAATAACTTACAAAACGGTTTGCAGGGAAAACAAACAGCTATACAGCATCCAGAAGGGTTGTTATCACAGAAAGAGTGTCTGTGGTCTTATTAGAGCACTGTTTTATGATTTTTTCTGCATGTACAACTCTCTTGGATGTTGTTTATCCTGCTTATTACACTGCTACTAGTCACAAAACATAAATGTTTGATACAAAACATTGTTCTGAGCCATAATGGTTTATTAATTCTTTAATTAAACGCAAAACGGACAGAAACAAACACAGCTGAATGATGGAGTATACACTAACCTGCTAATTATTCAGTCACAAGATGGTGCCAAACAGTCAAAAACGCAAAGCTGACATTAATAAAACTGATTTAGTGGAGCATAGACTAAAGCCTGATTTATACTTCTGCGTCAAGTGACCGGCGTGACCCACGGCGCATGCAACGCGCGCGGCTGTGCATTTATACTTCTGCGCGCTGTCTCTGTCGGTCTGTATTAACACTTCCGAAACGCTAGTTGGCAGTGAGGTGTAAATGTTCCTCTGTGTCGAGTTTCTTCTCTGGTTTTTAGCTTTTCCTGAACACCTCCGGGATGTACAAGTGGCTCAAACTTGCTCATTTTGAGGCAGGAACCGGTGGACGTGCAGCAGCTTTAACTATGAGGTAAACACAAAACAAAACTTTCCATCCGGAGCTCCTTCACGGGACTCCACACTTGTAAACAATCGCTCGTGCCATTCGCGCGGCTCTCGGTCCCGCCCAGACTCGTCAGCGCTACCAAGCCGACCAATCACAGAGCTTACACTACGCGTCGTTGCGACGTGTAGTTACATTTTTTTGAGAGGTGCACGTCAGTGCCGGCGACGGCCACGGCCAAGGGCTATGCGTCAGCGTTGTAGCATACGCCGGTGTTTGACGCAGAAGTATAAATCAGCCTTAACCCAGGGATTCTCAACTGGTGGGCCTCAGCGATCCTGCAGGTGGGCCATGAGGTAGCTCAAAATTAACTCTCAATGTTGTACCGTAATTTTTTGGATCTCATTATTAATATGCTATATTAAAATGGTCGAAGTAATGCTTTTCTCCTGTTTACTGATTCGTTACGTCAAACTCGGTGCAAAAACAGCCTCATGATCGTGTCTGCATCTAGTACACATTACGCCTGTTTCACACAGCACGCGAGAGCAGCACACAGGCAGAATATTTGCTGCGCGCATGCATTGTCCAGTACATACACTCCGCGCTGATGCGCTGCTTAGTATGAAAGCTCTAATCTGTTAAACATGGATGCCGAAAAACACACGCGGCTTTCACGTGCGATGTAAAATAGGCTTAAGGCTGTTCATTCACAAACTATGCATGAAGTAAAAGTCTCTAGCTGCGTCCCAAATCGCATACTTATGCACTATTTTACGCCTTTTTGTTGTATAAATAGTGTAAGTAGTGTGTTCACACTGACAGCTCTAAAAATAATAAGTGCACTTTAATTACCCGGATGAGGCACTCATTCAGCCGCTAAAATGAAGTGTGTAATGATGGACACTTCACGCACTCAACGACCGCAGGTTTGCTTACGTAGCGGAAGAGGCGGAGCTATCGGACGCACATGTTGGATAACTTTTTTTTTTGATGGTGAAAGCAAAATTCTCTTACGAGATTGATTATAGCGCCTCCCAATGGTGAATGCGGCAATACTCACGGCAGGTATTATTTGATAATTCGGTTGTTTGTTTCACTGATTTGGCAACCGTCAATCGTCATCAGGGAAACGGTTTAAATTTCCGCTTAGTAAAAAAACATTAGTGTGCCATTTGGGACGACACTACATACATATGCTATGCTGTTGAGTGTGTAAGTGCATAAGTACACAGTGCATGAGTGTATAGTGTGCCATTTGGGACGCAGCTTCTATTTAATATATTCTCACAGGTGTCCAAATTAATGTCCACCTGTTAGTGTTTTACAATGAACACACATCCATACAGGAGGATCAAGCAAGGCTCAACGGTGTTTCTGGCTTGTTTTAATAAACTTTTAAAACTTTTTTCAGCTACAATCTGACATCTGTCCTCTTTAAAATGAGCTTAAATCATGGGTGTCCAAGCTTGATCCTGGAGGGCCGGTGTCCTGCAAAGTTTAGTTCCAACTCCAATCAGACACACCTGGGCTAGCTAATCAAGCTCTTACTAGCCTTCCTACACACATCCTTGCAGGTGTGTTGAGGCAAGTTGGAGCTAAAATCTGCTGGACTCCAGGCCTCCAGGACCGAGTTTGGGCACCCTCTAGCTTAAATCTCTGCACCAAAGTATTTACAATTGCTCTTTCGCTAATGAATTTTTTTTCTTTTCATGTGTATGTTGAAAAAGTGGGAGTGACAGTTACGGGGTTTTAATAAGCGAGATACGAAACACAAATTCCAGGTCTCCAATCTTAAAAAAGGCCAGTTTTTTGACACTGAGTATTTTTTTACAGAGACGCTGTTATGCTGCCGCCGCCAGGAGGAACAAGGCTCTAACTGAACCTCTAAGCCATAAGTCTGCAGCTCCACCAGTGCTCCAGCCACAGGATGTCCAGGTACACACGCTTTCATCTCTTGGACACTTGAACTGACACTTGCACTTTACACCAGAAACATTCTTACAATCAGTCCATATACAGTGTTTCCTTTAGGGTTTTTTCGAGTTGTGGCGGCAGACTCTGTTGGCCATTTTACACAGATCTACCACTACATGTGGCGTTATTTCATTGACAAATGTTGTGGGTATTTAGTCGAGATCGCATTCATGTAATAGCCTACGAGCATGTCAATCTTCGCTTGAGCGCCAATTCCCTCTGTTCGTGCACAAAACTTCTTGCGCGCCCTCAAAAATACGCTGCTTAAGTGCAGATTTTCTTGTGCGCCCTTAAATAAACGCGACTGAAGTGTGAGTTAGTGCGTTTATGTACCGAGTATGTCTCCAACATTTACTAGATTTGCTAGGAATATTTATGAATGTCTCCGATAGACTTGCGGAGCAGACCGCGGCATTAATGCGTCCTGAAGTAAAGTGAAACGGCTATAAACTCCAGCAAGATAAAGTCATTATATGCAGAGCCACAGACCTTTATCTATGAATAAAGTATAATTATGAAAACTGTGTTCATCATTACTGAAAGCTACGCCGTGTTTGCTGGCCTCAAGCATCTCGCACATGTCAGTCAGTCATTATGTCACCTTAAAGGGTTAAACAGAACGCACAGCACTACTACGGTCACAGAAAAGTTTGCGCTGTTAATATTTACTTACCTTTTAATACGTTTTCAGTGCGATTTATTTTATTTTATTTTTATCTATTTAAAAAACGACAGAATATTTTGAATAAGCAGCTGTAATGTAGCCGTGGCGGGATGAATTTTGGTGTGGTGCCCTGCCACGGAAGAATGAATGTAGTGGAAACCATGATATATATATATATATATATATATATATATATATATATATATATATATATATATATATATATATATATATATACACACACACACACACACACACACATATATACATATATATATGTGTGTGTGTGTATATATATATATATATATATATTTATATATATATATATATATATATACACACACACACTCACACATATATATACATATATGTGTATATATATATATATATATATATATATATATATATATATATATATATATGTAAACATTTTGGATTTATAAAATGTAGAAACACTCTTCTCTATCAAAATAAAAAACAATTCAGTTCCTCTGTATAATAAGCACTTCTTGTGTGTATTGCCTTGTTGTATCACTGAATCCCTCCTCAAATCTAAATGTAATGCACTGGATCAGGGGTGTTTAAATGAGATTTCAAATCCTCCGCCCTTACCCATGATCAACACCACTTGTTTTAGGTGTCCAAGCTGCCCAGCGGTCTTGTGGTGGCCTCTCTGGAGAACTACTCCCCCGTCTCCAAAATCGGTGTGTTTGTGAAAGCCGGCAGCCGCTATGAGACTGCAGAAAACCTGGGCGTCACGCACATGCTCAGATTAGCAGCGAATATGGTGAGTGACAGCTCAGAATCAGAGGACTTGCAGTTTAGATTAAATACTGGATGTGCTGTGAATAATGCCTGTGTGTTTCAGACCACTAAAGGTGCGTCAGCCTTCAAGATCTGTCGCAGTCTGGAGGCTCTGGGTGCTAGTTTGAGGTCAGTTTCATGAGTGTGCATGAACACTTTCACTTTGCACTTTATCATTTCTCTCACGGTCGTGTTTTGTTTGGCTGTTTTTCAGTGTGACGTCTTCGAGGGAACACATGGTATATTCCCTGGACTTTCTTAGAGATGATTTGTGAGTATCATTGCTGTACATGAGCCATCAGCAACATCTAATAGACATGAAATATACTCTACAGATACAAGAAACACGGACACTGGAGTGTTTTAATGTAACGTCGATCAGCTGGTTTGTCTATAAGCTGACATACGAGCGATCCGCTGATGAAGCGTGGCTTTAAAACACTCCAGTGTCCCTGTATCTGTGTTTACACTCAGTAAACAGCGGTGAGTTCGGTGAACTGATGGCCAACCACAGCCATTTCTGTTGAGCACGTGAACACAATGGCAAATCCACGCTGTTTAAGAACGCGCTTAACAGTGCTCAAATGTTTCCGGGAAATGGATGGTCTAAAATTTTCTGGATCAATTGTTACCGAATTTCAGTATTGTGACAACTCTAGATCAGATATGACGCGCTGAAGTGCAGTAGATTCTTTGCTTTGCTCACATATTTATCCGCTTCTTGACATCTCGGCAGGGTTTAAACAATGCTGGCTGATGAAAGCATGATGAGTAAAACTCAAACGAACAGCATCGGAGAAACCAAAACTTTGTTAAAACAACAAATCGCAGCGTGAGTCTTCCATGACTGCCAGAGGCCCTCTATCACTTCCTTCTCTCTCTCTTTCCTTCTAGCTCTTACTTTTCTTCTCTGACGCCAAGCTCTGCCCTCTTATCAAGGAACAGGCGTCATCCATGATAAAAGAATTTACTGAGATTGCTGAACTTACTCAACCACAATTTTATTTATTTGTTTTATTTATGACATCATCACAATCTGATGGTGAAAACGACAGGTGTAATGCTCTCTGAAACGCATTAGAAACTGATATAAATATGATCTGATTGCTCAAACCACTTTAGGAGATAGACACTGTCCAGATGAAACTTATATGACATACAATTGAAAGTTGAGTCCCTTTAGGACGTAATGAAGATGACAACTCCCATGATTCCACACTCAGTCATACAGTCATCAAAATGCATGTTTGTTTGTTGTGAACACACACCCTCTTGTGGCAGAAATTATGTACTGGTGTTTTTAAATGCATATTCATTGTAATGATTGTTTACGGCCCTTTGGTCACCAGGATTATTTGTTGCTAAGCTAGCTTATAGCTTAGCTTGCTACATTTTCCAGAGGGTAGTTAAGCTACCTTTTAACTAGAGTAGCTAATAGCTTAGCTCACTACATTTTTCAAGTAGCTTGCCCAACACTGAAAGACACTAAGTTAAGTGGCAAGTTATCATAACAAGGACATCTCAACAAAATTTGCATATAAAATGACAAAACTGAGCGAATGACGCATAATTACAGTTGTGATGAGCATGCATGAAATCACATTCATGTTCAAGATGATTCATGATTATGAAGGTTTCATCAGTTTTAATGAACACTTCTTAAAGTGTTACAGTGGCCTGAGTTTTTACAATATTATCTTTTAAAAGGGAATACCAGATCATTTTTAAAAAACAGTGTAGGATTTACTGAATATTTTTCAGTTTTATTTAAAACAGAAATACAACAAATTAAATATCAGATCTGTCATATGGGCAGAAATGCTCTAAAAACAGCAATATGGTATCTTTTGAAGTAATACAACGTTACCTTGCACTTACTTATCATGTGTTCTTACATCAAGTCTTTGAATTTGAAGTTATTGGACCCGAAATTTACTTAAAAGGTCCTGAAAGTACCTTGTATAGCAAACATAGTGAATATCAGTAGCAGAATGAGCATGTAGACCAGGGGTGTCCACATTCAGTCAAAGAGGGCCAGTGTCCAGGAGAGTTTAGCTCCAACCCTAATCAAACACACCTGAACAAGCTAATCAATCTCTTAGTAGGTATACTAGAAACTTCCAGGCAGGTGTGTTGAAGCAAGTTGGAGCTAAAGTCAGCAGGACACCGGCCCTCCAGGACTGAATGTGGACATCCCTGATGTAGACAGTCTGTCCTGTAGATTATATTTAAAAATTACTCTTGTGTGTGTTTTTGTGTGCAGTGACGGTGTGATCGAATACCTTGTGGATGTGACTACTGCTCCTGACTTCAGACCCTGGGAGTTGGCAGATCTCACCCCGAGGGTCAAGATCGACAAAGCCTTGGCTGAACAGAGCCCACAGATAGGTGCAGTACATGGTTTACTCCTAAATTAATGTAGAAAGTTGATTAAGTGATACTGAACAGCTGTTTTCTCCGCTCAGGTGTCCTGGAGAAGCTGCATGAAGCTGCTTATAAAAACGCCTTGTCCAACTCGCTCTACTGTCCAGACATCATGCTGGGGAAGATCAGTGTTGATCATGTAAGAGGCGAACAGCTTTCTGTACTGTTCCCCTACTGAAATGAGTACCAGTGTATACTAACACTGCCTTTCTGCTCTGAATCTGCAGCTTCAGCAGTTCTTTGACAATAATTACACCAGTGCAAGAATGGCTCTCGTTGGATTAGGTAAGTAATTTTTCTGCATAAAGTGTTCATTTCTTTTAAATAAGCTTATTTCAGGAAATTAACTCAGTAAATAGCAACAATTTAGGATTTATACACTTTTTGCTTATCGTTATAGTTCAGCTTAAAGGGATAGTTCACCCTTAAATCAATATTTACTACTGTTTATTCAACCCCTAAATGGTTTCAAAGCCTTTATGAGTTTCTTACTTCTGTTAAACACCAAGAAAGATATTATAAAACTATGGAGGTCAGTGGTTACAGGTTTCCAGAATTGTTCATATTTTCTTGTTTTGTGTTCAACTGAAGAAAGAAACTGAAGCAGGATATAATGACAAAGATAATAAAGAGTAAGGCCCTGTTTACACTAGTGCGTTTTAGTTTTAAACGGGTGTTTTAGATCAAAAATGAGCCGCGTCCACACTAGCATTTCACCTAGCGTTTCTGAACATATCTCCGTCCACACTACGCCACCAAAAACGTTTATCACGTGACCATTCGCGCACTCCGGACATGTGCGTTCTAGTATAAACAGAAAGCATGTGTCTCGCTCTGCATTTGGTTATTATTAGTCAACAAACGCCGGTTGAACAATGAACTCGATGGCGAAGAATGCAAGCGAGGTATTTTTGTGCACAGACGACGAGGTCGAGTTGTTACTAAACGTAACAAATGAATAACTGCACAATGGTGCATAAAATAGACAATAGTGCAAACAACACTCCCATTTCTGTGTCCATGTTGTTGTTTACAGTGAAGGCTGGTCTGCTGTCTTCCGGTAGCGTTAAAGCTATGTGTTATAGTCATGTGATAGGGGCTTGACAAATAAGGAAAGGATACGCAATGACACAAAAGCCCCAATCAGGTAGCGAATCTCAGCAGCCCCGCCTCCGTTTTCAGATGTCTCTGTTTACCCCATCCACGCTGAGACGGAGCAGCAGTGTTTCAGAATGAAAACAGCCTATCCAGCATTTCCAAAACGCTCCGCTTTTGAAAGTTTTCAAAAACTCCGGCGTAGTGTGGACGGATGGCCTAACTGTAGCAAAACTTATGCATTTTCAAACTAAAATGCATTAGTGTAAACGGGACCTAAGTCAGTCAGTGAGTGAATGTTTGCTGTTGAAGGGGTCAGTCATGCGGCTCTGAAGACGGTCGGTGAGCGATTCTTCGGTTCTCATAAAGGAGCCGGAGCACCAGGAGCCAAAGCTGTGTACCGCGGCGGTGAGTGCAGACACACTCCATCACACTAATTAAACATCTACAGTAATTCAAACAAAATATAAAATGTAATTGCAGAAAATGTAAATGTAAATCAGTGATTTTAAATAACCCTTCTCCGATGTTTACTAATATTTTCCAAAGTTTTCTGTATAAAATAAAAGCATGTTTTGTGTAATGCTATGCATTACATACATCTCACCATAGATATATTGGTTTTTCCTATTATGTCCCTTTTTACAAGATGTAAAATAAGTCATTAATAAGTCTCTAAAAGAGATGGTCATCTATGGGTGGGGCGTTCTTCCTCACAAAGAGAGAATGTCAAAGTGTTTCTGCAGACAGTTTTTATAAAATGTGATTATAAAAAATACAATTAATAATGTTTTTTTTCACCATTAGTAGCTGGTTATATTCACACACTGTTGTCACATAACTTTGTTCAAACCCCTTATAAAGGTGTTTTTTTCACAATAGCCCCGCTTTAAAGTAAAGAGATGTGGCAAAAAAGTTTTACCAAAATTAAATAACAACAACATTTTAAAACCATTGACACCAACGAATAACTTTTATAATAAAAAAAAACATTTCGGGGACATCTCTGGGTCATATTTCACCCAATATATGATATTATGCATAAATAAAGTATCGAACATTTTCAGTGTTAAAACAACATTTTGGTATTACATTATATTATATTTTATGTTATTATGAACAAATATTCAAATAGTAAATTATTTAATTATGTTTATACCATGGGCATATCTATTTTATTACTTTTAGAAAATGGGTTATGAGTAGGCAACACAGAATCAACACGGATTTAGGCCATCATTAATTCTGTTCATTTACTTGAGTAAATGTGTGTAAATCTAAATTTATTCAGTTTTTAAATTAATTACAGTAATTTTTTTGGCAAATTTAAAAATGTATCTAATTTATGTGCAATGCAGTTTGTAAAGTAAAATTCTCTTGTCTTTTAGTAGAGATATTATATGAGAGACTTGCTTTGTTTACCAAATAAAGTGAATTTAATTGGATTTGCATTTAGACATTAAATAAAAGTTTAAAAGGTATTACTTTTTATTTAATATATTAAGGTTTTAGTTTTGATACTCCCAAAATAATTCGACAGAAATCCAGATTTTTACCAAAATTCCCCAAAGAAATAGCAAAAAACGCCACAGATTCCGTCTGGCCCTAGTCATGATTTTCACACATACATTTTTTTAAAGCTATTGACTATTTTTTTATTTGGTTTGACCCTCATGAGAACATTTGGTTTGAATGGGCGTTGTCAAATGTAGACTTCAAATTAAACACCCACTGCTGTGATCGGTTGGCAGTTTTGCATATTAACGGAACTGAAACGTCTCTAAACATCATCTCTCTCTAAAGTTTTGTTTCTTAACATTTCAATCAAACAAAATCAGCATTTTTTTCAGTTTGCCCAAGCTTATGTGCATATGCACTTGAAGGGAATGAGATTACAACACCATCCTCTGAATAATGCTTCATCCGATTGTTTTGATGGCCAATCTCCTTCCAAAATAACACTCCTCTCTTTGTTTACAAGTTTGAAAGTATTTGTGTACTGTAGTCGCTATCATGTGATATTTGATGGGATGGGGTGTACCTCGTGTTCGTTTCATACAGATTACAAAACCAGAGAACATTTTTTTTAAGTGTAGTTGTTTTATTTAAAAGAAGAGATTTCCCATTTGCATTTGCTGATCCTAACAGGTGCATAACAACTGCAGAAACTATCGTAAAAACATAAGTATAATCTGAGCCTCTCCGCTGGAAAATCGTCAGTCTGTATTGATCGCTGATTGGCTCCTGTACTAGAATGCAGGGCTTCATTCACCATATTGAGCTTTATACTTTTCCTCATTCTAAACTATATAAGTGGTATGTCTTGTGTATTCTATAGTTTTTAGTACTATATAACAATATTTCATGTATAACAGTAATATGAAGTATAATGAGAATCATTACTGATAATAACAGGCATTTGCATCAACATAGTTTTTGTGCGTCACAGTAAGGAGGATTCTTGTTTCCTAATGTGCTTAAAGGCCATTTAAACAATGTGCTTGTCTGACTGACAATATGTGTGTGTGTGAACAGGTGAGCTGCGGGTTCAGGGCACTGGATCTCTGGTTCACGCTCTGCTGGCTTGTGAAGGAGCTGTGACGGGCTCAGCTGAGGCCAACGCCTTCAGTGTGCTGCAGAGGATTCTGGGAGCTGGACCACATGTCAAGAGAGGATCCAACATCAGCAGCAAACTCAGCCAGGGCATCGCCAAGGCAACCGCTCAGCCATTTGACGTGAGTGCTTGTCAACCCTTACGCCCCATTCACACGAGGCTTCAGCGTCAGCGCTTGACTGAAGGCGTGTCTGAAGTTGGGGTTGACGCGATCGTCATAGCAGCGTCAGCCAATTAAATTCAGTCAGCAGTAGGCCACTGTCTTGCTGGTGTATTTGCATACAGCGATCTGATTAGCTGACGCAATAATGGCCATTATTGATAATTAAAACTGATAATTCAGCAAAAGAAAGGGCATGTTTCGTATTTTCTTTGATTATGGAGGGAGGCAGTAATGTTATAGGCTCTGTTTTCCTATAAATATGCACACAGTGTGTCACGGTTGAGGTTGGAGAAAAAGGAGCTAGGACCCAAGTGCAGAGTAAACACGCTAGAACACGCAGCCAATAAGAGAACTCATTCACCGCGTGTTCAGATGATAAGACAAACACAACACTGAAGCACACAACAAAAGCACGCGACCACAATGTAAACGCAGAGTTACGTGCTTTGACAACAGACACAAGACACGAGCACACAATAGATGAAAACACCTAACCGTGCGCTCACACATATACAACGCGCATGTTTCATCTCAGCGCCAACCAAAACCAAACCATCAAGATGGAGACGCTGAGAATAAAACAGCGCATCAAGCGAGAGCGCACACGGTCTGCACGCACCTACGATGACGTACACCCAGAGACACACACACAATGACAAAACAAGTGCTCTACCCAAGAAAACTTGAGCCGAGCACAACAGAACAGGACAAGACAGAGCTAGTGTCCGGACTTTGTCACCAAAACAAGAATTTACAAGACCAAAGTGGCAGAACCCTGACACAGTGAAGATGACGCTCATATGGCCTAAATATGCAGCTACACAACGCCTCAGCATTTCTGCTTTCTGTTAAGTTGCTAATATCAAAATGAAAATGGACAGTTCCTCATATCATGTTTTCATTTTATTATAGTAGCCAGGGTGATGTCAATGAGGTTATAAAGTATGCTGTTCCCTTTGAAGATTTACCCGACATGTCCTCGGGAGTCTGTTTTCCATATCAAACGTGCAAAGTCCGAACTTACAAAGAAAGGATGCAAGACTGAACTGTGTGTAGGCAACATAATATTGAGGAAAAGCCCCAATCAGAGAGGCGAATGTCTGCAGCCCCGCCCCCGTTTTCACATGTCTCCGTTTTCTATTAGCTATTAGCGTATTATGGAAAAACCTAAAAGACGGTGAGAGTAAAAGTAGATCAACCTCAGTGTGCTCTGGCAAAACGACTGACGAACTTGCAGGCAAAATTGACTCACATCCAGTCAGGTGGATCTACATAGTCTACATTTCAGCTCAAATGTTCACCTGACTAGATCTCTCCCAAATTGTTCCTTTCAGCCATCTTCATTCTTGTCTTCAAATATTGAAAAATATCTACATTTTCATCTGCTTCTCTCTGTTTTCACTTTATTTTTGTTCGTCTTGTTTCCGTCTCACTACAGTTGAGCTGTTTGTGATTGTTCTTCCTCACAGGCCACAGCTTTCAGCACTACTTACTCAGACTCGGGGCTCTTCGGGCTCTACATCATCTCTCAAGCAGACTCGACCCGCGAGGTGAGAGCTCAACAGACCTGACGCTCGTGTTAAAGAGAGAGTTCACCAAGATACTAACATTCTGACATCATTTACTTTACACTGTTTCCACCTGTTTGAGTTTCTTTCTTCTGTTTATTAAAGAAGATTAAATATTAAGAACAATAAAGAAGATATTTTGAAGAATGTTGAAAACCTGTAGCTGTCGTCCAGTTAGTTTTCAGCATTCTTCGAAATATCATCTTTTGTGTTTAACGAAAGAAACTGCTAAATGTTTGGATTTACTTGAGGTAAATAATCAGTAAAGATTTATTTTTGGGTGAACTTTTTTATGGTCACAGATAATTTAGTTTAACTGATGCATGTTTGTTTAATTTTGTTTAATAGTTTTTGTTTTTACTAGTTTTATTTATGTCACAAGCGTTTGTTAATTACTATTCCTGTTTCAGCCAATTATTTCTGCTGAAGCTTTATCTGAAACATCTCTCTCATTGTCTGTATTTGACAGAAACACAGTGTGCAGCGAGTGTGTGATTGTTCTGTGTGTGTCTGCAGGTCATCAGTTCGGCTGTGGCTCAGGTGACTGCTGTGGCGGAGGGAAAGCTGACCACTGATGACCTTACCAGAGCAAAGTGAGTCAGTGAAACACCAGCTCCCAGAAGCACCATAATGCAGTCCTGGAGGAGTTTTAGAGCTGATTAATACGATTTACTACAGTAGAGAAATACACTGTGGTCAAGCTCAGTGCTGTTTTTGATTAATAGAGTAATGTGTGTGTGTGAGAGCTGATGTGGTGTGTTGTGTTTTAGGAATCAGCTGAAGGCAGATTATCTGATGTCTCTGGAGAGTTCAGACGTGCTGCTGGAGGAGCTGGGGGTTCAGCTTTTAAACAGCGGCGTCTACAGTTCACCACAGACTGTGACACAAAGCATCGACTCGGTGACCTCCAGCGACGTCCTCAAAGTAAGACACTTGAGTCAGGACAGATCAGCTTTTGCTGGATCTTTTGAATACTAAACTGATAATTTCACAGCAGAAAACTTCACCTCAGTCAAACAAGACCAGTTATCATCAGTTCAATCACAAGTGGATGATGCTCAATAAATAGAGGTGTAAACAGGAGAAGGCCTACTGCGCCGCTCAAAATCAGAATTCAACACAGGAGTTTTAATATGAGTCTTATGAGGGAGGGAATAATGAAGGGATTATGAGGGAAAAAAAGCCTGACAATCTTCAGAAAAGTTTCAGTGTCATTCTAATATGCCTGATAAAGCCTGCTTTGATTAAAGTCATTACTGGGGTAAACATCCAGGGGCTCTATTTTGACGGTCCATGCGCAAAGCGCAGGGCGCAAATGCTTTCAGGGCGTGTCAGAACGCGTTTTTGCTAATTTAAGGACGGAAAATCTGCCTTGCGCCATTGCGCATGGTCTAAAAGGGTTGAGTTTATTTTCTTAATGAGTTATAGGTGTGTTTTAAGAATAAACCAATTAGAGTCTCATCTCCCATTCCCTTTAAGAGTCAGCTGCGTCGTGCCAAGAGCGCATTCGCTATTTACAGGACACAAAGTAAGTCTAAGCGGACTTAGTGGACAGTTAACAGTTAATTAACAGAAAACAGTTAAACAGAGCATCTACTGCGTGAGAATGAGAGATAATGGATCTACTTTCACATTCGCTCTTGGATAGGGAAACCTTTACGCACATACATCAATTAGTCTATAAATTATTAATTGTGTTTGTTAAGCGCAAATATTCGTTTCAAAACTATTTCTAAATTCAGTTTTAATTTCCAGCAAACGAATAAATGAACAATAATAACAAAATGTGCTCAAAAACCTGAGTTATATCCTAAAAGACATACTGTGCCCCATATGGTCTAAAACCTGCAGGTGGGCAAATCTAAGCTTGTTTTTAATAAAAACAAATATAAATACGGATATAATAAATAATACTGCTAATAATAATAACATTATACAAAAGCAAATTGTTATGAATGAACTGAAAAAGCCTCCCGAGATGAAGAAGATACAAAAGCAGTGATGTTTTATATTTATGTAGGCCAGAAAATAATATGTTTTGTAATATTTTAATCCTTTATATTTATATCCTATATTTATTCTTATTATATCCTACATATATCCTTAATATTTACATTTTTTTTATATGTAAAGATATTTGCCTATTGCTCTCTTGTGTGTATTAAGACGTGTGTAAGCGAGGCACAACTTTGCGCCGGAGTTTAGACCGGGTTAGTTTTGGTCTAATGAAAAATCTATTATAGTTTCTCAAAATAGCAACGCGCCAGCGGTCCGCCTCAGAACGCCTTCCTGATTAGACCAGAACGCCTATGGGCGCACAAATGAGCGCTAATGCATTTGCTATTTAAACAGCGTAGCGCAACGCCTCAAAGCCACTCTTGCGCCAAGCTGAAACTAGCAAAAGACTATTGCATCACGTCTTGCACCACACTGCGCCGGGTGTATGATAGGGCCCCAGGTTATGGAGCAGGGGTGGCCAGCCCTGTTCCTGGAGAGCCACCTTCCTGCAAATTTCAGTTGCTACCCATATCAAACACACCTGAACCAATTAATTAGAACCTGAACACCATGTGATAATTACAGGCAGGTGTGTTTGATATGGGTAGCAACTGAACTCTGCAGGAAGGTGGCTCTCCAGGAACAGGGTTGGCCACCCCTGTTATAGAGATATGGAGGTTAATTGCATCGCATAGCTGGGTCTGACTGTCCAGATGAGCCACTATGACGGGCTGGGCAGCGCTAACCAGGCAGCTTCAGCAGCGTGTCCTGAGGAAGAGCTGAACATTAGAGATTGGCTCTTATCTTTCACAAACCTACAGGAAGAGGCTGCAGGTGCGAGAGAAAGGAATCTGTACTCTGGAATCCTCTAAATCTGTGGTGAAGTGCACCAAGGTTGTAAGGTGGGTGGCAGTGCATCCCATGCTGGAATCGCTTGGGCTTTACATCTGCAGAGAGGAGGAACTGGTGGACTGTGTGTTATGCACTGCAATCATCTGCAGGGGGCATTCCCGGCCCTCCTTTTCTTCTCGGAGTGATTGGTGTTTTGATCCTTGATTGGTCTCACGCAGTTACTTGATTCAATTCAATTCAATTCAACTTTATTTGTAGAGCTCTTTTACAATGTAGATTGTGTCAAAGCAGCTTCACATAAATGGTCATAGTAACTGGAACAGTGTGGTTCAGTTTTTAGTGTTTAAGTTCAGTTCAGTTTAGCTCAGTTCAGTGTGGTTTAATCATTACTGAGAGTTAAAACACTGAAGAGCCAATTCATCGATGCGTAGCTCTACCAATCCTGAACCATGCGAGGCAGTGGTGACAGCGGAGAGGGAAAAAAACTTCACCTGATGGGAGTGAAGAAAAAAAACCTTGAGAGAACCAGACTCAGTTGGGCACGACCATTTTAATTTCTCCGCTGGCCAAAAGTCTTGTGCAGAGCTTCAGTCACCGTGGTGGAGGCTGGAAGATGGCCTCAGCGAAGACTCGTCTGTCCCTCGAGCGTCGCTGGAATCAGACTCATGTTCTCCACTCCACATGACCATCAGCGCAGCAGCAGCTCAGGATATGGCCTGGTCCCGGATATGTAATCCTTGGGATCATTTCGTCGCTGGTCTTCTGGCATTTCGTTGATGCAAGTTCGCAGGTCGGAGTACACCGAGCTTGAATTTTGCACCGTTGCGAACTGCGAAACTTGTTGCTCGAGCTTGTGTTTTTGGTCTAAGGCATTTGTGTGTGTATGAATGGAAGTCTATGGGGAGAAAATTCCAGTGTGACCTCGGGTTTAGTCTTTAGGGTGATTGGTCATCTAGCAATTCTCAAAGTGTCTTTAGACACCATGTAGTAGTTCCCGATCTGAAGGCAAACCCATATTACTGACACTCTATCAGTGCCTGATGAAAGACCAAAAATCGAAAGAACGAGTGCTTCAGCGATCTACACTCTTACAACGGGGCATTCGTCTGCTGTTTGTTAAAGAAAGGATCAGGAAAGACCATAAGGGACTTTGCAGAGCTTGATGGGAACTTTACAGTAAATGCTGAATATGCAACGATTGCCGCTTTGTTAAATGCGTTTGTGAGCTCGTGATCTACTGCAGTTTGTGGTTGCTATGTCCACCGTCAGCTGTTCCTACACATGTATGTTGGTCAAGTTTCAAAATAGTTCAGCTTTCGCCACTGTGTGGATTAATACTGAATGTGTGTCACTGTTTTTGCTGATGGTTAAGAATAGAGCGATATGCTGCTGTTTAACTGCATTGCTTTGATGCACTCCTGCATTGGGCTCACACACACCTGCCAACATTTTCCCATGAAAATCCGGGAGACCAGGGGGGATAGGTTCGGGATTGTGGTGTCTGAATAACACTGTTGAGAATCGGATACTGTGTATTGTGGTGTTAGTAACTGTACTATCAAGCGTGTTTCTGGCCTCTGTGATCAGATCCTATAGCAGTGATGGCGACCTGGGGGTTTCACAGACCGTACCAAAATGCTGAGGACGGGGGGTGGTCTTTCTGTCTCGCGCTGAACTCTGTTGACCAATCGCTACAGACTATCATCGGTCCAATCAGCGTAGATTAGCATTGTGCTAAGGAGGAGTTTGGGAACAATTAAATGCAAATTATAAACAATGAAAGTGTTTTTTGACCTTGCCTGCATATCAGACTGTTGTTAGAGACCCCCAAAACTAAAATATGACCCTTTTTAATGCATAATAGGGGCACTTTAAACATTTATGTGTTTAAAATATTCACATTTAGCAGATTATTCTGTATGAGTTTTTAAGCTTAAATGAAGTTTGATTTGAATCAGGATCAGTCAGACTGATGGAGGTGTTCAGATGAAGGTTTCTCCATGTCCACTTCTGAATCTTGAATGTTTTTGCTGGTTTCTGTCTGCTGTTTGTTGGGAATAAGAGATGAGATGTGAACTCTATCATCAGTTTCTCTCTGTGTGTTTTCTCCAGGCTGCGAGGAGGTTTGTTGAAGGCCAGAAGAGCATGTCGAGTTGTGGATATCTGGAAAACACACCGTTTCTGGATGAGCTGTGAGGAAGTCCCGCTCTACAGTGCAGATGTTGTTCAGCTCTTTCCTGAGTGTACAACTGATCTGAGAGCTGTCTGAAAGCCGGACTGCTGTCCACACTTGTTTTCTGCTCAGATCATCATGAAGTCTGGTGTTCAGTCTCGCTTTATTAACATCAGTTTCATCTGTTTGACTGTATGTCTGATGTAGATTCATTAAAACAGATCTATCAGTGATGAAGGTCTGCTCTGCTTCATCATTTCCCCCAGGAGGAAAAATACTGTGTTTACTTCACTACTTTAGGATTATTACTGGACTTTTACACTTTACTCTGCTTTACTATGCATTTATTTCTATTTAAGTTACTTATTACATTGTTCATTTTATTTACCTCCCTCATATGAGCAGTAAACATGGTAAACAAACACTCAAACATCGACATGTGAAGTGAATTATATTTTCTTTCAGATTTTCACTTTCAGCAGAGAAATTTCTGGATTCAACAGTTCAGCATTAAATCTGATGAAGCACATTGAGGGAGAAAAACAGCTTTTTCATTATATTATCAGTGTTTTTATCCTCTTTTATTATTTCTGTTTGCTGTCGGCTTATTATATTGGCAGAATCAGCAAGATTGAGTCAAATAAAATCAGTGATTATATGATTGACTAATAATATTAGATGTCAGTGTTTTATTAAATGTCTTTGTTAAATCGTACAAAATCTCAAACAAGAGAAAAACAGTGGTTAAATGAACATTATCTGCACTGTAAAAAAAGAATCGTTAAAAAAAGGTCAAATGACTGTCAGCTACAGCCGCCAAACAAAAACTGTAAAAATTCATTGTTGAAATAAAGTGCAAAAATTAATAAATACATTTATTTACATTGAAATGTTTACAGAAACACAGTTATTTTACAGGCTTTTCCTAGATTATTATGATCAAATTCATTCAATAAAGTTACACAATAAGTGTTTTACAAAATGACACAAATTTTACAGTTTTTTTTTTTTTTTTAGATTATTTCGATAGAACACCATCAATAAGTGAAGTTTATTCATAAACTAATTTCGAGAGGATCATGTGATTATGATTGAACACGGCTGGTTCTGCATTAGCATGTATGATCCACCAATCAGGTCATTCCTAACCCACTATAAAGAGCCAGGGGTTTTTCACTACATCCATCTTCGATTTGAGAATCCCCCCTTCCTCTCCACCTTCCCTCCATAGGACGGCACAGTGGCCCAGTGGTTAGCACTGTTGCCTCACAGCAAGAATGGCACCGTTTCTAGTCCTTTAACAGGCCGGTGGTTGTTTCTGTGCGTAGTTTGCATGTTCTTCCCGTGCTTGCGTGGGTTTTCCCCGGGTCCTCCGGTTTCCTCCCACATTCCAAATACAAGTGAATTGATCAATCTAAGTTTAGCACTACAGTCAAACTCATCCTGCAGCATATCTCTTCATAGCATTAATTTTAGTCATCAGCTCTTATCAAGGGGGGAGTTGTCGAGATCTATCTGAGCTCAAGGCTCCCCTCTTGCCCTGCAAACAGGAGGAAGCCCAGGGCTCAAGGACCTTTTGAGCTCAGGGTTCTCTCTTGGGACAGCATGCCAAACTTGCTTATAATCAATCATCAGCTAAGTGTGAACTCTTGAAATTGAAAAAAGAAATTTTAATGTAATTTTACGTTTTTTGTTTGGCAGCTCCAGCTTTTTTATGAATTTGTATTTTTTTTTTTTTTTTTTTTACAGAGCAAGTAATTACAATTTATTAATTTAATTTAAAATGTACTTAAAAAAACTGGAACTGTGTAAATAATACAGCATTTTTTTTTGTATAAACCAGGAAAATTGCTGTAATTTGTCATTAATTATATAGTACATAAAATAACAGTCAAGCTGTTCATTTACAGATATTGTTTGTAATTTTTATGGACTTTTGAATATAATTTAAAATAACAGGAAAAATACTGTATAAATAATACTAAATAATATTTCCCTGTATAAAAACTAAAATGTCAGTAATTTGTCTTTAATGATGAAGTACCTAAAGAGAAAGTCAAACTCTTCATTTAGAGAGATTGTCATTTCACTAAGTGTTGAATATAATGTCAAATGACATTTACATTTACAGTCATTTAGCAGACACTTTTATTCAAAGCAACTTACAAATGAGGACAAGGAAGCAATTTACAGAACTGAGCAAAAATGAATAAGTGCTATAGGCAAGTTTCAGGTCTGTAAAGAAAGCAAAACATTAGTAATTATATATATGTGTGTGTGTGTGTGTGTGTGTATATATGTGTGTATATATGTGTATATATACGTGTGTATATATGTGTATATATATGTGTGTGTGTGTGTGTGTGTGTATATATGTGTGTATATATATGTGTGTATATATGTGTATATATATGTGTGTATATATGTGTATATATATGTGTGTATATATATATGTGTGTATATATGTGTATATATATGTGTGTATATATATGTGTGTATATATATGTGTGTATATATGTGTGTATATATGTGTATATATATATATGTGTATATATAAATGTGTGTATATATATATGTGTTTATATATGTGTATATATGTGTGTATATATATATGTGTGTATATATATATATATATATGTGTGTATATATGTGTATATATATGTGTGTGTATATATGTGTATATATATGTGTGTGTATATATGTGTGTATATGTGTATATATATGTGTGTATATATGTGTATATATATGTGTGTATATATATGATATATGTGTGTATATATATATGTGTGTATATATATGTGTGTATATATATATATATATATATATATATATTTTTTTTTTTTTTTACGTAGTTAGTGGAGGGATCAGAGAGGGAATTGCAGATTAGTAAGGAAAGTTGAGAGACATTTAAGATATTTTCTGTAAAATTTGTTATTTTTACAGTGTGTTAAATTAAGTGTAAGTTATGTTTAGTGATCTGCTGGATAATCTATATTTATGAATTAGCCATCAATAATGCCTGTCAGTGTCTTGCAGAATAATTAATACATGTTAAATAATTACACGTCAATAAATGTAGAGAAAAAGAAAATAATTGAAAGATGAATTACTGTGATGAAGAAGACTTTTATAATGAACTAAAATGAACTAAAAACACAGGCAGTTTTATAAAAAGCTCAGTTAATCACATGATCAGGCTTATTTGGCATTGTTCACAGATGAACATGATTTCTGATTCTGTAAGGCTGATTAAAACTACATGATGCAGAAATACTGAATCAAAAATTAATTAGACATCATGTTTTATTGGCCTGATTTTGTATTATTGCTGATCAATCATAAATGATGTTTATTATTAGAAATGTTGAAATAATAGTGGCTCAGTGGTTAGCACCGTCACCTCACAGCAAGAAGGTTCCTGGTTCGAGTCTCAGCTGGGTCAGTTGGCATTTTTGGAGTTTGTTCTCTCCGTGTTGGCGTGGGTTTCCTCCGGGTGCTCCGGTTTCCCCCACAGTAAAACACATGTGATACAGGTGGATTGGATGAAGTAATTTGTCTGTAGTGTATGAGTGTGAATGCAAGAGTGTGTGGATGTTTTCCTGTACTGGGTTGGTGCTGGAAAGGTATTGGCTTGATACAAAATAAGCAGAATAAGTTGACGGTTTATTCCGCTGTGACGACCCCTGATTAATAAATAATGAAATAATTATTTGTTTCACTTTTTTTTTTTAAGAAATAAACGTTGCTTCTTTGAGAGGAAACGACACATTTTTAATAAAGCAATTTATTATTAAATAAAACTATATAATTATAATTTATAATGAATTAATTTATTCTTAATATTAATGTCATGTGTTTTGATAATCAGTTGAACAAACAATAAACTGATGTGCTTTAAACAAGAGTAAAAATGAAGCACTGAAAACATTTCGTTAACGTTTTTTAAATCACTAAAAGATCTTGATCTGCTGAAAATACAGTCTGAAGAGTATAAGACAGAATTTAATATACAGAAAGAAAGAAAGAAAGAAAGAAAGAAAGAAAGAAAGAAGAGTGAAGCTCAGCAGATGAAAAGCAGAAACTGGAGAAAACATCTTCATGCTGTGTGACACAGAGACACTGAAGAGCCTGAATAAACTCTAAATCCAGCATGGAGTGTGTCGGTGAATGTGGTGTTGAATGTGTGTAAGTGTGTGAGTTTGTGTGTGTCAGAGACGCTGTAGAAGGACAGAGAGCCGCTCGACTCGTCCACAAACACTCCTACTGTCCTGCTGGAGTCTGGACGAGCTGAGATGTGTGTGGGTTTATAATTGTGCCAGACAGTGAATGAGTCATCAGAGCAATCAAGACTCCAGGACTGATCATTACTTCCAAACACACAGTCAAAAACCCCTCCTTTCCTCTTGATTCCTTTATAACATACTGATATATAAGCATGTCCGCTCCATTGAGTCTCCCAGTAACAGCGTCCAGTCAGACTCTCTTTACTCACAACCTGCTCCCACACATCAAATCTGTCTGGATGATCAGGATAAGACTGACTCTCCTTCACACGCGTCGCCTTTCTGTTCTCCTCAGACAGAGCGAGGTGTGTGTGTGCTGTGTTTGGATCCAGTGTGAGTTCACAGGCGTCTGAACACAAGAACACACACATTACAACATTCACAACACAACTACACACTCTACAACACTGTGTGTGTGTGTGTGTGTGTGTGTGTGTGTGTGTTGCTTACATTGGTGTAGTCGAGATGTCATCATGAATTC